GTGCCGGCGGGCTGCGTGCCAGCGGGTTGCGTGCCAGCGGGCTGCGTGCCGGCGGGCTGAGTGCCAGCGGGTTGAGTGCCTGCGGGTTGTGTACCTGCGGGCTGAGTGCCTGCTGGTTGTGTGCCTGCCGGTAGTGTACCCTGGGAAGGACCTGGAGCAGTGGTCCCAGGAATTGGAATCGGAACGGGGACACCAGATGATCCTGCCGCACAGTTGGATTGGATTACAGTGGTGGTGATAGTGACTGTCTGAGCCGAAGCACATCCAGAGCCAGGCACAGGTGCACTAGAGATAGGGCCGCCCGGGATGAAGGAAGATGATTGACCTGGAAGGACCGAGCCTGGTCTGCCGGACTGGGGCACCTGAACCGAGGAGACCGCAGTAGCTGCGCCAGACGCACCAGCACCTGTCCCAGAACCCGAGCAAGAATCGGCGGCTAGTGTGATACTTGAGCAACCAGTCACCGAGGAGCTTTCGGTGGTATAAATGTTCAACTCATTGTTGTCCCCGGTCTGACATGCAACAAAATTAGAGCTACCCTGGTATTGCAGCTGACCACCAGATGAGATTGAAAATCCAGTCTGGGCAGTGGAGCCTAAGTCACACTGGAACTGGGTTACGGAGTCTGTCGGCGTACAAACAGTCAGCGATGGCTCTTGCGCTAGTATCGTTTGACTCGAGAGGCTTACTAGTCACGATACATCCACGCCCACTGCTATCAGTGATGGCACCGTTCGAGTCGATACAGAACGAGGCTGCAGCTAAGCCGCCGCCGATGCGATTCTGGCCATCACCAAGCTGGCCCACAGTGCCAGATACGGCGCCGGAAGCGGTCAGGTGAAAGCAGCACGAGTCGGCACGGCTGACGAGGGCATTAGCTCCAGCAGCGAAAGCTGCAAGAGATGCGAAGTTCTTCATCCTTGCACTAGCGAGCTAAGCCGGCAGCTAGGACAGCGAATGGACTGGAGAAATTCCAGTATGAAGAAATGAAGTGATTGTAATGACAGGAACTCAAGAAGTGACATCCAGGACATGTGCAATCTTTATAAGTGACAGTGAATGCAACGACGGACGTCATATGCCTACCTGGACACAACAAACAAGTCCAAGAACGAACAATACACTACCTCCACATGTAGATTGAGAAAATAAAAGTAGGCTGCAGCTCATTGCAATACCGCTGCAAGGTCGAGGAGACCATGGGCCCGGCAGAGAACCACCATGGACCCAGCCAGACATGGCCGATGTGCGAGCAGACAAGTAACGAATTGGCCGACAGACTCAGGTCTGGACAACCTCCCAGGTCGGTAAGAGTTCATTGAGTAAACGTCATATGTCCTGAGCTTTTGTGGAATTGAAAACCCTGCACAGTAGTGAGTGGCTCCTGCGCTGCAAGAGGGCTGCAAGAGAGGGGTGGCCATGTCAGTAGCCAAGGTGTTTCAGGGCCTCTCTACCTTGGTGGAACCAGCCCCATCAAGCGGTGCCTCTTGGATCGGCCGGATACCCTGCCTTAACGAATGATTCCCCGATTGCGTAGCGTTTGATTGCGACTCCGGTGGCAACAAAGTATCCATCTACGGTTATGTCCGCCATTTCAGTGATCCAAAACAGGGCTAATATTTGCCTCACACCAGGAACCGGACTTTGGATTTCTCAGGAACGTGTTGCTTCTTTTCTAATTCATCCAGCCGACGTGCAAGCCGACGATTGACCATCGCCGTGCTTAGCGGGACAAGGCATGAAGCAAAAAGAGCAAGCCTGCCGGAATGGAAGAAGAGGAGCTTCGATCAGCGCCCATTGAGAAATCGGCAACGGGAATGTCGGATTCTATCTCGAAGGGCCCATTGCATCATTCCTTCCGTATACAGACCGTGTCCTGGATGCCTCTCTTTCCACCACATGGTGTGCGGAGTCATCGAAGCGTTACCCTCAGCAACTCGGCTGGACAGGAGGTTTTCCGTGGAGGTCAACAGGCTGGATTGTTTACCAAAGGGTAAGCGAAGTGATTGACACTGCACGTCATCATTGAGACAATCGAATGTGATTGCAGCATCGGACTTCCGAAATGGAGGCGAGGATGGTGTTCCTGAAGTGGACGAGGTGGATGAGGTGGACCGATGGGATTTGAGATGGGGAATTGGGGAGAATGGAAGAGAGTTCGTTTCATCTGAAACAGACCAGACAGCGGAACTCATCGGGAAGGGATTAACTCCACCAAGAAAAAACAGGGGACGCAGCCACTCACAGCCACCACAGTCATGGAGCAATCATTTCTTTCTCTTTCCCCCGCGATGCTTGGGTGGAAAAGAAGTGGATCAATGACGAAAACAACAGCCAACGGCATTGCTTGTGGTTTTATTATCTTTTTTTCTAATGGGGATGTGCAATTGGCATTCATCATCATCGCTATTTTTATTTCTTGACTGCTCATCTACGGAGCTGTGTAAACAGTAATGCAATGATATCCCCATTCCTTTCTATTCCTTCAAGTAAATGCTATGTCGATCGGACTCGCCTCCTCATTCTCGTAAGCGCAGGTTGTCACTCAAGGGGCAAAGTGCATACATACTTAGCACTTGAAACCTCAACTGCACAAGCCCTATAGCCCTGTGCCATTGAGCTATAATCGTTGTCGTTATGTGTAATGCTGTATGCAATAGCGTTGATACTTAAGTTTCTTAATTTCTGGATCTCCAAAACACAGGATTATTTATGATTTCCCCAATGTTTGGTATACATAGTGAAGTGTCTGTGTTTACACCATACTTTAGACATACGCTTACAAGTGCTCACAGGTTTGACAGCCGAAGCACTTTATGGGGAAAAGAAATAAGAGTTACCGTACATCTCCTTATGCCCTCACAATCCCCGCACAAGGCGCTTACGTATGCCTCTACGGCGTACAATTCATCATTCCACCCGAGGATCCATGCAATCAGTTTGCCCGAATTCCCTGAAAGCACTTCTTGAACCCTTTTTTTGGTGTGTACCCAGCGTTTTCTAGACCAGGTTTCCAGTCCTTCTGGCCTCTGCATTTAGACTGTGGCCAGGACATAGACGGGGAAGGGGAAGTTCTGTCGCGGTGGAGAGCTTTGGGGTTGCCAGTCGAACTGCTCTGGTTCAACATTGGGAGCCCGCCATTAACTTCCCATCCAATCTTCCCCACTCTGTAGACCGTGGATAAAGCAGGTCCCGCATAATGTCTTTCCTGGTCCATTTGTTTACTGGACTGTACAGTGTATTGTACATCAACCATCGATAGATAACGAAGAGGTGGAAGATTTGAAGAATCGCAATTGACATGTTGGGATGACATGCGCAAGCCCGTCTTCACACCCCAGCATGTCTTACTTGGTCCCACTTGTCTATGACTATGACTGGAAGAAAACAAGTTATCTCGCGCTGATCGATTGAGTGTACCTGCCTAGCAAGTGTCAATTGCTTGATCGATTGGATGGAACAATGGGCGAGGAGGGCCTCAGATCCATGGATAGATGATCCTGACGTCGATGTCAGTTGCAGATCACTTCCATTCTTACATGGAATTCCCGCACTGGTACGCAAGCAATGATCCGCTTACTCCGCGATGTAGTGAACTATAACTTGATGCATTATGCTGACTTGGAAGTAATGACAGATTCATTTGAAGCGCCAGTTGCCTGACCTGAATCAATTGCTGGGATAATCTCCGCGCCCAAACTATGCTGCTGGCATTGGCTCGGGACCAGTACATTGAGAGGTTTGGGGGTGTAATGCGAGCAAGGAAGGTTTGGAGGCGTTGAGTCATGACCGCCGAATTACAGAATAGAGTAGCATTTTCTACGTAGATGGCACCTGCAATCTCTGGATATAGGATAGTCAATGCGTTGTCGAGGGTGAAACGTAACTGTATAGCCACCTCTTACTGTATGTAAGTACTCGTGAAAGTCCAATACATCCAATAACGGAAATGCAGTCAGAGAGCCCTGAGTCATTGATCTTGGACGTTCAGCACCATGAGCATACCACGAGTGAGGTATGCCCGGACATATGGCTGAAGTCCTGCCAGTACATAGATATCTTCTTGAGGAGTCGAAGTCAACGATGCTAGAGAGAACATGCATTGCCTATTTTGCTTGAGTTGTATATAATGGGTATCTGCTTGGGGCGTGCGTTTGAAATTCCTATCGTCCTACCTCATGCGCGTAGCTTTAAACTTACTCACGCGTCTTGGCGCCTCCTCTGTCTCGAGCGGGACAATTTCGGGCTCTTCGTCCACAAATCCGCCTTTCTCCTTGATCATGCGATTGCGAATTTGGTAAAACTCAGTAGCAATCTCCTTCCGGTGCAGTTGTTCATCAAGCTCGTCTGGTTCCGGCGCCATAGCGGAGCTGGCAGAGACATCACGTTCGACAAGTGTGTCCGCCAGGATTTTTCCTTCTGGGCCTCTGGGTGCGGGGTCTTTCTCAGCTATATCTGAGATTGGCTGGGAGAAGGGTTTGGGCTCCGCTGGTCTTGCTGGGAAAAGAGGCAGAGATGATGGTGCGGGAGAGGGGGTGCTAGTCTTGCGCAAAGACGAACGAAGTTCGACGGGCCGGGAAGGTCCGGGAGTTGAAGTCTCTGACGCAGTGGTTGGTTCTGCTGTACCGTCGTCCGTTTTCCGAGCGCTCTTGAATCGGGAGACTTTCTTTGGTGCACCTTTAGTTGATGGCTCCTTTGCAACTGGCTGCGTGCGCTCAACCACTGAGTCTGCAAGAACAGGTACACTCGACTCTCGGACTGGAACAACCTTCTTGTCCTGGACCGGAGGTTTAGGGGCCGGAGCAATATCGAGATCGTCAGCAAAAGCGACCCTCTTCTTCGGTTTCTTCTCGGGTACAGGTTCGCTGCCTGTCTCGGGGATTGTCTCGACACGATCTATACTGGGCTGCTCTAGCTCTGCCTTAACATCGGTTGGGAGAAAGTCAGTGTTCTTGCCGATGTTCCACAAGCCTCTCGCGTTCAGTTTGGCCTCTAACTCGCGCATTTCGCGGTGGTAATCCTCGTCGAGAATACGTCCTGTAGTCCTTCCATATTCGTCTTCCTCCTCGTCTTCATCATCGTCGTAATCTTCGTAATCTTCGTCAACAGAGACGTCGCTTGCATCCTCATCAAGTTCCAGCTCGGCCACGACCGCTCCGACCTCGTTCAAGCTATACTGCAGCATTTCACGCCGGAGCTGGGCATCCTCTGGCGATTCTTCAATGCATGCTGCAAGACGCTGATATTCAAGAAGTCCAGCCGCATCCATTGCCGGAGGCTTGTGGTTGTGCTCGGGAGTCGTCGCTTCTCGCGCTTGCTCCTCCCTGGCATCCGGTGGATTAACTTCCTCGACCTCCAGTGTAGTTGGATTTTCCCCCGTAGCCTGTGAGCCCTCCGTAGGCCGTGCAGCATGTTGCAAAGAGTCATTCTGTGCTGGAATCACATCTGCCAGGTCCGGTATATCCTTGACACCGGCCTTTTGCAAGGCATTTAGCAGCTCAGGCGCCTGGCTGCCCGGGGTAGTTGTCTTGCTCGAAATAATATCGCCGTTCTCGTCAAGCTCTTCAAAGATCTCAGTCATTGGAAATTCGGCCGTGGTTTCGCTCGGTGGTTGCTCCTGTGAGTCCAGCGCGTATAGTCCACTCTCTGCGGCGCGTAATCTTTTCTCCATCGCCGTGACGTTCTGTTTCACGTAGTCGATACGCCGAGCGATCAGGTTGATTACCTGTCCCTTGGTGCGGGTCACGCCTTCTTTGTCGCCTAGCATCAGCTTCACTTCATCCTCAGTGACAAGTGAGCCGGCCAGATTGTGACCCACACGAAGAAAGTCGCTGGAGGTCGCATCGTCAGGGAGGTCATTGATTCCCTCCTTGAGACCTTCGTACTCTGCCTCCCACGTGCGCCAGTGGTAAAGTGATTCCTGGAGCTTCGAAATGTTACCCTCGAGTTCTAGACGCTGACGCTCCAGTTCGTGCAGCTGGCGGTCGGGGACACCCATAATCATCGCCTTATCGAGAAATCGGAGAGAGTGATAAGAGGCTTGTTCCACAGAAGGAAGCAGTTGGGGGAGCCAAAATGAGAGATATGTGAGTGAAAGAAGGTCAGAAACCGGAGACGGGGAGAGGGCGGCGGCAAAAGAAAAAAGTTCCGCCGCGGAACAATGAGCGGAATGGCTGATTGGCCCGTGCGGGCAGTTGGATTAATCACCCGTCATTTAGGCTTCATCGCTGCGCTACCTGCGTACTATTCAACACTAACTCCGTTCTGCCTTGCACTTTTATTAGGACCGCGAGCTGTATACTATGCCGCCTGCCCGGGATGCTATGGCTAATCGCGGGGATGATGACGGTATGATGGTTTACCCTGATCGGGAGCCCCCGCTGCCTGAAGTGTACTAACCAGCGTTCTTTCTTCAGAGGTGTGCCCCGTCTGCAAATCCTCGCGGTACCTGAACCCGGACATGCAGTTCCTCATCAATCCAGAATGTTATCACAAGATGTGCGAGTCGTGTGTAGACCGCATTTTCTCCTCAGGCCCGGCCAACTGCCCCGTTGCGGGTTGCCACAAGACGTTGCGAAAGGCTCGGTTTCGGAAGCAGACGTTCGAGGATATCAATGTGGAACGAGAGGTGGACATCCGGCGCAGAGTAATGCAGATGTCTGTCATCTAGTTGGTTGCCTGGTGACCATACAGGGTGCTAATGCTGTCCACAGACTCAACCGCCGTGAAGAAGAATTCGATTCCAAACGTGCTTGGGACGACTTCCTTGAACAACGGGAAGAGATAATCGCAAACCTCGTACATGGCACCGATGTGGCAAAGACTGAAGGCGATCTGCAACGATATGCTTCGGAAAACATGCGCTCGATCCGCGCCAATCAAGCTCGCGAGGCGCAGGAAGCCTCGTCTTTCAAGGAGCAACAAACACATGAGCAGGAACTGGCACGACTTCGCCGAGAAGCAGCTAAGCAAGAATACGAAAACGAACGGCGGGAACTGCAGGCCTCTCGGGAGGATGTCCTCACTCGGCTCGCAGCCGGACGACCCGGCGACGCTGCGGCTATTGCACGCGAGGGCAAGAAGGTGTTGCTCAAGAAATCATCTGCTCGACGTAGTGAAGAGGATCGGATCCGACAGAAGCAGGCTGCTCTACGGAATTCAGATGCTAGAAAGGCTGGTCAGGCGGGAACCGCGGCCGATAAAGCCGATGCTGCCGGCGATTCGGGCTTGATCAAGGGACTCAAAAAGATTGTGACTCCGGAACCCGAGAAGCCCTACGACCCATTCGGTGGCATCATTCCCAACAAGAGGGACTACTATACTTTACGCGACTACTACCCGTCGAGCTATCTGGATCCCCTCCGACAGGATACTCGTATGCAGGCAGGCGGGTATGATCTGCAAGAGTACTATTCTCGCACATTGATGGAAGCATTTGCCGGATTGGGCTGTTTCATCGATGAGGAGGTGGCACAACGTGACCCTGCAGGTTCTCTTGGGGCTTCGGGATCTGTCGCGACTCAAGGAGCTTCCTTGGCGGCAGTTTCTACTGCTGGCACTCTAGATCCCAGCTGAAGGGGCTGTACGTCGCTTTCTAGGCCCGCTGAATCTGGTTCATGTTGTTTTTCTTTGTGCTTTTTCTTCAGGTGGAAAACAGCTTCACCTAAGGCCTGCGTTGGTGTATATAGTGCATAGCGATGGCGTTCTCGTATGGAATTTTGGGTGCCCTTCTGGAGTATAGAAACAGAGGTCTCCGCAATGGGATATGATGGACCTAGGTGTACAAAAAAGGGAAAGCTAACACAAACCCATATGAAATTGTTTAACAGAATCAAAAACACCGAATTGTATGACATCGAACGTAATGTACAACCCTCCCTATAACATAGCCCACTAAAACTTACCACCGGTAATCTCCTCTCCAAGCTTCTTGATTCTGGCTTGGATAGCATTGAAGCGAGCAGATTCAGTCTTGGTCCCCTCGTTGACAAGACTGGAGACGGTCTGAGGGTAACCCAGGTTCCAGATGTTCTTACCCTCCTGCTGATCACTGCGCCATGCCGGATTATGGTCGTCAGGGAAAACTCTTTCAATCTCGGCGGCAAGCTGGGTCTCGTCGACTATGAACTGACGCGCGTTCATGTACAATTCGTGCAAGTGTTCGCCACGCGCGGCCTTCTTCTGGGCTTGTTTGCGTTGAAACCGTCTCGTGGACTTGCGAAGAAGAGCTTCCTTTCCGGGACACGGCAACACCGGCGTGCGCTTGGGCAACATGGCTTTGACAATGGTGTTTTGAGTCAGCTGCACGTCAAGTCTCTCTGGCTGCCGTAGGACCTGTTCTCGTAATTGTTGCTTCTGCTCGCTCCGCCACTTCATCGTCTTGTCGGTTGCCTGCTTGCGGGCATGCAGTTCCAGCAGACCTTCCCGGAGGTTCTGTCTTCGCATCTCAGCCATTTGCTTCTTCTGTTCGATGTATTCGTAGTTAGGGTCATTGGGGTCGGCTCTTTTCTCTTTGGTCGGCAATGGCGTAGCGGCGGAAATGTACGCTTCCGTGGGCTTGTCCGTGCGGCGGGAAGGAAAGATTTCGCGAGGGACTGGAAGGACACCCTTGACGCGGGGCTTGGAAGGGAGGTTAGGCTGAAGGACCCGAGGCACATCAATGAAGCTGGGAGACTCAGGTCCGACTCGCAGAGAGGATGAGGTCGCGAAGCCGCGGAGCTGCACGGCGGCAGTTCTGGGATTCCGAAAGAGAGCCATGATAGACAGAGGGGCGTTGGTCAATGGTACGAGGAGGAATAGGCTCAATTGGGTCGAAGATATCGGAGTAATCTATTTGGACAGGCTCGAGTAAATTCACTGGCCCACCTCAATCAACCAGCGACAGACACAGAGATCCTGAAAGGGCTGCTGGCAAAGGCGGTCCTGCTCCAGCGGCAGTCGGACAGAGAGCGAAACGAATTTCCTGCCCTTGGTCCGTGCACCGCTTAGCTTGGCGCGCGCAAACTGACAGAAAAAAAAAATAATTCCCGCGCTTGGGAAACTTTTCTTTCTTTCTCTTTTCTCTTTTCCTTCTTGCGCTCCGCCAACTCTTATTTTGCAACACTACCACTCTGAGAACTCTCTTTATAACTTCTTGAGGTGCTCTTGGGAGGTGTTCTCATCATGGGTACCGGAAAGAAGGAAGCCACTCGTCGAGAGCGGCAGGGGAAGACTGGTGATGGCATGGGCAATGTCAGGACCAAGGGTGAAAATTTCTACAGGTGGGTTATTTGACAAGAAGGATTGCTTTACTGAACGCTAGACTAACATGCTTTGAAGAGATGCGAAGAAGGTGAAGCATCTGAACATGCTGAAGGATGGAAAACCTCGACGCAACGCTGAGGGAAAGATCACGGTGGCTGCTTCATACCAGTCTCGAGATGCCCCGGTTGCTAGAATCGAACCAAACCGTAAATGGTTTGGAAACACGAGAGTAATTTCTCAAGAGGCCCTCTCTTCCTTCCGTGAAGCAGTCGCCGAGCGTGCTTCCGATCCTTATTCAGTCTTGCTCAAAACCAACAAGCTTCCCATGAGCCTTATCAGAGATGACAAGGGCGCGAATGGCTTGAAGCAACATGAAGCTAAGATGGCGATTGAGAATTCTCCTTTCGGTGATACCTTTGGTCCCAAGGCTCAGAGAAAGCGTGTCAAGCTGGGTGTTGCCTCTCTGGAGGACCTTGCTGGCGAGACCGTCAAGATGCACGACGCCTATGTCGAGAAGACAGACCATGCTACTCATGAAGACGGTACCTTGGTTGTCAATGGCGACGACGTTGCAAAGGATGAAAACTCGGGCCTGGCAACCACTGCTGTTGAGTCTGTCTTCTCCAAGGGTCAGAGTAAGCGTATCTGGAACGAACTTTATAAGGTCATTGATTCTTCCGATGTGGTACTTCACCTTCTCGATGCACGTGATCCCGATGGTACACGTTGTAGGAGTATCGAAAAGTATATCCGTGAGGAGGCTCCTCACAAGCACTTGGTCTTTGTTTTGAATAAGTGTGATCTTGTTCCTACTGGTGTCGCGGTAAGTTTATTGCTCTCATACTGGCTTCATTTGTTCACACCCCTCGTTATTTTCCTTACAACCAGGGTCTCGGCCCTATGCCATTGCTAAGTCAAGGCTTCTCCCTGCGACTTCGTGTCGTGTTTTTCTACCTTGGGAGTATGTCTGTTACAGCTCTGGCAGATTGACGCGGATCCGCGCCGACCTTCTTTCTGAAGCTAGGCTGGCTGGTTTTCGTTTTGAAAGCCAGTCGCAAGGATCAAGCTGTGTTTTGTTTTTGAGTTGAGATCTGCTTCCGCTCAATGAGTGGCCCATAGCAGTTCTCTTAGTAACATCTCACACATTTTTTCTCATCTCATGTCACATTTTTGTTATGCGTTATTATGTTTTGCCATATTGCTCCCGGTGCAATGTCTTTGGTGTTCGCCTGCTAATGTAACACCAGGCTGCTTGGGTGCGCCACTTGTCGAAAGACTATCCTACTCTAGCATTCCACGCTTCGATCACCAACTCTTTCGGCAAGGGTTCTTTGATCCAACTTCTAAGGCAGTTCTCCTCTCTGCACTCCGACCGGAAACAGATTTCGGTCGGCCTGATCGGGTATCCGAACACTGGAAAATCTTCTGTCATCAACACTTTGCGGAAGAAGAAGGTGTGTACTGTGGCCCCCATTCCTGGGGAGACCAAGGTCTGGCAGTATGTTACCTTGATGAAGCGGATCTACCTCATCGATTGTCCGGGCGTGGTACCGGCCAGCTCAAACGCCACCCCCGAAGATATTCTTCTTCGAGGTGTCGTTCGAGTGGAGAACGTAGAGAATCCCGAGCAGTACATCCCGGCCGTTCTCAAGCGAGTGCAGCCTAAACATCTGGAGCGCACGTACGGCATCAAAAACGTGGATGATCCCATTGAATTTCTCAGTATTCTTGCACGCAAGGGCGGTCGTCTGCTTCGTGGCGGCGAGCCTGACCTTGATGGTGTCGCCAAGATGGTCATCAATGACTTCCTGCGAGGAAAGATTCCCTGGTTCACCCCTCCGCCTCACAATGCCGGTGGGGAGGACGAGGCGATCGAAGGCCGTGCTGGTCGGCTCGGAGAAATGAGTCGGAAGCGCAAGCTTGATGAGACAACCTCTGAAAAACCAGATGACTCTAAAGAAGCTTCAAAAGGAAAGACTCCCGAGTCCGACAATGATGAGTTCGAGGGCTTTGACAGTGACGACGACGATGACTCGATTGCAAACCTTGAAGTCAGCGACGAGGAAAGTGGCGAAGAGAACGACTAGGCATTCTTTTTGGCGAAACTCTTGTCAAACCCCACCAACGAGCCAGGTACCTCCTATGCCATCTGGCATCGCTCCCGAAGACATGCACCCCCGGTCGCGTATGTCGCTCCACAACTCAAAGGCGTATCCCAAGGTTCTGTCATACCTTGTCTTTTGATGGTCATCGAGAGCCACGTGCCTCACAGCACACAAGGACACGAACTCCTTTCGAGACTGGACCATCAGCAGGCGCCTCAAGCCTAGCACTGGTTCTATGTGAAATCTGCTGGCGTGCCATCTGGACTGTACATCAGCAGTGCACGCCATGGCTCAACTCAGTGAGCATGGTTCGTCCTGTCGATCAGATTCTTGACCAACATGACGCGCCTTAAATTATTTAGAGATACCCGCTTAGTGTTCACCCGAAGACTTGAAGCATTCAATCAAACGACCATCCTGAAACAAGGTGGTCTGATTCAGAAGAAGACTGGTTTTTTCCCACAGTAATCCACCCGTAAACATTTTTCAATAGGGCAGATTCCTCACCGCCGACGGAGCTCACGTGGGGCTTCCCCAGCCTCACTTGAAGGCCTCGTCTCCGTAGCAGCTGCCAGAAGATACCTTGCATTTCCTTATCATCATAACCCATCATTTCGGGCTATTTATTAGCTATTCATGTCTTTGTGTGCCTTGTGGATATGCCACTCTCCCCTTGACAATGGAGGATGAGGGCATGTCCATTGTTCCCTATGGATCGGGTAATCTTGATGTCGTGCTGTAAGCCAGCCTTCCTTCCCCACTCCTATCGTTCTCCCTAAATTAGATATTCTAATGCGGAGTATTGTCTTGCTGCAGGCGACACAATGACTCGGTTGTGGTTTACGATCGGGATTCGCGGCAACTCGTTCTCCAGAACACCGCAGAACGAAGGGGTAGTGACCTGGATCTAACCGACTGTCCTTACTGCCATCGTCCTTTGCACGAGACTGGATCAACTCATAGTGATCATGAAAATAGCGCGAGCGGGCAGGGTGAATTCGTTAATCCAGACTACTTTCGACTACTTCATGCCAGCTTACCTGGCTCTACGGACTCGTCCAACGCCCCTTCCCCCCGTCGCCGTCTCGTTCAGCCAGCTATTGCGGACGGGCCCACAAGTGGCCCTAGCGATACGGAGGTCGACACCCATATAAGTCAGGGAATTTCGTCCGCAGCATTCACGCAGGACTACTTCAAAAAATTCTTTGTTGAAGAGAGGGTCCTAGGTAAAGGCGGCAAAGGCGTTGTCCTTCTGGTAAAACACGTACTGGACGGTGTCTCGCTTGGCCATTATGCCTGCAAGAGGGTTCCTGTCGGAGATGATCACGAGTGGCTTGAAAAGGTGTTGGGTGAGGTGCAGCTTCTGCAGCACCTTTCCCATCAAAATCTCGTCTCTTATCGACATGTGTGGTTGGAAAATGCAAAGATCACTACATTCGGGCCGAGTGTCCCATGCGCGTTCATACTTCAACAGTATTGCAACGCGGGAGATCTCCACAATTACATCTGTGGTGCAGTGCAAACCCCTACTACGACACAGCAGCTTAAAGACCGCCTGAGAAGAAGGTCAAGGGGTGGACTAGATCCTGAGAATGACCATGGGGCACTGCGCAAGCTCCATTTCGAGGAGATTTACTCCTTCTTCAAAGATATCACTTCCGGAATCCGGTACCTTCATGCCAATGGCTATATCCATCGTGATCTCAAGCCCCACAACTGCTTACTGCATAAGACAAGTGACGGGGTTCGGGTGTTGGTGAGTGACTTTGGCGAGGTTCAGGCCCAAGATGCAACTCGAAGGTCCACCGGGGCTACAGGGACTGTTTCTTACTGCGCACCGGAGGTTTTAAGGCGGGAGTATCCTGACGGGCCCTTCGGTAACTTTACCTTCAAATCCGACATCTTTTCCCTAGGGATGATTTTGTACTTCCTCTGCTTTGCGCAACTTCCATATAGCAACGCCGACTTGATCCACGAGGAGAAAGAAGACTTGGACCGACTTCGCGAAGAGATCAGTCAATGGTCGGGATTCGACTACGCCAGACGCATGAGACCGGAACTCCCCGAACAGCTTTATATGTTCCTTCAGCGTTTGCTGTCCGTGGATCCCGATCGCCGCCCATCGGCAGAAGAAGTCCTTAACGGTCTTCAGGCTGGGGCCAATGTCAATGAAAACTTCCGCCTGAAGCGGACTAGCCCGACTAGTCCTGACATGCGCCCCAATTCTCGAATTCATCCGGTAGAGAGTCCGTCGCCTACATCCTACACTCGTCAAGCCCTGTCTCCAAACAGAGCTCTAGCGAGGTCACCACCAAGTGCTCGGCGGACATCTGCGTACGATAGCACCAACCCAGATGCAGCTAGGGCTGATTCCACCTCGTCCTCTTTGAGCTCTGAACGAAACCTCATATTCCGACCGCGTTTCTCGAGTACTCCCTCATCCTCGCTGTCGCCTACTCATCGTACATCTGAGGAACATCAACACGAAGTAAGGCCCCAGGACCTACCTGACACGGCCGAAGAGCCCCGACAACAACATCTCCTCCCACCACCGCCCAGCCACTGGTTCTTGCAAAGATACCTCCCATTCTTGGAACCCATAACAACATATCTGGTGGATCAGCAGCTTGGGCTTACAATCGTGCAACTGAGCACTTTTCTCCTCAAGCTACTCTCCGTATTTCAGCCCTGCAGTCCGCTGACCGTCAATCCATGGGTTACTTACCCCTTGCTGTTAGTGGCAGCGGTCAATTTCCCAACGAAAAGCTTTGTCAGGCAGATGATCTCACTGGTGCTGCACCTCCTGGTTGTAAGTTTGTGTATGCAGATGGAGGCGCTCTGTTGGAGGACGTACATGCGTTAAAATTCCGGTCCATGATGTTCGTTTGAGTGGTTGCTTGTATCCGAGTTGGGGTGGCACAGGGTTCAGACTGCGACGGAAAGAGATACGGCATCTGTCGCTTCGGTGCATGGCTTCGCAAGCGGTAGTGAAGCTACGCCTTTAATTGACAGATGCATGTGCCCATGTTATTGAAATGCATTTATAAACTATTTTAGGCAGTTACCTGGGTAGTGACAGTGACCATGCCGCATGATACGGGGTAAGATTCCGTTATTCGCTCATCTTGATGGCATAAGCGCTGTCCGGGGTCTTCTGATAATAGTTTGACACGGCGCCCTTTGAAAGATGCTCCTAATACCTGGTGAAGGCGTCAGAGACATGATATGTACTCCGTAGTACAAGCCAGACGCTCAACGTGCTGTACTTAGCCGTGTTGTGGTTTAACTACAATAGGCCTAACTGCTTGGCCCAACTTGGGACCCGCAAGGATCATTGGTCACCTCGTGTCATCCTCTCTATGGCCCCCATCGTGATCCCCTCACTCCCCATCTATACTTTCGTTCTACAAAAGTCTTCCTATCAATCATTGAAGCTGACGGAAAGTCTCCGGGGCATTTTTTGTCTCTTTTCTGCTGCACTCTCTCACTCCGCATAGAATTCAAATCATCTCTTCTGGCACCTCTCCCATGATCGACAATGCTGTCACAGTCTGTGTTGGTCTTCATCTTACTCTTGTCCTTGCCCTTCCTGTTCAGTTATCACATAATCTGGGGACTTAACTGCTGGATCAATCGACAAGAATACCTCGAGCGCACTAGGACGCGCTTGTCTTCGCTGTGAGCGGGTTTTCCGTCTCTTGAGGGGCACGATTACTATACAAAGATTCCATTTCTATGCGGTCGATACCTTCACCGACGGCTCGTCTCGCACCTCATCCTTGGGGCTTCGGACCAGTGACACTTTCGGCATAAGAATCGCATTCTCCACGCGAACAAACGTCCGATGTTCAGAGACTCTGCGATGATATACGGGCCTTTACTGGGACTATCAGCGAATGAGGGCGTCACTGCTAAGGTTTCATGGGCAAATGAAGCGCTAAGCGGCTAGAGCAGAGGAGGGGGAGGTCGTTTGTTCTCTAACAAAGTGGTTGCTCGGATTGGTTCCCTTGGGCAGGACAGAGCCCGTATTCCCAACTTAACATACCTTGAGCAATGTTCCACCGTCGCATGACAGTTCTTCATGCTCGTGAACTTCAGTGGGCGAGGCAATCTATCTAAGTCATTCATCACATATCGTCTCTTCGAACCCTTTGGACAAAATTATATCTCGATCAGAGTTCACAAGGTCAGCTAAGGGTATTGCTTAAGAAACCCTCTCCGGGTACATTGGTACCACACGAGGCATAGACTGACTCAGGTACACTGTCATGGCATATTAATCTTCTATCTTCATGCGTGACTCAGCTCGCTCGTCACTGCATCAATGTATCAATCAAGTAGCAGAATCAGGCAAATCATAGCCTCGGCCGGATCGTCTGGCCGCCCTCCCAGGACTCTCCCGCTTCTAAAGTCTGCCAGCCAGCGACAGAGCCGGCTTCGACACAGATCATGTTCTTGTAGGCCTCATCCGGCCCGAAGTCGGCCATTCCCTTGGCCTTTTCGATCCAGGGGTTCCATACCACAACATCCGTTAGGGCTTCCCGGGTGATGGAGAACAGGGGTTTGTCATCAGAGACCGTGGTGACCTCGACCGGGACCTTTGGGTCGAGCGACTTGTACACCCGGTCGGTTTCCTTGTTGATCTCAACCGCGGAGGAGGTTTCGGTCTGGATTGAGCCACCCTGGGTCTTATCGGCATACTCCTTGGATTGGAGGTTCTTAACGCGGACTTGCGAGATGTCCTATATCCCTTCTTGTCAGTCTTTTCTCGCAAAAAGCTTAGCAATGGGGCCGGTGCCAATGTCAACGCACCTCAACGCTCAGGTATGTGTGCAGCAGAACCTGGAACTCGAAGTTCTGCTCTCCCTTGTTTTGTACCTGCAGGAAGGTTTCCAGACCCTCCTTGGTCAGAGTGACACTATACACCAGACCAAACTGGTAAGGCCACGCCTTCTGGAACTCCTCGCTCAACATCGGGTGCGACAGGCCAAAGTCCAGCTTGACTGCGTCATCTCCCTTCTTGCGGTCCTTGCCGAGAGACTCGGACGAGGACTTGCCGAGAAACTCCCAGTTCGAGTTCCGTGCGAAGCCGTGCTGCGGGAGGGAGGATGTAGCGTGGTTCGAAGGGGGAGGACCGAAGACCTGACCATGATCGTACTCGTTAGACGTTGGTTATTTATTGATGGAAAAGGATCTTGGTCTAGTGGTTCGTTCAGGACTCGCTTACCGGGAAGACGACAGGGATTCCACCACGGATGGGCTTGGAACCATCCAGGTGAGCCTTTTCGCTGACGAACAATTGCTCCTTGCCGTTGGCGAGCTTCCAGGAAGTGACGGTCGCTCCGTATAAGTGGACGGTGACCGACTCGCCGCTAGGCAAAGTGGCCTGGACTGTGTTGTCGTGGAAATTGACCGTTGGCTGAGGGATGGAAGCACCCACCCCAATGGCGGAAGGCTTGTTAGAACGGTCCATTGTGTGATGATAGATAATTAAGATGGCTGGTGCTCAGGAAAGGAATATGAGAATGGGTGAATTGAATGACTTCTTGTCTGTTATGAATCAATGCGGGGGGACTGTTGTTTGATGCGCCTGAACGGGCGGGGCAGCAGCGTCACCGTGGGGCCTTTTTCGCTTTTGTCAGCAGACCCTTATGCGCATAAGAGCTGTCCTATTTTGTAGTAATGCAGGACAATGCAGGACACTGACACGAGCAGGTATTGTCGCCATTGGAGACATGCGCATCTTCAATGGGCGGAAGATAGAAATTCTAGAAATATACCATTCACTAAGTACGACTAGGATGCGAGTCGTAAGTCGTTGAGAGTAACGGATTTTTGATCTCAACCAGCAGTCATCCGCAGGCTTTGACAGATCAGAAGACAATATCTATTCCTTCTCCAAGACAGCTATCAAGACTTGATCGAAGGAACATGCCACCCTTGAAAATATACTGTCTAAGATCCCTCAGTTGAGCGAGTTTGGCTATGGAGTTAAAGCATTCTACTTGAATAGTCATGTCATCAGCAGCCATAATGATCGATGATTGCACCATCAGAGCCCGCGCGGGGTCGAGGTTGATAATTCAGCATATATTAAAGCAACGAAAGATCACAACGCCCTGTCTTCGTACTACCTGACTGAATTTTGCTGTCATTCAGTATACCCTCAGTCAACTTCAAGCCCAACATGACCACCACAGTGACGATCACCGCTCAACAGCCCGATATCCAGTACACGCCCGACGTGGACAAATGGCGTGCTCGTGCGGAGCATCGCTTGCGCTCAGAGAATCTTCCCGGGGCACTTCCTTCCGGGTTTCCATCAAAGCTCGACTCTGATTTAGTCTGGGAAGGCAAGGATATCGCAGAGCGGTATAATTGGACCTATGTCCTGACCGAGGCTGACCTAGAGGAGATTGATGCTGCACTGCAGCATTTCAAAGGTACTGGTCATCAACTGCCCATACTGTGACTAGATCTGTCTTGAACCTCTCTAACACTTTAACTTGCAGCACTGGACAAGTCCCTTGGCTTCATCGACCCGGAGACCTTCCCACTACCAACGCTGCACTCGACGTTACGTGGTATCTCGCGTGAGCTCCATAACGGACACGGATTCAAGGTTGTTAGCGGTGTGCCGGTCGACAAGTACTCGCGTGAGGAGAACATAATCGTCTATGTGGGGATCTCCGCGCATGTCGCTCCAATCCGTGGTCGCCAGGACTCGTCCTATGACGGCAAGCCGGCAGACGTGATGCTCAATCACATAAAAGACTTGAGCGGCCAGGAGGGGAGCAAGGGGCGCATTGGGGCACCGGCATATACAACAGACAAGCAAGTCTTTCATACTGATCAGGGAGACATCATCTCCCTCTTTGCCCTCAATGCGGCCGCAGCCGGCGGCCAGAGTAAGCTGGCCAGTAGCTGGCGCGTGTACAATGAGTTGGCGGAAACGCGACCTGATCTGATCCGCACGCTCGCGGAGAATTGGCCTTTTGATGGGTACTATATTATGATCTCAAGCTGCCAGTGAAACGGGGCAATCCTGCTGACTTGTATATGGTGATAGATTTGGCAATCCTCAGAACCCATATCATGAGCGTCCGCTTCTCTTCCATCAGGCAGCCACCGGCACGCAACCTGAACGCGTGGTGATTCAATACGCACGCCGTAGCTTCACTGGATTCCAGGACTTGCCCAGGTCCAAGAATATTCCTCCCATCACCGAGGCACATGCGGAAGCTTTGGACTCGCTGCACTTTTTGGCTGAGAAGTTCGCAGTCGGCTTGGACTTCCGTAAGGGGGACATTCAGTACATCAACAATTTGAGCATCTTCCATGCTAGAGATGAGTTTCAAGACACCCCGGAGCAGCAGTGAGTTTCTCTTTCCGCAACGTACAACTGATGCCCGTCTTTACAGTCGCTGACGAGGGATTAGGCGCCATCTCATTCGTCTCTGGCAGCGCGATCCGGAGTATGCTTGGGACACACCCGTCCCGTTGGCCAAAGCCTGGAAGCAGCTCTACGAAGGAGTCACCCCTGAGGCGCAGCTCTTTCCCTTGGAGCCTTACATCCGGAGTGCGGCAGCTGGTGGTAGGAAGCATTGGTTTGTCAATGCGTCTATATGATGCTATTAGCATATTCTACCGTGTTCACCCCCGGTGTCGACTATTTACCTTGCATCGCGTGCACACCTGTACATCGCAGCAGCACGCTTGTTGTTCAGCTCCATTAATTGTGGATCTTATCAGCGAACATATATGTTTGCCTAGTCTAAGCCATTGAAACCGGAACACGGCCGAAATCAGATCTACTGGAGACAATGACCATAGCCAGACTAATTTTGCGAGTAATACTATAGATACAAACACACATTCACAATTCTCTAGCAGATCCATCAATTGCGCATCATTAGTCGGTAGAAATTAAGGTCTGGGGTTGTCCCACGGTACGGGCAGAGGTCGATAGCCCTACACCTTCTTACAGGCTCCACATAGCATACCTTTTTTTTTCCCTTGAACTTCAAAACTTTTCCTTCTCCCTCCCGAAGTAACTTTCTTCCGACCCCTTGGGATCGAAGCCGCTGTTCTTTTTCGGCGCATTGTTCAACAATCGCGGGCCATACTACTGACGATCCCGCGGCGTTAGCGGCCGTGGAGCAGGATGTGACGGATTCGGCGCATCACCACCCAGATCTCAGGGGCACCATCAACTGACAGGCTTTGCGTATAAAATGAGACCCTCCTGATACATAGGACAGCGTGTGGATTTGGTTTGTGCCAGAAGGTTTGCGGAAAAATAGTTCTTTGGTGGCGAAAAGAGGGGAGATCATTATTCCTTTGGCTAAATAAGAACTGTTGTTAAAATGACATAACAACTACCTGGCCCAAATGGTCCAGTGGTTCACAGCGCCAATCTTCTAGTGGTTAGGATCCAACCTTCCCATTCGCATAGGATTAGGTTGGGACGCGAGTTCGAGTCTCGCTTGGCGCATCTCTTTTTTTTTTCCCGTATCTTTCTATGGAGAAAAATCACCCTTGTCAAATAAAAAAATCACCCTTGTCAAATAAACCGTATGGTTGTTTTTTTTTTTTTTTCAATACCTTTAGTACAATTAAGACTTGCCTGTTCATCTCATGAGGCTTGTTACACCAGCGACAGGTCGACTGTTGGTACGGCTGAGATCACTGCATGCTCTCGCGTTGACTGATTTCCCCCGGGGTGGAACTCGGTCGTGGCTACACAGGACTCGTCCCAGAAGACCCATCCCGAGAAGAAATAGAATACAAAAGAGGTAGGTTGATTTGCGAAGTAAAGGTTATTACTGAAGGTAGGCCATATACGGTCAATCGAGGGACAAGCCGAATCATAAATTGACTGGGACCACCTCCTGAGCCCTGAGTAGTATATAGAGCCGTTTTTTGAGTGACAGGTGAATAGATGAGTCGGCGGACTCTAACCATGGGTCTAGTCGCCGTTGAACTTCTCCCGGCCACATTTGAGCTCGTCTAATATTGTTACGGCTGGAACCAGCAGGGAATGTCGTTACGCCGCATCGGCCAGACTGAAAGTTGAATCTTGTGGGACCATGAGTCAATGACATGTATGGCTCTGAGAGATCTAAGGAGTAACCCCATTTGTCAGTGGGCGAAGTATTTCTCAAGTTCTCAGCGATAAGATTCAACCACAGCTAGCGACCTTTGTTGCTCGCGCCCCGTGATGTCGACGCATTTATCATCATTGAGGAAACTCGGTTTCCACGGGGCCGGTAAGCTCAACAAAACCACTAAGCAGCAAAACATGATCAAATCTGTAAGTTAACTGAATTCGAGGAACAACAAATCGCCCTTTCGGCGCATGTCTCGGAAGAGAGCATACGATGCACCAAAAAAACATACAACAGAAGGGATTCGCTGGTGGTCACCCACCCAACTACTAACCTCCCGGCGTGTGGCTTGAGTACGGCTGAGCGGACGGGAAGCCCTATTTTCCACACCCTGTGGTCGTATGTGCCTGGATATATTGTCTATGGCTTATATTGGCACAATGTTGGAACAAGCTAACCTCAAGTATTATGGAGATATGGAAGTAGATTGAACGGACGTGCAAGCGTTAGGTTGACTTGCTTTGCCCTGACTTCATTCAACACCATGCAAATCAAAACCGAGGCCAGAGGTCAACCCTTGTACTCCGTATGATGTTTAAATAAGGGTCTCTAGCCCTCTTTGGAGATCCTCCATTGCCTTTACGGGGTTCCACTCATCTACATCGTATACATATATATATCTCGCTGGAGCAGAATTACTTTCTGTCGGCATCTCTCAACACCATCCTCGAAAATGGCGCATCAACCTCGCCATAGTTGATGCTCCCGATACTTCCTACGAAGCCCCTCTAACCAGCATCATATTGTATGCATATACGCTACCTGAGCATACCTCGATAAGCCCCCCTGGTTGCCTTCTATTACCCGATTGCAAGACCGACAGTCCCTCGGATTGTCTCGCTCACTCAGCCATTCAAGGCACGCTCGTACATCGGTACCAGAAGGAAACGAGCAATGTGCGTACCTATATTAAGCAGGATTATGAGTCTCTCGTCCCGAATGATCTTGTTCGTGGCTTGCACAACTACCGGAAGTTGTGTCGAGAGTTGCTCCTCACCGAGTCCTCCCCAGTTTGTTCATCCCCTTGCGTCCTACTGCCAAACCCAGGCAAGGAATTTCGGACTCCCCGATACGGCATGCGACCTCATCATCTCCCTCGTTCTGAGCGGGGCATGTGGCGTCGAGCCTGGCCAGAGCACCTCCCTCACGTGTTGATAGCAAGACCTTCCTTGCCCCGACAGGGCCTGTAAGGACTCACAGTGGCTGATATGTTCCCCTTGACATATATGTCGCTTGTCCGCACTTGGAGCTCACTCCTTGGCTTCGACCTCAGAACCTAAATGAAAGAAATCACGGGGATGGGAGATGACCCTAGCCCTACCAGAAAATAGACGACATGAGCGACTTTTCGCCCTCACCGTACCAACTCCTCTTCGAGGCAATCATATTCTGGAGCATCGCAATCGTGCTATACATTGGTAGAATGTAAGTTACTGCATTTAGTTCTTGACGGGTATGGTATTCCATTCTCAGAAGAGCTTCTATTAAAAGTCTCGCAGAGTTTCCCGTGTCATTGCAACCGGTTCGATCAAGCGCCTGTTTTGTATGATGCAGCCATGATTGTCAGTTGTCTGTAGCCACTGACGCCCAACCATTTTAGTCGAGGACTATGTGATGAGTGTCACGTTTGTGAGGTGACCTCACGAAGCGAGTCGGGACATACTAGCTAACCACCCCGTGGAGGCAGTTGATCTATACGTCAATGCTGGTTCTGATTCAAGTTTCCGCCCGCTATGCGACCAACCTCGTGGACCCGGCACAATACGAGGAGATTCTATCCAACCCACAAGAGGTCAACGACCGTATATTCGGGAGCAAGATTGTCATCGGCCTCGAACAGTGCATGCTGTTCTCGACCTGGGGGGTCAAAATCTGCATGTTGACCATGTTCTGGCGGCTCACCCACAACGTTCGGCTATTGCGGATGTATGTTAACCTGATCGCTGTCTTCATCGCTGTCGGATTCGTTGTTATCATGGTCACGTACTATGCTGTCTATTGTCGACCATTCTCACAGTATTGGGCTATGCCGGTACAGGACTTGCAGTGTGCGACCTACCAAAATTACTCCATCACGCAGGCAGTATTCAACATATCTTCGGATGCTGCCATGCTCGTGCTACCAGTTCCGTTGCTGCAGAAGACTCAGATGAACAGGAGAAAGAAAATCATGCTGGCGGGCGTCATGAGCCTAGGTGTCTTCACGATCGCTGCCGCCATCCTCAACAAGGTGTTCAACTTTGCCTCACCCTTGACGACCACCTATCAGCTCTGGTATATCCGGGAGGCAAGCACTGCGATATATGTTGCGAATCTAGTGTGTCTGTCACCCCTGCTTCGACGGATGCTTGGCTCGACCATGCAGCAGATAAGAAGCTGGCCATATGGTCACCATGCTCGCTGGCATTGGAAGGGATCGTCCAGTGCATCGCACTCCGGACAGATTCAGCTGGACCGGAAGACCTGGACCTCACCTCACCTTTGTATCACCCTCAAAAGGAAATGTGAACAGTCTACAGATGCTGAAACGCCGTCACGCGAGTATCGGTCCAATTGCCAGCGTAGAAGCGAGGAAGCCATCATTTGAACGCATGTTGAGGTTTTGAACAGGACTCCGGATCCGCGTACGGGTTGTTTCTGTCAGGTTCGTGAGAATAAGAGTCAATACGCATTCAGAAAAGAAGCAGAACTGAATCAAATTGATACAACGGCGCAAAACGCTAAGGACTTATCTACATCAACGCCAGTCGCCTATCCCGAGCTCGGCCTCATGATACATAAGTGAGAGACAAGAGAAGGAAGGCACGTTATCAAACTCGCAGTATGGCGCCGTCGCGGTGGGGAAACACAACGAAAGGAGTCTCTTGGATCAACTCTATGTAATCTAGAGAGTAAGTAGCCAGTGCCTCTGGAGTTCTTATGGTCAGCTCCTCCATTGAAAAGCGATGATAGAGGCAGAACCACAGTCTCGACTTACCGACGCCCAGGTGCGAAGCCTTTGAATGAGCTACCAGAGATGTGGAAAGAGCTCACGTCTGATCACAACCGCTGGCGGAAAAGCCGGGTCAGTCCTGGGAAGAATCCACCCGCTACGGCTGCCCGTCGAATTGCAGTAGCTCGCCTTGCACAATGGGCAACAAGCGTGGCGTGTCGTGAGCCACGGATCTAGGCAAGAAGAATGAAAGATATGATCGCACGGCAGTGGGCGAATCACATCCTGGCCATTGAACTCGTCCATACATATGACACACTCCTTGGTGGCATTGGGCATGTCAGGGTTCGCCTCTGTACCGGGGGCAGACCGGATCGCATCGACAACAGCATGAGCGGCATGAGAAGGATCAGCAACAGTGGCAGGATCATCACCGGCATCAGGAATATTGACAGTACCAGCGGCATCGGGGGCTGGGCCGTTCTCTGATAATTCATGAGGAGGCACGTCGTGGCATATGCCATTGGAGTACACAGCTTCATTCATCTGGCCAAATTCGGTGACCTCAGCAGAAGCATTGTGGTTCGAGACGGCGGTAACCGTTTCTTGTGCGATCCCCTTGCCAGGCGCGCAACTGGTATTAGCTGCCAGCCAGTCACTGTACTTCAGTGTCAAGAAGCGGCGATTAACTTCGCGAATAGATATCACAGCGCGGCTGGAACCAATCGGGGCAGTTTCGGGATCATTGCCAGGCAGCTGGCGCACTCGGCGCCGTCTTCTTAAGTCGAAGCTTCCCCTGACGTCGGATTCGAGAGTCAGTACCGGCCGACAATGGAGACAAAGAAGAAGGAACCAAAAACATTTCAGTCTGCCCACTCACCATATAAGAAAGCCGAGCAAAAGGAAGGCAGCTGGGGCAAGGAAGCCCACAATGGCTGCTTGGGAGAAGCTGATCATGGCCAAGCAGGCTGGTTCACGTTGCGTCTATCTCTTGAAGTACAGCCTAGATCTTGTCAGGGACTGATAGACAGAATCAACGATACCAAGCAGAGAAGTCACATACGTTGGTCTGTTGAGCGGTGAAAGGAGGCGAAGTTGTATATCTCCGAGGATCCAGAGATGTCAGCTGTTGCGGACAGAAGTTTGTACGCACCGATGAGTTCAGTCAATCACCAGATGGAAGGGGAAGAGTAGGAAGGAAAGACAGATAGCAAGGCCCGTGTTATGAAGTTAAATATTTTGTCGTTTGCACACGAATCGCAAAACAGGTGACTTTCCTCTATGGTCGAGCGTACATACCGACACGCCAGATATGGTGCAAATGAGTAAAGGGTTGCGATTCTCTGGACTCTCTTCTTAAGATCTCCAAACCCCTTTCCTCCTGATGGAAACAAGACATGGAAGATGGTGCTCACTGATCTGTGCAGCTAAGTGAAAGGAAAAGCCGGAAGAAAAGAGCCGTGCAAAGAAGTTGATTCCATCCGGCATTGTTTTCCCTTTTCTCAAATGACGAAAGACTGACTGAGTGTTTGGATGACTGTCTACCGACCATTTATTTATACCGCCTACCGCTCGTTTGTTTGACTCAGCTTCAGCTTGGAGAGGGGGGACGGGACAAGGACAATTCATTCTGCAGTCTATCTTCTCTTGAAGGAAAAGGAACATATGTGTACTGAAATGAATCAGTCGGGTTCTCCAATGGAGAAGGAGTGGTTCTGTGCAGATTCGATAGATCGGTGGGAGTTGGCAGTGCATGCAGTGTATGCAGTGCTTAGGCGGGGACTTTGGAAGTATAAAAGCTCAAGAGATGTCTATGTATGGCCCCTTCTTCAACGGGCCATGCGGTAGATAGAGAGACCATACTATCTTGCAAGCGACAAGAGGACCGGTGTGGTCATGCGCCAAGACGGTTTGCACTTATTGTGGCACAGAGCTCACTGCTCGGAATCTTCATAGCCAGCCAATTTATGTGATATGTAATGGGCCAAGAGTTCCTGACCGGCGCGGACAAGAATAAGACTGTTGCGAGGATCCTGTCAGTAAGACAATACTGGGATTCCCACCGCTGCCATGCTACTGTAGTTAATGGTTCCTTGCTGAATCAGTACTAGGCGACAGTAAGGTGGGAGGTTGCGCCCCCCCCCCGCCTCTAAATCTGCTCATGATGCAGGAGACCGTAATTCTAGCTGGCTGGCCTGCATACTTCGTCAGCGCAAGTCATTGAATGAGTATTTTGGCATAGAATACACCATTTATAGCTGAATATCATAACAGGCCCGGGTGGTCTAGTGGTATGATTCTCGCTTAGGGATTCCAAACCCAAGCATATCTGCGAGAGGTCCCGCGTTCGATCCGCGGCTCGGGCCGTTATTCTTTTTTCTTGCCTTCCTACATCTCTTCTCTGCTTACTTGTCTATCTGTGAATCGACAGATGCGTCTCTTCAAAGCGTCGGAGGTAAATGACACCTCGAGAACAGCCGGAAAATATACTTTTAGCAGTGTGGGTGCATGCAAACCGCACCTCATCATCTTGAATTTACCTCAAAATGGACTTTCTCTTCATGTGCAGGTGGAGAACCATAGTACAAACCCTCTTCCTAATCATGGCAATTCAAATATCAAAGCAAACCAGTATAACGATGCAAAATGAGAGCAAACCAGAGCCAGGAAGCAAATCTTTTCCAGCGTCCGTCCCCCAAAGACATACACGTTGACCCTCAACAAAAAAAATGAAAAAACAAGGGCGTATAGAATATAGTACCTATGATAAATACCCTGCAGACATACCAGACGCCTTCGCTATGCAAGAAATAATAGAAATAGTCAGCCCGCATTCCTCCGCATCGCCTCGTGTGTTTCCACCCGAATATCAAACAACAAGTCATCAATCTGTTTAAGGGATTGACGGTCCAGCCTGGCTAATTTGACGTCGTCAAGTACTTTTCGAAGTGAGCTGGTGATTTCCGCCTCGGATTTTACCAAAGCCGCCTCTGTTCCGGTTTCAGTTCCTGCTTGGATGTTGAGGGACGAGGCTCGCGTTTTCTTCTTTTTCTTGCCAGAGCTCTTCTCTCTGCCGGCAGATGGAGTCTTCGATGACTTGGATGTAGCCTCTGTGATGGGGTGTGTGTCGGTCATGTGGATCTCACTGTCTGCTGAGGAGTTGCAGCCATCAGCAGACACCGGGTGGCTTGATGCTTGCTCCGAGTCGCCAGGCTTTCGCGGCTCCACGACTTCTTCAGGGACGACAGGAGCCTCGGAAATTCCTTCAGCACCACCAGCGCGATCAGAGGTCTTCTCACGCGCCATCACCCCTGTCTCGTCTCCTGCTGCAGTTTCCTGCGGATCACTCTCCTCCTGTATGGTGTTTGTGTCCTTGCCTTGCTTACGTGAACGAGAGGGCCGAGGTGATTTCTTTGGCTTCTTTGAAACCGGACTCTCCTCAGGTATCGGCGGCGCAGCCTGACCACTCAAACGCGAAGATCTCCTCTTCTGAGACTTGTCCTGACTCTCAAGATCCTTGTCCTTCGAGCTGCTAGGCTCCGACACTTGGCTATTAGTGACGGGTCTAATAGCGTCAGCAGCCTCGGCCCTGGTGTCATACTTCCGTCGCTTCGGCGCAGACTCGGCAGGCGAAGAATCGAGATCTTTGGGGTTCGGCAAGTCTTGCTTGGATCGAGTCGTATCCGGTTCTTCCTCCTCGGCAGCAGCGGGCATGCGTGTGAGCCGAGAAGAGCGGCGTCTTTCCTTGTTTCTAGGAGTGTGCTCTTCCGCCTCACGCTTTCTTTTCTTCGATGGTAGAGCCTCTTGGGAGATTACTCTCGCTCTTTCGCTACCCGCAGCTTCATCCTTGTCTACAGCAAGCTCCAGATCTTGCTCTAGCTGAGATGTCACCTGATCCTCCATGTCGATATCATCATTGCATGAACTGGTAATGTGATTGTGTTGTTCTGCTTGTGATTCGGCGACTTCTGTAATTTCGAGCGATCCTTCCTCTTCTTGTGGTCCAGTCTCTGTATGGAACGCAGTGGCTGAGGCGTATGCCTTTGATGCAGATGTATGCCGTGGCTCTTCACCGTCAGTGGCATTCCCTGCATGATGCTTTTCAGCCGCGGGTTCCTGAGGAGTGTCAGACATCTTGCCGGTGGAGGAGCGGAGGCGTTCAGTCATAGGCTGGTCCGCAGCATTGCTTGAAGCATCTTGAGTGACGTGCTCTGTCTGATTAAGCTCGGAACTCGATTTTTTCTTGAGCTTGGCTGAGCGTCTGGCCTTTTTCTTTGCCTTCTTGCTCTTACCCGGCGTGGACACGGGTGTTTCAAGATCAAGGGTGTTCCCGTTGGCATCTGGGGCAGGAGTGAGCGAGTCATGCTCTGCGGGAAGAGAAGCAATTTTCGGAGGGGAGGATCGAGGCTCATCATCCAACGAGGCTTCTGGGACAGATGATAGGGCTGGTGCCGCATGCAAATCGCTAAATTGCGACCGGCTTCTTGCAATTGGAGTAGGTGACGAGCCAAGGTAGTTATATTGATTTTCTGCAGACACTGGTGGCAGTGGAGGAGTTTGAGGGGTTCCTGCGTCGGTCTCGAAGCTCTGAAGATGGCGCAGCTGCGGTGGAGTCATAAAATGAACATCCTGGGGTGTATTGCTTGGAGGCGAAGATGATTGGAGATTTTCAATCATCGAAAACAGCTCGCTGCGCTTGCTGCTGTCTTCTGGTCCTGATACAAATGGATCTGAGTGAGAAGCAGCACGTGGTACAACAGTCAGACTGTCAGCTTCCCGAGCGCGTTCTTGTTGAATCTCTTTCGTAAGCCCTCGCGTAACTGCACGGTCTAGACCTCCAGTGACAGGTGATGAGTTCAAGCCCGAGTCTACCGGTTTGTCCAGAATAAAAGAGATACGAGACTTCAACGACATGTCCACAGAGGGGTTTGGTTTGTCGGCAATCTCGACAGGGGCGTCAAGCTTGAACTGTTAGCATGATATCATTATAGCTTGTTATGGCATAAAGTACCTTCAATTCTCCTGAAGGTGTGATAGCCTGCTGATGTTTCATAAGCGCTTCTAAGCTGTTCAGCGCCTGCGTAATCCTTTCTGAGCGGGGCGGATATCTTTGCAAGCCGAAAGTGGTGCTCCAGAAATCATAAAACCTTTTTCTCACTGATATATGTGAAGAATCAAGACCAGCATGAATGATATCCTCGAATTCTGGCAAGAACGCGACATCGTGGGGAGAAGAAGCTTGGAGGATATTCAAGACTGCTGACGACAACGCGCGACACTAGACAAGGGTTAGAGTATTTCTGGAGCCCCTTGCTTCTTACACTTACCGCAGTTAAGATCCTGCTCTCCACGCCACCTTCAACGCTAAGTCTCTTATCTTCATCTTTCAGATACATGACCAGCGGTAGTTGGAGATTTCTAAGCACAACGGACCGAGCAGTCGGAGTACCTGAGCCCAAGAGAGATGTTAAGGATTCGATGAAGTCCGCCATACCGCTCGTTTCCGAAGGATCAAAGCGCTCGTATGACTCCAACAGCGTGCGTCCAACCAGGTCAAGTAACTTTTGAAACGGCAGATGTTTCTCAGTGATTCCTTTCTCAAAGTCCTGGTAATAGGTAATGGAGGAAAGTAAATGCTTAAGGATAGATGCCAGCGGTAAGTACGACTTCCGGGCGCCACCCTTCAGGATTGCCTCGGCAAGGGGCTCAAAAATCATGAGCACAATCGCTTGATCACTTTTCTCGGTTCTCACAACACGAATGAGTGAGTCAAGAAGCTCATTCCACACTTGAAAATCGCGATAATAACTCAACCCTGTTGAAAGAATTTTTACAACGTTCTCATAATCTCGAGCAACGGAACCATCGCGTTCGCGTGCAGTCTCCATTGGTAGAGAGCGCAAAGAATCTGCGGCCGATTGTGCCGTACAGTCCCAGACAGTCTGTGCCAAGAAGGGGCCTAAGGGAAAGTCGGAGTCGCCGTAGTCATCGTAAAGACTCGCACACTGCTGGAGTAATTCTAAGCGCGAGCTCCGCGAAGTCTTATCACTGCACGTTGCCTCAAGGACACTCTTCACCAAGCGAGAGTATGCGGTGCTGCGCACGGTGATGACGGACGTTTCGCTGATCATTCGAAGATAATGTAAGGTTGGGGTGCTTAGGTTGGTGCTTGCCCTGGAATGGCGATGGGTAGGAGTAGTAGCAGCTTGGAACGAGTAGTCAGAGGTTCGAAGAACAAGCTTTTCCGTAAATCGGGCACTCCCAAGGGAGTAGATCATTGTAGTGGACAAGAAGCGAAATCGATCGAAGAACACATCCATGGAGCCATCTTCTTGGTTCGCGCTGAGCGCATCTGGTCCGGTGGTCCAGATCCGGCGAAAAAAGACAAGTATATGAGCCACAGTCTGCATTGATTCGGGAGTTGGAGTGATTTCTTTGTTGAAGGTAAATGCTAGGGCTCTTGACAAGTTCAACCATGCGGCGCCAACATTTGACTGTTCAATATTGGCGTTCCAAATCGGCGCTTTGAAAATGGTCTCGATAACGTCAAGTACCGATGAGATTCTCGACCTTAGCCACCTGCTCTCAACCGAGGGTAACTCTTCTGGGTCCAGCTTATTGCTTTCGATGACTTTGTTCTCTACCCAGGGTTTTGGATGCGAGCTCCAAAACATATTAGACAGCACGTGGGCAAGCCGATCGTGCATATTGGGTACTGTTTCGAATACCGTCGACAAAGGCGAGGCGACGTACTCCTTCCAAACAACATCAAGATGCTCAAAAGATGCAGACGGACGGAATGCATAGTACAGTAGATTGTAATAACTGCACAGAGCGAGCTGGCTAGGTTGTTTGTCATGCTTCTTACGGTCAAATTGAGACATGATCGGCTTGCTCAGCATCTTGAGTATAGAAGGGCTTGTCGCGTCGCTAGGGCCAACAACAAGAACGAATCGATTCCAACCAACAATGGCCTGGGCCTTGATAGAAGAGTCACTGCAATTGAAACATCTTTGCAGAACTAGCACCCATTCCTTAAAATGCTCCCACTGATCAACGTTGAACTTTTTGCTTCTCAAAAGCAGCACGATCACGCCCCAGACCTGCGGCACATGTATACCTGACTCAGAATTGTTCATCATCCGTGACATTCGCTCGCATACTTCAGTTACCATCTTTCTGTTCTTGTCAATGGACTTGCCGAATACATCTCGGACAGCCTTGGATAGCGTTGGATTGGGGCCGCAGGCGATGGAAGTCTGGAAGCCAACTGAAATAGCTTTTATGCGAGTATCCTTCATGTGGTGAAGTAATCCCGAGATCAGATGCTCCATCCACAAAGCTGCATGAGAGACGAATGCGGATCTCGATTGATTGAGAGCACGGGAGTAGATGCTCAACCGCTGAGACACAATTGCGTTCCCGTTGACGCGACCAGTCAGACCGTTTAGAACAGTGAGAAGACGTATCACTCTAGCATTGGTCATGACCTTTGCCTGGAAATTTTGTGTAGCCAGGACCGACAAGTAGTGTGTGACCACGGACTTAGGCACTTTCGCATCCTGCAGACAATCGATAGAATGATCGATAAGGAATGCTTTAAAGTCGTCTGAGAGGCGGGTGGAGATCTCACTGTGCCAAACAAGAGCAACAGCCAGCTTCAGTGCCTGGATGACAAGATTGGTATCCAAGGGACCTCCGTTCGCCACGTCCCTGTTGACGTCTCGTTGAATGAAATGTGTGATTGTGCCCAGCTTCGCAATGATTTCTTGCTCTCCAGGAAGCCCCTCGTATGCCCTGAGTGCCCCAAAAAATTGCATGTATGCGTCCAATCTAGAGCTGACCGTGTCACCAGCTAATTGCTGGAGAATGGATTCGAGGAGCATGGCGAAAGAGTCGGGCGTGTGCGGTGTGGAGGAAGGAGAATCGGTGAGGGTGTTCGAGTTTGTTGACTTAAGGATTGACTTGGCAGGTCTCAGTTCGTTTGACGGTGGAAGTACCTTCAGCTCGGGTCGCGACTTCGCAGCTGAATTTGTGAATGTCGGTGGCTTGATGTATTTAGTCCATGGTGAGAAATTTACACGCTTAGATTGGCGAGTTGAAGGGGCGCCAGTTGAGCCGTTGACAGAGAAAGGCGACTCATGAGGCGTATGCACGATAGCCGGAGAGTCATCAGTTCGATCCTTCTCGGACAGCATACAAGATGTCCTTGGTGGAGTTGGCGGACGAGCAGAGACAGGACCGAGAACCTCCACCATATTTCTAGCGATCGAATGGTCAAGGAAGAGGGATCAGATGCGAAGAAAAAGAAAAGAACATCGCGATATAGACCTGACAGCGATCACGAGTGGTCCATGGCCTAGTCGAAGCCTGGGAAGGACAACTTTTCGAGCGAGATATGGAAGTCCAGATGGAGCAGGGCTGTCGAGCGTTTGTTCCTCTGGGGGAACCGCGCCAAGCCACGCAGCTCAAAAGAGACGCGCCTGTGGCTGAGGCACGCGTAAAGTGGCAGCGCCGCGTTTGATGCCTTAGAAGGTCTGATTCAGGCCTCAGGCACTGACCCCTGGTGTGGGCTCCGGGCGGGAAATTGAAGCCAACGAAAACTAAATGAACCATCAATGACAGACAGAATCAAGCTAGAACACCGGGCTCGAAATGTGGGTCGGGAGTCTCGTGTCTTTGATAGGACAGATTCTCAAAAGCCTGGATTATCTTCTTTCAGACAGAACATAAAATCATTTACCTTACTACTGTGTAGTACATGCTATCTCTTGTCGTGGATCTGGTGGAGATCACTTGTGAATCTGAGTGGGGTTCTTCTGCTTTATCGCACCTCTATTCACTTTCCGATCCAGCAAGCTTTAGCTTCTGGCAAGAATTATTTTTCCTGCAAGTCTCAAGACTGAAAGCCTCCATGCCCCTTGGTGCAAGCTCTTTGAACATTGCAATACGCTGCAACTAACCTTCCCACCCTGGATAACGGCACATCGGTGTTTGCGCGGTCGCAAAGAGCCACTGACTCTAATCAAGTGGGACCCAAGTTTGGGCGGACTACGGAGTAGTAGGGGGCGTGTTACAAAGCTACCCGGGAAACAGGTATCGGTCTGCTCTGTCTGCTAAGCTCAAGGCTCAATACCCATAACGATGGAGTTTCGCATACTCCAAGGTGCAGGTAAGTAGGATATCCATGATAACCTCATCTAAGACTAGCCTAACTGGTTGTTATTAGCTAAATCGCAACGGGTCACCCAGTTGGTGGACCTACTCAAACAAGACCAGAGTGAGAAATCGCTCACATCAAAGCGTAAGTACAAAGAAATCCGTGGATCTGAGTAAACTTCTTATTCCGCGGGTGGTGCTTCACAGAACGCGTACAGACCCTGCTTGAACTGAGGCAGCATGGCACCAACCCGGACAACGCAGGCCCGATCTACTCCAAAGAGGTCCCAGAAACCCAGAACCTGCTGTCTGTGCTTCAAACGCTGACTTTCTTACAGGGAATCCAGCTACTAACCAAGTACGGTGTTACTGGTGAGACGACCGATGTGCGCCGAGCTGCTTTACGATGTGTTGCCAATGCTCTTCTCTTGGATTCTTCCATGCGCCAGTTGTTCGTCGATACAGGCTATGGGGGTAAATTGGCGGAAATGCTCAAGGTAAACACCTCAAAAGGCACTGTCTAGCATATTTCCTATGCTGATCATAAGGTAGTGCGATTCTTCGGATGATGAAATGGTCATCAGTCGCATATTGTTTCTTTCAACCTATGACACAACCATGGACTTTCAGGTACTCATTAAGAATCATCTCCTGGCCGAACATGTCAATTATGTAAGTCAAAGCCCCGTTTTCACCTATTATAGCACTATGGATTGACGGGTTGATGTATACAGCAAATCATGCGACATGCCAAGCAATTCCCAAAATCAGGGAAGAAGTCTTTGTCACAGATGGACGAGCTTGCGCTCATCGATACACTTAAATTGATATTCAATGTCTGCAAGATCTACTCCGATCTGGCGGGTAGCTTTTCGCTCTCAATCCCGCACATATTCAAGATCATTAGCCGGATGGATATACCCGAAAAGCCTTTTGATGGTCTGCTAGGCTATCTCCTGAATTGCTTGTCAACTCTTGATCTCGAGAACAAGAAGGGCAAAGCTTGGGAGAACAATCCACTCTTTCCCACGTTCAACCAGAACTGCAATGTTGACAAGTTGATCAATATCCTGGACCAGGCTGTGTCTGCATACAAGGCAGATGAGTTGGAAACCAAGGCAATTCCACTCTTCCATACTCTCGTGACTATTCATGAGCTGGCGCCTGACGGCCCTCGCAAGTACATGCAATGGCTCTTGTTACCAGATGACAGTGATAGGAGCCGTCCTATCGGACAGTCAGACACGCTTTCGTCCAAGCTTCTGAATCTCTCAACAACTCCTTATCCCAACTTGAAGACTGCGATCTCCGAGCTCATGTTTGTTCTCTCCGGTAAGGACGCGGAGAACCTGACTAGAAACATTGGCTATGGGTTTGCAGCAGGATTGTTGGCGTCTCGCGGGATGGAGATACCGCAGACCGCGGGCGAAGCGTTTGCGACCAATCCGCAGGGATTCAATTCGGAAGTTAACCCTATCACCGGACAGAGATGGGCTGCCGAGAAGCAGGATGAAGGCCCCCAAATGACACAGGCTGAAAAGGAGCGTGAGGCGGAGAGATTGTTTGTGCTCTTCGAAAGGTTTGTGTTGTGTTTTTCCCGCGACCCGACCACATCTCCGATTGCTAACGGCGTCAAACAGGGCCAAGGCCAATGGAATCCTCAGCGTGGAGAACCCTGTCACACGCGCCTTTCATGAAGGAAGATTCGAAGAACTCCCCGATTCGGATGACAGTGACTGAGCCTACGCTACCTGCTGCCTTGTTACGGCTGTACCATATTCTGTCCCCTACTCTGATAGCAGAGTTTGTACAATTTCTTTTTTCACTCTACGTGTCCAATTCACCGCCGAGCTCCTGAGCATAGCGCTACGACTGCATCTGGCATTTGTGTACGTTAAACTTGCCGAGATAAATCCGTCGCCTGTTGATCTCGATCTGTCATCTGCAGAATCCAATGGAAACATTAATAAGCGAGGATAAATTCAAGCACAATAAGCAATTATACGCGATCTGGAAGGTGCTTGAAGTTTCTGGTAGAGTCTGGTGTAGCAAGAATCGGCCTTGACACGAGTAGTCAGTGTACTGTCTCTTTCTATACTCCCAAAGCGCTTCTAAGCACTTTGGGGTCTGCGGATGACGTACCGATTTGGTGCGGCGGGGTTGTAGGCGGCGGCGCAAAAATCTCCGCCCGCGGCAGAAAAAGAAGTGGTGTGCCGCGGGGCATTTCAAACTTCCATCCCAATCAAACAACCAAAACCTGTTCTCAAGTCACCGAACAGAATCTATCTCTCAATTCCTTGGATTGTTCTTGACCACATATCTTTACTTCACATTCTACGAATACAACCGCCACAATGTCGAAGGCTTTTGATCCCGAGACCGCGGAGAACTTGGAGGATGTAAGTCGTCTTCGCGCCTTGAAAGCGCCCGTCACCCACCACGTTTCACAAGTTGCAACTCGCTAAATCGTCAAATGTAGATGGAGAAGCAGTTTGCTGTCAAGGGTTCGTCTATCAGTCCCGTTCTTTTGTCAAACCTTCCTACTCACCGCCTCCTAGCCGTGGAGCACTTGATGACATACTGGGCGATCCTCGAGAAGGTCCCCGGCTCGCAGCTCCGCCTGACCAAGATGGACAACGAGATTTACGAGTCCTTTATGAAGGAGTTCCCCGACTTCGACCCCGCTGCGACGATCGACGAGGACCAGATGAAGAGCAAGGAGGGCAAGGAGAAGTGGCGCAACTGGATGAATCAGTACGAGAAGACGATCGACGACTTCAACTTCGGCACTATGCTCCGCTCCAACGCCAAATTCGAGTACGACCAGGATACGACCATCTTCGGTGGGTAGTCCTTCATGCGCGATGATTCCCATCTTACACACAACGGGAGAGTTTGGCACTGACATTGCGGAACAGCTATGCGCATGCAGTTCTACGCGATCGAGATCGCCAGGTGAGCACCAATGCTTTGCAGGTAGGAAGACACAAAGTGACTAAAACTCAAAACGCAGAAACCGCGCTGGACTCAACGATTGGATCTACGAGAAGGCCCAAAAAAAGGCGAGCTCTTAGAATCGCCACCTAGTCCCGAAACCTTCCTTGATTATCTAGATTCCGCGCACGAATGACGGATCCATCCCAGCTCCACAAATCCTGCATTTTGCTATCGCCTACGGGATTAGTGCAATGACTCAAGTCCATCACCGTCAACCTAACGGCCCGTTGACGGCCCCATGGGTCTCTCGTTGCCGGTGTTGGCGTCGCTTGAATGGCCTCGGCGAGAGCTGGGTTTCCTTTCAAAAGTGGCGGGATTGGAAATGGATTCTCTTTCTTTTCTTGTCAAAAGGTGAAACGTCATGTATATACATTTGGAATGAAGTAATGAGTAGAAATTCTGGTGGTTGATTTGCCGCGCTAGCGGAGAACAATAGCAACGACGGCTCATTATCTCAACATTCTTAATATAACCGCTTTGGGACAACCCGCGGGCAAATGGACATATCGACACCCATTGTCAGGCCTCACAACTACAAGAGAATAGACGTTGAGTGTTAGACTTTTGGCTCCTCATCTCGATATGGGTTGATGGATTGCGATGAGCGTTTCTGCATTTCCAGGCAAACCATGTATCTCTCAGAGTTTATCAACCTGCCTCCTCGATAAATACAAAAGAACGAATCATCAAAGGCTGATCGCAGGGCCGGATCAACAATGGCTACATTCATATTGAGACTTCCCTCACGCAGAGATTCGGGCTGGTTGTCTTTGTTCAGCTTCACCACCAGAAAGCATGCGCCCACTCTGATCGGAGGCATCGTTCTCGCTATCATCGCGAGTTTGCCCACGCCAATTTTCTCGATATTGCTTGGGGACATCTTCAACGAGTTCGCCTTGTTCGGTGGCCGAGAAATTACTAACGGGGATCTAATTCGGTCTACAACCAAGTATTGCATTTGGCTGGCGGTACTGGGAGCAATCAGCTGGGTTTGCAATGGGTGCTACTATATCCTGTTTGTTATATTCGGAGAGTTGCAAGTGGCGAACGCTCGCACCGAGCTCTTCGGTGGGCTTTTGAAGAGGGACCAAGAATGGTTTGAGACACAGCAGGATGGAACTCGGGTATACCTGTCTAGTCTTCAAGGGTATGTTGCCTCATACTCTTGTCCTGACTTACTTGCTAGACGCTGACACCGACATTAGCTATATTGATGATCTGCAGAGGGGAACATCGCAGGCATTTGGACTTGCCTTGCAATACCTCTTCCGAGCGATTGTATCGCTGGTCCTAGCTTTCTATACGTCCTGGAATCTCACCTTGGTTACTCTAGCCGGAATACCAGTGCTATCGGCCATCATCTCGTACTTGTCGGCGAAAATGAACGCGAGCTTTGAAGCGCAAAAGAACGAGCTTGCCAACGCATCAAAGATTGTGGATAGCGCCACCGCCTCGATCGATGCAGTCAAATCCTTCAATGGGCAACTGGTCGAACATCGGAAATTTGTGACCAGTATCGACCGAGCGGCAATGTACTACTTAAAGCGAGCGCGCTTCACCTCCCTGCAAATCGCGTTTCTGCGTATGATGACTTTTGGTATGTTCATTCAAGGCTTCTGGTATGGCAGTTCTTTGGCAACATCCGGCAATCTCTCTGCAGGGGAAGTCTTAAGGACCTTCTGGGCCTGCTTGGCAGCAGCACAGTCCTTCGAGTTTATTATGCCGCAGGCAACGGTTATGAGGAAAGGGAAGATTGCATCCATTGCTCTGCAACACGCATTGAGCGATCGAGCAGACGGCAAAGCCCCTGGAGTGCTGGACGGGGCCCTCTATCCTGATAAGTGCGAGGGCGATATCGAAGTGAGAAATGTGAGTATATCACCTCTCTTCAGTTTTGTACTCGATAGCTTACTAACTCTTATGATCTCGCAAGCTTTCTTTCTCATACTCATCCCAACCAGACAGATTCAGTCTGGATTCAACCAGTTTCTTCTTCCCAGCCGGGGAGACCACATTTGTAATAGGGAAAAGCGGATCCGGGAAGAGCACACTGGGACAGCTACTTGCGAGGTTCTATATGCCGACCTCAGGCGAGATTAGTATCGACGGACATCCCATTCAAACGTTGAGTACGAGTTGGATCCGTAACAATATAACACTTATTGAACAACGGAGTGTGCTTTTCAACGAGTCCGTATTCATGAACATCGCATTCGGAAGTCGGGATCACAGTCGACTCCAGAAGCCAGACGTGCAAAAATGCATTAGCCTAGCCAGATTAGAGGGCACCATTCAGGCTATGCCGGATGGCATCGAAACGTGTGTCGGGCCAGGAGGAAACTTTTTGAGCGGAGGCCAGAGGCAAAGGGTTGCGATTGCCAGAGCTCGACTCAGGGATACCCCGATACTGATCATGGACGAACCGACAAGTGCCCTAGATGGCACCAATCGTGTTGAGATCATGAAAGCCATTCGAGATTGGCGACGGGGCAAGACGACGATTATCATCACACACGACATGTCCCAGATTCTAGACCGTGATTTTGCCTATATATTAGAGCATGGCTCCGTCGTCCACGCTGGCTATAGGCATGAGTTGGAAGACAGCAAGCTATTTTTCCATCAAAAAAGCAAAGCGATTGAAGAAGGCGAAGATGATGTCAACGGCGCAACGAGCCGTGCCCCGTCGCCTGAACAGGGCTCTTGTGATCCCTCAGAACGGCGAAGTAAACATTTTTATGACCCAGTGCGAGATGCGTATCTCAAGGAGCTGCTGTCGGCCAACAGTGAGCATGCCGGACGTTTGCGCTCCCCTAGACAGAGTATCTTCGGATCCATGCTCCCACGCCATGCGCCTCGAGATTCCATTGATTCCATCGCGATGGAGATGATAGAACTGAACACCATTCATGTCAATGGTGCCAAGGCACAGCTCAATCGAATCAGTCGTCATATTGCAGCCAACAACGACGCGCTTCATCGCATCGATGAAATGGTTGCAGATGAGCATCCCGAGCAAGCCACCCGCCTCCTGCCGCAGGAGCGCCTACCTTTACGGAAGATCATATTGACGATGATACCAAATTTGACAAAAGGCCAACGCTGGCTACTGGCCCTTGGGTCGTTCAGCACGCTGGCTCATGCGATGGCCACCCCTGTGTTCTCTTTTTGTTTGTCGCAGCTGCTGCAGACTTTCTACGATAGCAGTACCCACGCTTCAACGTGGTCATTGGCTGTCCTCGGTGTCTCGCTGGCTGATGGAGTGGTGTCTTTTGGCATGCACTATCTTCTTGATCTTTGCGGCCAGGCTTGGGTCGACAGCATACGAAAGATCAGCTTCGGTCGAATTCTCGACCAGCCCCGCAAATGGTTCGATGAAGAAGGAAACAGACCCTCCCAGCTGACCACCTGCCTGAATCAGCATGGAGAGGAGATGCGCGATCTCATTGGGCGGTTTGGTGGATATCTTCTCGTGGCTGCTACCGTTGCTCTGACGGCGATTATCTGGAGTATGGCCCTTTGCTGGAAACTGACCCTTGTCGTTCTAGCTTGTGGTCCTGCTATATACGCTATCACTCGAGGCTTCGAGAGAACGACTGGGTTATGGGAAAGACGATCTGCTGGAGCGAGGACCACGACCGCGGAAGTGTTTATCGAAACATTCGCAGAAATTCGGACGGTCAGGAATCTGACCCTGGAGCCGTTCTTCCAGAAGAAGCACCTGAAAGCTGCATCAATGTGTATGAGCATTGGCTTAAGAAAAGCTCTCTACACGGGCTCTCTCTTCGGTTTGGTTGACTCCATGATTATGTTTGTCAGTGGTGAGTGAACGAGGCTTGTCGTATCGTGGAGATTTGTAACCGGGCTGGTGCTGACGCTTCAAGCCCTGATATTTTATTATGGCGCCGTCCTAGTTTCATCGTCAGAGTTCAGTGTTGAGGAACTTATGAGTGTCTTCTCGATGCTCCTATTCGGCATTGGATACGCAAGCACGGTTCTGTCGTGGAGTATGTTCTCACAATGCATTTTTTTTCTCTCTCAATTTGGCGAGCTTTTACTGACGATCAGGAAGTTCCTCAGATTGGCACGTCTCAAGAGATGGCTAACCAGCTCCTGCGCCTTGCGAGACTCCCCAAGGGCAGCTCGCACGAACATAAGGGAACCGTCAGGGTCCGCCAAGTTGCACCAGTCAAAATCACGGGGCTCAGCTTCCGATACCCGACACGATCTAACGCACTGGTGCTGAAAGACGTCACCATCACCATCCCAAGAAACTCATGTACGGCTATCGTTGGGCGTTCTGGTTCGGGGAAGTCCACGATAACTTCGCTGCTTCTCAACCTATACGAGAGTCCGCAGTCAACCCACGGGTGGCCCACTATTGCCCTTGGGGGCGTTGACATGCACCAAGTGCACACTCCAACGCTTCGTTCTCTCGTCTCGATCGTGTCCCAGCAGCCATCTATCTTCCCCGGAACCATTCAAGCAAACATCACATATGGCCTTGAAGACGCATCCCCTCTCCACCAGCTTTACCATGTCCGCGCTGCCGCGCAAGCCGCTGGGATTGATGAATTCATCTCATCTCTGACCCAAGGCTATCTCACAGTCATCGGAGACGGTGGCGTTGGATTATCCGGAGGACAAGCTCAGCGCGTCGTTATCGCACGAGCCCTCATCCGGAGACCTCAGATCCTGATCTTGGACGAGGCCACTTCCAGCCTCGACCCGACAAACGCTAAGATCATTCGCCAGACAGTACAAGATCTAGTCAACGGGCGACTCGGACTCACCGTACTCATAATCACACACGCAAAGGAGATGATGGAGATTGCAGACAAGGTCGTGGTTCTTGAACATGGTCGCGTGGTCGAAGATGGATCATTCAGAGATCTTGCGTGTCGGAGTGGTGGAAAATTGAAGGCTCTGGTAGAGGACTCGTGCGAGGATGAATGAGACAAGTAACAGACTAAAGGAGGTTGGGGGGGGGGGGGAAAGATATGCATCGCAGGCCTGCACGATTGTATAAGAGATAACTGTGACGGAGACGAGAGGATGTCGGGGTATCTATCTTCTCTCTGTGAAGCTTTCACCAAGATATGTGACCTGTCCAGACTACTGCGGCTGAAGGTACGCCAGGGGCCAGCCAGATGAAGCTGATGTCGTTAATACTTACATTGCTTAGCCTCGGCAACCCAGCATGTAGACCAGGCGCATCGTCAAACATGCCGAGCTGAGGAATTCTTAGTTTTATAGCTAGCTTGCGAAGGTTTATTTGAAACAATTGCGGGGAGCACTACTCTCCATACCAAGCCTACAATTGGTGCCGACTGCACGATGCAGGGGAGCCTCATTCTCTGCAGGGTCTTGATCAGCATATCATAAAAATAGGGCAGCTTCAAGTATTGATTGTGATTTTTATTTTCTGTTTATTGTGTGCGTGCAATGATATGGCCACTGCCTTAAATTGTCTGTGATGTCAAACGCCTCTATTCGGATACGAGGTTGGCCGACTGTGGGTACTAGGACGGTAGAATTCGTCCAACTCGTGCCTGGGAACGGTGTTCCAAGGTTTAGACTGCATGAAACGTCAGTGTGTTGACCCTCCCTGAACGTGGTAGAACCACTAAGACACATGCACTCGTATCGGGGGATGGTGGATGGTGGAGGAGGGGAAAACCGATCGGAAGAGATGAGCTTATCGATAGGGGAGAAGATGACATGTTCTAAAAATGGCATCGCATCTCCACGACTCGGAGTGGTGGTCGTTTCACCATGAGATTGCCTTTTAATTATTCTAGGGGGAGGAACTGGAGATCATTAATCTAGTAAGTCAGAGAGAGATAGTTATGAGGAGTACAGAGTATACTGTGTACAGATTCCTTATTTGAAAGAATGAGTGGAGACTGGGACCTGGGTTTTAATTATCGCAACTCCGTGCTCCGTACGCCATAGAAATCATCGGAAAGACAAGGATACGAGGAGGAAGGAAAGAGGGGAAAAGAAAAAGGCCAGCCACTCAGTCCCGTGTCTCTCCCAAGGCCCAGCCACACACACACACAGACACACACTCTCTCTCTCATTCTTCCTCCCCTCACTCACTCTCATTAGTTATTTCTTGTCTTGTCTTGGACCGATTATCAAATCGTCACTCTTTGATACCAGCTAGCCGCTGGTAGGTCTATTAGCTACTACCCAAGCTGCAATCATTCGTTTTCCCTTTCCCCTTCTTTCCTTCTCGTCTTCTTTCGATTCTTTCCCTTCCCTCTCTTTCTCGCTCCGTGCGTTTGCTGTATGGAGATCACGGACATGGTGACAAACCACCTCATGCGCAATTTACACTTACCATCTTTACTATTCCACCATACCCCTCTCATTATCTCTTGACCCTCCCCCGTATACTTTCCGAACCCTTGCTCTGACTATCTGAACACCTATTGGCACCTATCAGCAGCTTTCGCTGCCCGTTTGTCTCACCTTATATACAACCTCACCTCATCCGCCAGTTCCGCCATTTTCCCGCCTTAGGCTACCATATCTTTCAAGTTTTCCTTCCGAACCAAACTTGGAATTGCATTACTTGGAACTCGCTCCACAGTCCTCACACTCTCTGCACCTCTGTATGCTTTGAGGCTTAGGCCTTGGGCTTTTTGATTGCTCGCCCTAAGCTTGTCAGCATGTACATTCCAGACCACCCCCGGCATTTTGGCCCCCGTCAGAATGGGCCGGCTAGCGACCCCAATACGGAGAAGAGCAGCGATAATGGCGGAGATCACACAACGACCAGCAAGAACAACATCTTCATCATTGTGAGACTGCATCTTCGCTCTCTTTTGTCCTAATTCCCGAATGCCTCTGTGCTGACGATATGTTCTCTCAAATTCACAGTGCGCCGCCTGCATCATCTTCGTGCTATCATTCATCTTGATGCTCTACTTTGTACTGCGTACCCTTCGCCGAATGGAATGTCGCCCTAAATATATACCCGGAAAGTTCTTGAAGGATCGCTGGAATCGATGGAACGTGGGTGTCACCTATGGACAGGTCCCGGATGGATCCTCGACGAATAATTCTGGCCATGCCTCGACCGAAGCAGCTCCCGAAGGAGGCTCGGAAATGCACACTACTAATGCAGCTGTTCGACGGGAAACCTCAATTCGGTCCATCATTACTCTTCCGCCATATTCAGCCAGCCCGAAACCCACTGAACAGGTGATTGCTCGTGAGGGTGAGCGCGAAGGTATGGATGTTGTGGTAGAATTTCCTGAAACTGCAGAGGAGGAAGAAGAGCGCAGAGAAAACTTGATGGAGTCTCTATACCAAATACGCTTGCAACGCAGACAAGAGCTAGCCGAACGGGAGCAGCGACGACAGGAGCGTCATGAGGCTCGTGCTCAGGGAGATCATGCTCGCCTTGAACAGCTACGCATCCAGAGTCGGGCGCGCGCACAGAGTCGATCATCTGCCAACGCCAGCAATGCGACTCTTAGCGCAACGCTGGCGGAAAGCCAGGGCCGTGGCCGCGACAGACGTATCTCCAGTGTGTCCTATGCGGAGGTAGGATACGTCCGCCACGACGGATCGCGTGTTCGAGCCTCGTCGCCCGATTCCGACCGACGACCTCTTTTGACAGATGCTACTGGCGTGGGCTCCGAGCCAGCTGATCGTTCATCCGGCTCGGTACTGACCGGGGTGCACTCGCGAGGCGAGTCATACTCATCCTTCCAGTCCGGTGCCACCACCATCTCCGAAGCAGATACTCTGACCCAGGTTCGATCTCACGCGGCCTCTACACACTCTCTAGGGCAGCCCCTCCCAGGTCCCGATGACGGTGGTGACGTTGGTGCCCTTCATATTCCGCCCCCGGACTACGAAGACCTCGACTGGGGAGAGGCCCCTCCGTATCAAAGCCCAATCGCCGACCGAGGCGAACATGCGCCTCAACTGCGGGAACTGACTTCCTTACCTATAATTCATATCGATGCTGCCAGTCCCGTCAGCAATACCCCCACAACACCCATAAATTCCTTGCGAGCAGAAGAAGTCCCAGCCGCCCATGCGTCCGTGTCAGAAGACCCTGCTGAGAACCGCCCGCTTGTTGAGCTATCAATGGAAGGGCACTCAGTAACGGACGGTCCTCCTGCTCGTTCATCCGTGAACACATAATAACTCGGTTGATCGCCCGCCGCGCGTCGACAACATCTGCATATATCGGAAGCGTTGCGTTTGATCCTACCCTGTGACGACCATGACCATTTACGACTTCTAGATTCCCGGCATACCTATGTTTCTAATCTCCTTTGGGATACTTGCTCATCCTCATCCTCTGAATCCTGTTAGCCAGCACGGCGTTAAGCTTAGGTGACCATAATCTTGGTTGATTTGTTTCGACACATTCTTTTTGTACATTTACAATCCAGGAGGGTAGCAAGCGCTTGTCTTAGATCGAAGGCCACGCTTGTGCATTTTCACATTGTCTGCAAATATCATACGAGAGTATTTTGAATGGAGTCTCATATAAATTACTGCCACCTCTGAGCAACGGAGTGAGAACACAATAATTAGCAGTCTGTTCCGTTAATCCAGAAAAGAAGAGACGGAGAGCGACCATGGCTCGTTTGCTGATCCGGCCGCACCTCGTGGCCGTGGAATCCAAAGGCGGTCAGCAGCTCCACCCGAGCAAAGTAAACAAACCAAACTGCCAGCCTGAAGCAAGTCCACCCAACCTCCTCATTTTCTAGACTTATGTCGCATCCACCTTTTGCACCTTAGATTGCAATCAGGAGTGACTATCACTGAACCTCCCATTGTGACGAGAAGACTATCATTGTTTACTCATTACAGGCATTTGGTTGGAGAACCCTCAACATTTGGGCTTTTGTTGCTGCTTCCTGTTCCAGAGGAGGAGTGGCTCGCGCTGGCTCGACGCGCCGCCCTCTAAACATTCCCGCACTTATACCACCGAGTTCTTACAGTCCAGGTAACAACACCCCTATACCTTCAAATCCATCCCCGCACACACACACACACACACAACCTCAAGTGAGCATTCAATGCTGACGCGACTGTCTTGTCAACCAGTGGTGACCACGGACTGGGTATAGTCAAAAGGCGCGTAGCGCATAACGGATATGTCGCGCGAGGCCACCACCCACAGCTTCGCGTCCTTTGGCTCAGATTTTGATCCCGAGCACGAAGCTCTTGCGTCCACACAGGAGATTGGAAGGAGTCCACGACTCCCCGACATGTATAGCAGTGCACGAAACCGTTCCGAAGTCCAGCAGGACGAAGAGCCGGATTACGCCTTCAACACCTCAACGTTCGAGCAATACCTCCCTAACTTCTCGCCGGTGGGCACATCGGAAGAAGAGATGGACCATGACGAGGATGATAGCATCTCCATCGAAGCTGGAAGAGGACCTGCAAAGCCCGCACGCCGACTGGACGATTCAAGAAACTCATACATGAGCATTGAGAACAGCGTGCGTTCGTCGTCACCAGCCATTAGACTCGACTTTCCCACATCCAATACACCACAAAAGTCCGCTCTGCGCGGCGCGCCCAAACGGGCTGCTAGCGAAAATTTGCGCAAGGATGCTCAAATCCGACGCGCGAGTCTCGCCCACAAGGAGAATCTCGATCCTAAAGCGGCTCGGAAGGAGCAGCGCCGGACTCTCTCGGACTTTCATGCAAAGGTCCGTGACTCCTACGACGGATCCCTGCTCGAAGACGAACGGCCGTCAGCAGCAGTCAGCCATACGCGTCCGACGCGCTTCGCCAACCCGAACCTCTCCCACCAGATTGCGGACGCGGTCGAAAAGGCTTCGCAGGAGGCTTATGCTCGCGAATTGCGTCGCGGAAAGGCTGCTACGAGCTCCCGCAGCATGTATAACATAGCTGGAGATACGGCAACTCAACAATCATTCCTCCTCCCCGATCTGCCTAACCTGTCGGAGCTAGTCTCCGGGGTGTATGAAGATGGTAACCCGGTATATGCACGCCAGAATCGCGCGCGCACCACGCGTTTCGTCTCACCGCCGCACGATGCCATGGATGTATCTCTAACGCGTGAGCATATACCGCTCGATGCGGTCCCTATCCCAGAGGACGAGAAAGCCCTGTTCGTCTCGTTGAGACTCCTCCAAGATAAGGTGGCCGAACTCGAGAGAGCTAAAATGGATGCGGAGAGGAAGGTTGAGGAAATGAGACAGGAGAGTACGTCGCTGAAGACGAGTAAGGCCCGTGGCAAGGAGAAAGTCTCACGTGCCAGATCGTATGAGTCTGAGGAGGACGAGTACAGAAAGGATCGCCTTGCGCGCGAAAATCAGAGTAAGTCGACTAAGAATGATCATGAGAGATCTCCAGCTGACGACGTTGCAGAATTGGATACAGCAAATCTTGCGCTTCAAAACAAGCTGGATCTCCTCGAAAGGAAGGCTGAACTTCAAGAAGCCTCCTTGAAGCGTTTGAACCGGGAGCGAGACATGGCGGTCTCCCAGTTAGGCGTATCTTACCTCGAGACACAGGATCTCAAGAATGAGATTGGAGCTCTCCGGCAAGAGAACGCCGAGCTCAAAGCTCAACTGGTGAAGCTTGCATCCGGTTCCAAGAGTCATGACGATACTTCTGAATCCGAGCAATCGACCGCAACGGAGATAAGCGAAGGCGATGATCAAACAGACACACAGCAGAGCAGAAACTTCAGCAGAAGCACCAAAGACCTCACCTCGAAGAGCGCACGCTCCCGATCCAAGGCCGGTCGCCAGAGTCATTCCAGCGCTAAGATCTCCACTCAGGTTGACAAAGAGATTGCGCGTCTCGAGAGAGAACGTGCTGAGGAGGCCCTGTTCTCCCTTGACATGTCCCAATCAAGAGAGAAATCTAAGTCGAAAGCGGAAAAATCCCGAAGCAAGCCCAGAAACAGTGATGCCACGTCCAAAAAGCAGTCTAACACCGGCAAGCAACGCGTCAAGAGGGTGGTCGTGGAGGAGATAGATGTGACCGAGCCTGTTGAATCAACTGGAGACGTCACAGACAATACCAAAAAATCTGGCGTGGTTGAGCAGGATCTGACCCTTCTGAGCTTCGTTGATGTGAGTCATGCCTTTTCTTCTTGTGTATTCTTGTAACTCATTCATTCTCCTTAGGAACGCGAAATTGCTCAGCTACGAAAGACATTGGAGGAGGAACGCCTGGCTCGCAAGAAGCGGCAATCGACTGCAGCAAAAGAGCTGACTGGCAACGAAACTGGGAACACCACCCGTCAGAGCGCGGCAAAGCCTGCAATCCCTAGAAAATCATCCCTCAAGGAAAGCAAGGGGTTGCCTGCAAGGCCCGCCTCAGCAATGGGCGACGTGACCGCCACATCTAATACTAGCATGGTCGAGGGTGATAGCAACTTGTCAGTGCCCGCTGAACGTTCTAGACGTCATTCAGATCATGCCGCGACTGCTTCTACTCCCAGGCGGCGGCGACGGGTCGCCGAAGAGATGACCTCCGCGTTCATATTACCCGACATCACCCTGAATCCTGCCAGCCTATTCGATAACCTTAACAAGCTCCCTGAGCCTACGCAGCGTGCGCTCGACAGTGCTACCCAGCATAATGGCAAGAATTGCACCGTCTGCAAGCGTGTCATGCCTGGTGACTCTTGCGATCACACTGCAGAAACTGTGAAAGTTCCCAAACCTGTACCAGTCTCGGAGCGTATGCCTGAGCCGTCCATTCTCAACGAAGACCCTACTATGCGGCCCGCTCAGTCCCCTGAAATTGCCCTAGCGACTGTCCTCAAGGCCTTGGAAGATGAACTGGCGCACCTGAAGATGCAGCTGGTTGCGTACCAAGGTGCTTACAACAAGCTGGATGTTTCGCTGAGCAAGAGGCACAGAAAATCGCTTGGTGAGAAGGTTGAGAAGTTGTTGAAAGATATTGATATGAAGGCTGATCAGATCTACGCCTTGTACGATGTCCTCGAGGGACAAAAACAGGATGGCCGTGAGATGACCGAGCAGGAAATGGAAGTGACTCTTCATTCGATCGGGATTGAAACGGGTGCTGAACGGACACGCGATGTGACTACCGGATCTACCATGCCCTCCCACAAAGCCCCGGAACCGGACTTTGATGATGACGACGAGTTGCCCTGGGAAGGGTTCGAAAGCACGATGGAGCTTACGGGTCGAAGTGCGGGTACTCATCGCAACTAACCTGCCCGCCCGCCCTTCGCTTTGCTCGGGTTCTGTCCATTCTCCTTTCAATTCCCACAGATCTCTTCGAATGTTCTCTTGGCTGCACGTCCTTGCGCGCATTCTACAGTCTCAGTTTGCCTATGTTTACAAGCTTCTCTGACTGTTGACGGTGAGACTTGGTGGCATAGGCCATGGTTGCTCCGGGTGATGGCGTCCTTGGCAGCTGCTGGACGCTCCCACATTTAATGGGCTCGGGCTCAAGCCTGCATCGAAGAAGGATCTTTTAATTGCTTATCATTCCGCGGAACTTTCTTTTCACGTGCCGGGAAGGCCTCAAGGGTTGGATTAGGCGTTACAATCAAGTCGCATGCGTGATATATCCTTAGTTAGCATTGTTTGATTAGTCATATGTGTCTCCGTGGTGGGTTAGGGTTGGATAATCAATGCGTTCCTTTCGTTCGATAGTAATTCATCGGTGCGAAGCAAATATCGGCAACAAAGTGCCGAAGAAGCGGTCGGAAATACCCAAAGAAGCACTAGTGGCGATGACAAGCTTTAGGCCGACAACGGCTCATCCGGCCGCTCTTTCTCACTTTCTTCGTGCCCTCGTGCTTCAATTGATTTCTTCCTTGCCACTCTCTTATTGTAGTTGAGTCTCTGACTGTACACTACTTCGCAAGGCTTGACAGTGCCTATTTATTCCTTCTGATGAGTTCGCCGCCATTGTCTGATGATATCCTCAACCGATCTACCGGCAATGTAGATGATTCCACGCCTGCGACCGAAGTCAACAACACTGCTTATCTCCGCCGAGGGCCATCCCAGCAGGGAAGCGAATTTCTCGCCCCAACTTCTCCTTCTGAGCACCACACCCTAGAAGACGAAATAAGCTACAATACCGCTATTCGCGATGATAGTTCTGTACAAACTCGGATCCTCGCGCCCGCCGCGGAAATCATCCCTTCGCGACGCCTATCCATAGACATCGCCAACAGCAGCGATGGCGACGACAGTGACGACGCCACTGATGACGAGGACACCGAAGGGCCCACGAGTCCCTCGAGCGAAAAGCCAGTGACATGGGCCTCGCTGCCCAACAAGGGTCAACTTGCGATCTTGACCTTCGCGCGGCTGTCGGAGCCTCTGACGCAGACCTCTCTCCAGGCGTACATGTTCTACCAACTCAAATCCTTTGACCCTGCCCTGCCGGACTCGACCATCTCCGCTCAGGCCGGTATACTTCAAGGCAGTTTCACCGCTGCACAGTTCCTCACGGCAGTCTGGTGGGGCCGCCTGGCTGATGCGGACTGGATGGGCCGGAAAAGAGTGCTTCTGATCGGACTGCTCGGCACCTGCATCTCGTGCTTGGGATTCGGCTTTTCGCACTCGTTCGCGGCGGCAGTGGTCTTTCGCACGCTGGGAGGGTGTCTGAATAGCAATGTCGGGGTGATGCGGACCATGATCGCCGAGATCATTGAGGAGAAGAAGTAAGTTCGCGCGGTGCCAAGTCGCTCGCAGGCTAATACGTCACCATTCATTTGGAGATAAGAGGCCATATTGACTAACGTGCATAGGTACCAATCTCGTGCATTTCTTCTCCTGCCAATGTGCTTCAATATCGGTGTAATCATCGGACCTGTTGTGGGCGGTGCACTGGCGGACCCGTTGAACAGCTACCCACAAGTCTTTGGCCCTGGAACATTCCTTGGTGGCGCTGACGGAGTTGGGTGGATGAGACGATGGCCATATGCGCTACCGAATGTTCTCAGTGCAATTTACCTCTTCGCCTCGCTATTGGCCGTGTTTTTGGGACTTGACGAGACCCACGAAATTGCGCGTTACCGCGACGACTGGGGTCGGAAGCTGGGGCGCATTATTGCGAAATTCTTCTCTCGCCGCCGAGGTCGCTACTACCGCCAGCTCCGAACCCATCCGGACAATGAATCGATTTACATTGATGGAAGCGTGACCAGCATGTCGGCGCCTCCAAGCCCTATCCGTTCGCGTGCTCGACCGCGTCACAAGCGCCCCAGCTTCAGGCAGATCTGGACCCCGAATGTTCTCCTGACCTTGTTGGTCCAATTCCTCCTGGCTTTTCATACCAGTGCTTTTAATTCGATGACATTCACCTTCCTCCCGACGCCACGAGCTCCTGAAGGTAGTCGCAAGGGCTTCTTTCACTTCAGTGGTGGGTTGGGATTGCCGTCCTCTCGAGTCGGCATGGCGACCGCTATCATTGGGATTATCGGTCTGCCGCTGCAAATTTTCATATACCCGCGCGTGCAAGGCCACCTGGGGACTCTGACCTCGTTCCGGACATTTCTACCATTTTCCCCCATTGCCTATGCATTGATGCCGTTCCTCCTCGTGCTTCCGCGGGTGCCGTGGCTGGTTTGGCCGGCTTTCACGATTGTGGTGGGTCTCCAAGTTATTTCGCGCACGTTCGCTCTCCCTGCGGCTGTCATTTTGGTGAACAATTGCGTCACCGACCCCTCTGTCCTTGGGACAATCCACGGGGTTGCTCAGAGTATTGCCAGTGGGGCTCGGACGTTGGGCCCTATGATCGGTGGATGGGGCCTTGGTTTGGGGCTGCAGCATAATTTCGTTGGCGGAATCTGGTGGGCGCTGGCCCTCGAGGCGTTGCTCGGCTGGCTGGCTTTGTTCATGATCTACGAAGGTAAAGGCATCGAGAAGAAGAAGGCGTTACAGGATGAGGAGGACGAGGAATTTGATGAACGCCGCTAAATGTGGCTCGGATTTTGATGGAGAGGACAACATAGATTAGACAGATTTCTGGATGGATACATACACGAGTACGATGTGACAGTGGCCTTGTGGGGTTACTGATTGAGATGGCACGAATTTATGAGAGATGTCCAGATATGATTTGATGTTCTTCATGATGGATTGTGGTTCATAGTTAGCTTTTTTGAGGAGGATCTGTCAATCGTGGATGAAAATGAAGCCTTGTGAATCAAAAGACACCTGCTTGCCCAAGCTTTCACAGTTTGCAACCAGTGCGGATGCCAACCATGCCCCTATATACCGTAATACATACCCATTCAGCTGTCCATCCGCTCCATACCCTCCGAAGACCGACCAGCAGCCTCAATGTGCCAATGCAGCCGGAGCAATAAACGCCTGAATTGCCTGAGCCACGTTTCCCTCATGAGTCCTCAACAGCTCCGTGGCCCTGAGCTTGTTCAAATCCAATTGATCAACCTGCAGCCACCTCCCGGACGACCACGCATTAGCCCAGCGAGCTTCCTGCAGCCTCATCCCAAGTGTCCATTGCATCGTCATCAACCAAGAAACAGGACAAAATCGCAGAGATCTTAAAGGCAGGCGTAACGTACCAAAAGATTGACGTCGTCGGCGTTGACCTTGATGGCCTTCTTCTTGATCCCCTCTCCGGCCGCGTCTTTGGTGTGCTGGATGGTTGCCGCCCGCTTGTTGCCCGCATTGTGGCCAGCGGCGATCTCGAGCCGACTCATTGCCTTTCCGAGAGCTTCCTGGTCGGCGGTTGAGGGCACTTTGGAGGGGCTATCGGTGCTGGTGGTGGTGGCGATCTCGTTGGTGTGGAGGGCGGAGAGGGCGGCGGCGGCTTTGCGGTCCTCGGCGTTGGCGGGGAGGGGCTGCTCGGGGTCGGCGTGGGCTGAGGGGATGGAGTCGGACATGATTATTGATATCGTTGAGGAATTGTGGATCGGTTGTGTGACTTAATTAGTATGTGTCTTTTGAGTAGTAGGTAGTTATTGTGGATGCAATTCAAGTTCATAACCATGAGATGCAACATTCATTCTCCACAACAATGACGTTGAGAGACAAGACTTGAGGTACTCCGTTTTAAAGTCTAGACCCGAAGCAGGACTAGCGCCGGGCCATTACACCTAAAGAAATCCACAATGGGAATGACTCAGCCCCCGTGGATAGCCGTGTTTTGTCCCCCTTCCTCCAAGAAATCCCCCCCATCATTCACTCCATCTTCGACATCCAATCTCTTCGAACCCCCTCTTCTTCTTCCTTTCCTATCCCTCAATTGAATTCTCCAAATCACTCGGGACAAGACTCTGCTAAAGCAAGTCGGTGGTGTTGATCGAATTGAAGAAAGAGAAAAGAAAATACACTCCCCAATTCAGGGTCCCCGGGAGCCAGATCTCCACACCGTTCAGCCCGCTGTCATTCCCCAAAACACGCTCTTTAGCCGTCGATCATTGCGACTACATTCCTCCCTCCTCGACTGCCCTTCGCATCCACCTTCCAACTCGCCAGATCAGACTTAGTCGCATCCGCCATGGAGACCTGGTCTCCTACTTGTACGTTGGTCTTCCTGAGAACGAACTCGAGACAGCGAAGCTGATGAATGTCGCCGTGTTTAGCTTGGACCTCCAAGCCCGTCAAGCAATGCGTCACCTACGATGATTCAGACGCCGCGGAGCTGGCCTACGAAAAGTTGCGCAAGCTTCCTCCTTTGGTGACACCGCAAGAGGTAGGTGTCTTTCCCTTGTGCTTCATCTGGTGCCGGACGGGCTTTGTTTACTGATAGCGCGGTGATGGTAGGTCTCGGATCTCAAGAAGAGCTTGCGAAATGTCGCGCTTGGGAAAGCGTTCGTGCTTCAGGGGGGTGAGTCTATACACTCTCTTTGATGTGAGATGAAGTGTTCCTCATGGATGACTAGGTGATTGCGCGGAGCTGTTCGACTACTGTAACCAGGAGATGATCGAAGCCAAAGTGAAGCTGCTCTTGCAGATGAGTCTGGTGTTAATTTGGGGTATGTTAGGAGAACCGGGGATAGTTAAGGTGACGGTGAAGCTCATGCAGGTTTCTAGGAGCAAACAAACCGGTGGTGCGTATTGCTCGAATTGCAGGGCAGTTTGCAAAGTACGTCCCTCCCCACGGTCGGTGTATCTGGTGTCACATACTAACCCAACCATCAGGCCCCGCTCCAGCCCCACCGAAACCATCAATGGGGTCGAGCTGCCCTCTTTCCGGGGCGACAACATCAACGGCTTCGACGCGACGCCAGAGTCTCGCAAACCCGACCCTTCGCGCCTGGTCTCGGCGTACTTCCACTCGGCTGCGACGCTGAACTACCTGCGCGCCTCGCTCTCCTCCGGTCTCGCCGACCTGCATTCCCCGCTCGACTGGGGGTTGGGCCATGTCATCACCCCGTCGATCAAGGAAAAGTACGAACGTATTGTATCTCGGGTCAAAGACGCCTTGCGCTTCATGCAAACCGTCGGCATCGACACGGATCGCGGCGTCGAGACGGTAGATGTCTACACCAGCCACGAGGGCTTGCTTCTGGAATACGAGACCAGCCTCACCCGCCTCCTCCGCAACCCCTTACCCCCGACCCCTCCGCCAACCTTTTCCTTGTTCTCCCCTCCTCCCCCTTCGCAGCCCTCCACATATGCAGAAGACCCAACAGCAGCAGCAGCAGCAGTCGCAGCCCCAGCTCCAACGACAGTACCAAGCACCACGGCACAAACCCCGCTCCTCCCCTCCAAATCCTTCTACGCGACATCCGCCCACTTCCTCTGGATCGGCGACCGCACGCGCCAACTCGACGGGGCGCATGTCGAGTTCTTCCGCGGCCTCGCCAACCCGATCGGCATCAAGATCGGGCCCAGCATGACCCCCGAGGAACTCACGCAGCTGCTGGATGTGGTGAACCCCACGCGCGAGATCGGCAAAGTCACGCTCATCTCGCGCTACGGCGCCGCCAAGATCGCCGCCCACCTGCCCGCCCACATCGCCGCCGTCCAGCGCGCCGGCCACTGCCCCGTCTGGCAGTGCGACCCCATGCACGGCAACACCCAGAGCACCCCGACCGGCGTCAAGACCCGCCACTTCAGCGATATCCTCTCCGAGCTGCGCCAGGCCCTCGAGATCCACCGCGCGCACGGCTCCTTTCTGGGCGGCATGCACCTCGAGCTCACCGGCGAGGCCGTCACCGAGTGCGTCGGCGGCGCCGCCGGTCTGACCGAGGAAGGTCTCGGCGAGCGCTACACTACCTTCTGTGACCCCCGGCTGAACGAGAAGCAGGCCCTCGAGTTGGCGTTTTTGGTCGCCGGGTTCTACCGCGAGATGGACGAGTCCGAGCAGCGCGGGAGGTTGAATGCCATCTAGCCGGCATTCTTCCTCGCATAAGTAAGTGAAGAAGCAAGTGCGGGAGCAAAAGGATACCAATGGAGAGCAAGTCAAGCAAAATAAAGCAAAGGAAAATGAAAGAAGCAAAAGAAGCAATCCGAGCATTCCGAGCAAGAAAAGAAGGGCAAGCGACATGACAAGCAAAACAAGCGACATAAAGAGTCCATCATCCATATGAGTTGTCCTAGGCCAAGGTGAGGGTACGTCAGGGAGGATCTAATACTGGGAACAGACAGAGTGGTGGCCCCGGGAACGTAGCAGGACTGGGGTCTGGTCTGGTTCTCTCCGGGTAATTCCACACAGATTCTTTTGGAATTGAATGGGAAGAACTCAGGCTTTGCCTCTGAAAATCACTCAAATAATTTACCAATTTACGATGAACGGCGGACATATCGAATGAAAAAGGAAATAGGAACTTGATGTTATGTATTTAAGAATATGAGCGATATCCATGTCATGTCAACTCAAGACTGGCTACCAATATATGTAGAGACTGCAAATGTAGGGGGCGGGGTGAGGTGAAGGGTATCCCTGGGGAAAACAAAACTAGAACAAAAGAAGAGACAAACAGAACCCAATTTGTTAAAACACCCCCCTAGAACCTCCTGAAAAAAAAAATGAAGCAAACACCCGACGGCACGGCTAACTAGTTATAAGGAAAGAAGAGAAAATGCGAGATCAGATTCACTCCACAAGGGGACTGCCCACGCGGGGTTTGTAGGCCATGCTCTTGCGACGCGCCGCCTCGAGCTTGGAACGCAGCTTCTGGGAGGGCTCGCGCGCGGGTCCCCCCGGAGTCGTGAATAGACCCTGGCGGGTCTGCTTGGGCGGACAGGTCTGCTGGACGAGCTTGGTGCGCTGCGAGAGGTAGAAGGGTGTGGTCGGGGACATGCCGATGGCGTCCATGTCGAAGGTGTAGGCGGACGAGCCAGGGGTCTTGGGCGTGTGGCAGTACCGCTGGTCGGGCTCGGTGTGGCCGACCGTATACTTGTCCTTGGGCGTGACCTCGGGGGTGGCGGAAGACTCTTCCTCACGGAAGGAAGAAGCGTAAGTGGGCGTGTTGTCTCTTGTGAAGCTCGCCATGGTGCTGCGATCGATGCCGGAGCGGCGGCGGCGAGGGTCCATGGACGTGCCGGCGCTCGCTGTGGGGTTGGCCTTGACCAGAGTACCGTTGACGTTGCTCAGCGCGCGCGGTTCCATGCTCTTGCGGCGTTTGGCGCCGCCACGGGGGATGATGGAGCTGTCAACGGCGTACGGGGTTTCGTCGACCCATTTGTTCTCTCGCTCGCAGCTGAAGAGGAGGGTCTTGTTAGTCAATCGCTCCGAAGTACAGATCGAAAGAAAGAAACTTACTCGAGAACCCAGCCCACACCGACACACTTGACCAGGCCACGCGCGTGTCGAACCTTCTCCAGAGTCCGAACTCCTCCGTCCTTGAAGACGACATGGGTGACGCCCACTTTACCCTCCTTGGGTTCGGCCTCTTCCTCAGGGGCCAGACTCGCGCGAGGATTCCAGGACCAGTTCTTGATGCATCTGGCTCCCATTTGTTGGAGAAGCTCGATGAAAATACCACTAGCATCCTCTCCCTCCGTGGTGTGCACGTCCACATAAACAACCGCTCCTTGCAAGACCAGCTTAGGTGCTGGGGCGCTCGTACTTCTTCGTGAAGCCTTTGCGCTCTTGATGGGACTGGGCGATTGCGGGGGACGCTTTGCGGGCGTCGATCTCTCAGTCCTTGTGGGGCTGTGTGTGACCAAAGCAACTGGTCTGGACATCGAGGTCCTTTGGAGTCTCGGGGATTTGCGAGGAGACATGGGTGGAGCAGTCTGCTGGCTGGGAGCGAATGTCGAAGTGCGGATTCTGGTGGAGGCGCGAACGGGCGAGGCCCCAGAAAGCGACAGGCCTCTCTTGCGGGAGATCTTCAGCGGCGAAATCTGACCTTCCGGCTTGAGGGGCACCTTGGATACAGTGTGTACAGTCTGCATCTGAGGGAGTCTGTTCTTGATCGGCGTGAAGAGAGGAATGTTGGAGAAGACCTCATTTTCCTTGTTTTCCTCGAACGCGTCAGTTGCAGCGGCTGGGCTTTTTGGTGTAGGAGTGTTCTCGTTGGCTGTTGGCTCGTGCGAAACTTCCTCCGTGTGTTTGTCGGTCTCAGCCTCAACCTCTAATCCATGTGGTAGGTCAGCCGCAGTGCTGTCCATCTGAACAGCATCTACGGAGGCGCTGGCGTCTTCTGTAAATGAATCCTGACTGGGATCTTCCCAGATTTGAGCGCCGTCTACCTCTTCAGCAAGTGGGGTTCTTGTCTCAGCAGGCTCGGAGGCTCCAGATTGGAAATGCTGGCTATGGTTCTCGTAGACTTGAGCGTCATTGACAGCTTCAGCACCATCAGTTTCAGTAGGCTCGGTAGTATTGGCGGTGTCGATCTCTTGTGTAGGAGACCTCTCGGCAGGATCTTCGATGGTTTGAAGAGCATAGTCCCCATAGATCTGGTCAGCAGTCTCAGTGGATGAGACAGTTCCTTCCGGATGAGAGGCGTGGCTGAACTCTTCATACTCTTCAAGATCCTCTGCAGCCTCTGTGATTTGTTCCGCAGTATCCGCAGATTCTCCAGAATCCTCAGGACCATCCTCAGCAGCATCGTCGTCCTCCGCAACATCAGTATCAGCAGCGTCACCCTCTTTTAGCTGTGAATCCACGCTAGGATACCCGTATGTTTCAGGACCATCGTTCTCGTCAATTTCCGATTCAGCCTCAGCATTCTCAGCAGCGTCAACCTCCTCTAACTGCACCACCTGGCCAATCTCCTCTTGTGTTTGAGGACTGTCGTCTTCAGTGGCTTCAGGGTCAGCTTCCGCATCTTCCGACTGCGGGGGCATCTCCGACGAGGAGTCTTCAGTCTGATGGGCGATCTGAGGGTATGCTACCTCTCCGGTAGTCTGCTGTGCGTTACTAGAAGACCGGCGGCTGCCGCCCAAGGAGAAAATCCCCTTGCGTGGGCGTTGCGAGCGCCTTGGCTGAGATCTTGCGGGACTGGTGGCCTTCCACTGGCTAAATTGTTGTGCTAGAGGTGTGAAACGAGGGGCGTTATCAAAGATCGAACGTTTTACAGACAGTCTGCGAAGTGGAGTTGCGGCACTGGAGTCGACGAAAGGGTCCTGATAGTCACTGCTGTCAATGGTGAAGCCTTGTCTGAGAGGACTAGGACTGTCAGCGGGCGACTCGTAATTCATATTCCGCCGCACAGGGCTGTCTGGGAGGACGCGGACTGGCGAGATGTTCCTCATCGCTCTGTAGTAGGCTTCGCGCATCGGACTCCAGGGATTCTCGGGTTCCTCAACCTCGTATGGCAAGATGGGGACACGACTGGGCGAAACAACTACTGTTTGTTCGGGAACAACAATTGTGGCTTCGTTTTCTTCAAAGGTGTAGTGCCCGCCGATTTCTTGATCACCATGAGACACATCTTCTTCAGCAGCATCGACGTCGTCATCGGTTTCCATCATGTCAGGGTCTTCTTCCGTATCAGAGGAGTTAAGACGTTTGTCTGCCTCTTCGGGTAGGGAGTGTTGGCTGACTGAGACATCGTCAAGATCTTTCACTGAATTAGTGGAAAGGCTAGATGAGGATGTATGATATTCCTCCTCCGCACTTGGGCGCTCAACCTCCCTCTCCTGAGGCAACTCGGATGTTTCTTCACGTTCCTGTGCCGGACTACCGTCGTCAGCATCGGATAACGTTTCGGGCATGTCTTGGCCTTGACTAGCATGCTCATCATCCTCTTCTTGATCGCCCCGGACGGAACCATCATCAAGGGTCTCATCGATTGTGCTTTGACGATCATCAACCAGACCGATGTCTTCTTGTGCACCGTCCTCGGACTTCTCGACAACCTGCAGGTCATCAATTTCCTCGTCAGAAAGAAGTTGAGGCTCTGGACTATCCTCTTCAAAGTGCCCTTCCGGCGACCCGTCCGCTGTCTCTTTGCTCGGTGCCTCGTTTGAATCCTCGACAGTATCGGATTCCGCCATCGATTCAGCATTGGGACTCTCTTCAGTCTCTTCGGGTACCTGCATATCCACTTCATCGACAGGGTCCTCCATGGGCATATCCGCATGCTCAGAGACAGTGTCAATCTCTTCCATCTCGTCCTCGTCAGAGCCCTCTGACACACTCCGTGAATCGTCTTCCATGACCTGATCATCTTCGTTTTCGTGGTCAGCCGGTTCGTCAACATTATCGTGTACATCATCACGCGGCGGCTCGGCCACATCTTCAGCAACTGTACTACCGTCGTCCTCGACGTACTCAACAGTCTCCTCAGAGTCGTGTTCAGCCGTCTCCGCGTTGGTCGCCTGTTTCTCACAATGACGTGCAACAGACGGCGAATGAGGCGGAGTTGTACTGATAGGATCAATCTCATCATCCTGATCTTCCTCATCTGATGCCACATTCTCAGTTGCTTCATCCGGCTCATCGGCTTGAATATCTGCTCTGGTTTGCATGAGTCTAAGAGGAGACTCCTCGAGCTGTGAATCCTCAAAGGCATCGTTGTCTGCCAGTCCTTTATCACTATCATTCTCGTGGTCGGATTCTTCGGGTACTGGGCTCTTCATGACGGACAGAGATGCCTTGAACGGAGTAGCGACCTTTTTCGCAGGGCTCTGAAGAAGGGATGTGCTATACCTCAAGGGAGTGGCGGAGGGCTCTTGTTGAGATTGGGACATGAAAGACGCGCCAAAAAGGCCCTTACGGGGCGAGGATTTCAAAGGTGAGTTGTGTCCCGGAGTAAGGTTCGGTTGCGAGACCGATCCGACACTGGTGCCAAAGAGATTCCCACGTCGGGGAGTTTCAATGTTTGCTTTCCGCGGCGAAAGCCTAAGCGGAGAATTGAGTGTGGGCGACAAGGTGGGCTGCGACAAGGGCTTGAGGTCACTGCGGAGGTTCAAACCACCGCCTCGCCTGGGCGTTTCTCTCATTGAGAAATTAAATGGCGAAGGGGGTGGTCGCCGAGCCGGACTCGACAGGAGGAGGTTATTATCGTTGAAGTCGATCGACCGTCGAGGACCGGGCAAAGGATCGCCATTTTCATCGAGGGATTTGCGGAAATGTCCTGTGAGGTTGATCTTCTTGACCGGGGATTTCAGTCCGTTGTTTTCTGATCCGTGTTTGGGGGGCGATTGCACAATTGCTTTCATGTGATCCTTGTCGAGACTCAACTCATCATCCTCGCCATCCGAGCTCGCGTAGGAAGAAAGCCCCTTGGCAACCTGCGTCGCCTTTTTGGGCGAGAGGGGCTTCGACGAGCCATCCTTCTTCGCAGCCGCAGGCTTACGGCCCCTACCGGAGGTAGCCGCAGGTTTGCGAACCGGCTTGGAAGCCAGGCCTCCCTGGCGCCCCGAGCCCGCTGCGGCGCCCCTTTTCCTGCCGGCCGGCGGAGGGGGAGATGGTTCATCCAGCTCGTCCGCGTCCGTGTCCGTGGGATCCTGGAACGTGACTTTCTTCTTTTTGGCTGGGCCGCGCAGCAAATTCGACTTCGCGGACGACGAGTTGGTGGTGATGTACACTTGCCGGGGCGCTTCCTGGGACGTGGAGAAGTCGATATCTGTGAACCCCCGCGCGTTCAACCGCGTGTTCTCCTTCAATTCGTCGACCACCTTGGGCTTCGCTGCGGCCCCCTTCGGCCGACCCCGGGGCTTGGGCGCAGCAGCCTCCGCGTCCTTGGCGGCGCCAGGCTTCGTCGCCTTGGGTCTTCCGACGCGTTTCTTGGGTGCCTCCGACTGAGCCAGCTCGTCGTCATTGTCACTATCCAATTCCTCCGGTGCCGGCACCACTGGGGTCTTTCTCGTCCGGGAAGCAGTGGGAGCGGCGGCGGCAGCCCTGCTTGTCGTCGTAGCCTTGGTGGGCGGTCTCCCTCTGGGTTTCGTCGATGCCGTCTTCCCACTGCTCCTGCTGCTGCTGCTGCCGGCGAACATATCGATCTCGTCGTCCGTCGTCGCGTCCCCATCGTCAACCGGTCGCTTAGCGGTCGTGAATGAAGCGGCGCGGGCGCCTCGTTTGCGCGCCTCCGTGGCCGAGCTGGGCGCTTTAGGCTTTGTGGTCTTCGAGGCTGCTCTGCTGGCGGGGGCTGTCGTGGTTGTCGTTCCTTTGGTCCGGGTGCGCGTTGCCCGCTTGGGCGGCGATTGTGGGATGACTGCTGCGCGAGCCATTTCTGGAGTGTAATCTATGCCGGACGCGTAGTGATCGAAACGTCGGATATCGAAGTTTATGGTTTTTATGTTTCCCGCTGAGTGTTGTGGTGTGGGTGTTCGCGCGCGGGGGAGGGGTGGCCGGATAAAAATCGACGACTCACTCTGCTCTCATTGTGTGATCGCTTGTCGTGACTAGATCAATGGTCACTATATTGTTAAGTTTCAGAAGCCCCCAGAATCGATATGTATTGTGTTCGTAAAGAGCAGGGGGGCGGTGGCGTTGGTCAGGTTGTGGGTTGGGATCAGTTAAGCTTGCAGCTTCGGGTCTTTCGTCAGAGTTCGAGCTAAACAAGAAACCCGCCCACCGCGTGTTGTCCGCCTTGCTTGTTTGGGAAAGCCAGTTCGGCGGTTGTCCAGACAACACATCACGTGAGGGATGGGGGCAGCTTAGGTAAACTACTTTATGGAGAACACTTGCTGAATGAATATCTGATGAATGCATTCACACCCCTTCAAACAAAAGACTTTGTCCAAGCAAGCTTACATACAGAAATAGCCAAAGCTAGACTCCAAGAAGCATGATCGAGAATCCTTACAGCAAAGCACCCGCAGTCACCGTGGTAGCCAAAGCACCCAAAAACGCGGCACGCGACACCATATCGCTGGTATTGCTAAACACCGTCGCCGGCTGATACTCTTTTGGGGTTGTGGAATCAGTCGTGCCGTTCCAACAGTATCTGTCAAAACACTGATTACAGACATCCGGCACCGTAGTGTTAGTTCGTTCCAAAGATCGGCTGAGAATCGCGCAGCCCACACAAGTCGACCAGCCCGCGTCACGGCTATTGTTCCCCATCGTCGCAACATCATAGCCATTCTGTATGATTTGATCTCTCTGCGATTCCTCGTATTCTGGATCGAAGGTCGAAACGTTTGAATACGAGACATATGGATAGTTGGGAAGATAGACGATGAGCGGCGCCGGTCCCGTAAGGTTCGACGAGTTGCATCCGAAGAAGGTCGGTCGCGTATTCAGACCCAGGTTGACGAAGGTATTCTGGTCTGGTACCGCTGGGAAAGCGGTCCCATTGCCAATACCCGTGGAATTTAGGCTCCGTTCGTAGGTGGCAACCAAGGCAGTGCCGTTCGGCCAATTATTCCCAGTGTCAGCGGATGAGTCCACTGCAAAGATAACATCGACATGGCGCTCGGGCTGAATCAGTGGATGTAGCGGGATATTCTGGAGGTCTTCACCACCATCAACTAAATCGAGCACGGTGGCATTTGCGGCTGGCGATGAGTCATTGGCCCAATGGTAGAAGGGATTCGGCGTATAGAGCGCGATGTCATAGTTTTCTTGTCCAATGTCTTCCAAAATGCTTGTGAAAGCCGACTTCAAGAAGTCCGGAAGAGCGGTGGAGTTGACCTGTAACAGAAACTGATTAAATAAACTTGATGAGGTTCCCATCACGAAGCCCGCATTATCAAACCCCCTGACGCAGGTCTGATTCCGAGGAAGAGACCCAGCCACAAACCGAGACCCGAGATACTCGACAGGCACGAACCCGTAGACTGTGGGGTCGAAAGTGCCGAACTCCCAGGGATTGAATTCGTACACTGTAGCGTTGCTGCTTACTAGTAGCTCATCGGGATACCGCCCGTCAGCAACCAAAATTGGCATCGGCATATCGGCCTTCTCAAAGGAATCGGTCAGGGCGATTGATGACCAAGTATAGTCTATACCCCCGTTGGAGCCATTGATGAGTTGGTAAGATAGGGCACGACCCCTAGAACACCAGAGTCAGCGAAGCTAGTATCTCGGTCTGCATGTAAAAAGCTTACCAATAATCCGTAATCGATGTGTTGTATCCCGCATGCGACTTGCCCTGAACCGCATCATAGATATCCTTGTAGTATGACGCAGTATTAAACAGCTGAATACCACCACCTTCGGGCCCCTCGAAGATGGAATTTTGAAACTGCCAAATGGCGCCCTCCTTATACGTCTGCAAGTCGGAAACGGTGCTGAAATTATTCATATACAGCGAGCCGACCAGCCAACCACCACCACTCAAGCCAGCCAGGTATGTCGCAGACTGCAACAAGCCACCAAGCTGGCCATCACCGGTAGAGTTGTTCGTCCGACTGTCAAATGCTTTGATTGCTCCCGCGCCGTTCATGAGAGCTCGGTATCCGCCTCCTGACACCGCGATTCCAATATTTGGCAGGTTGGAGTTATTACCAGAAACTCGGTCGATGTATCCAGTGGCATTAAAGTCTTTAATCGTGACATGACCGAAAAAGTCTTTCAGGGCTGCTTCGGTTTTCTCTCGGCGAGTCTTGAGCCATGCAGTCTCGTTCGAGGACAAAGTCGAAGCACTGCGCACTGTGGGCCGCCTAGCCGAGCAAGTGACATTGGATGGAGTATATCCGTTGGGGGCGTTCGGTAGCGCACGCTGTAGCATCAGGTGTTTGTGGTCCGCATCATTCGTACCAGTCGTCGCTCCTATTCGAACCAGTCAGCCATCACAGAGAAGTATTACGAAAGGGCATCATCATACCGGAGAGCAAGCCCAGAAGAATGAGAAATGTCGCTGTGAAGTTCATTTCGACTTCGACTGACAAGCCGGATATGGTCAGAACTGTAAAGCTCTTGTGGAAGGAAGCTCTCGACTCGACTACAAGGCAAGGCCCAGGGCGATACTTTGAACGGGCCTGCGCTGTTTTCAGACAGGGGGTCTTGGCTTTTGATGAGGCCTGAGACAAGCCAAGTACTTGTATCCATTGATGAGCATGAGTGACTGGTGCGATTGGCAGGCAGCCTGAGGAACCACGGCTGCCCACTGATGTGTCTGAAAGCGAAATTCAGGACATGCTTTGCCTATACTTTTCTGGACACTCATTTGTGGCTGAGCTCGAACAGCTGCGAGCCATGGTTTGCGTTGGAGCAACAGCTGTCTCTCCAGCATCGCTTGTGGTTCGGGCTGCGGGATCATCTGTGGGCTTGGGTCGAAACAAGCCTCTCAACACTGGAAATTAGGCAGTTGCATTTCGATTGGAGGTCCTCACAGCGTCATAGACTCAATTATTCGTAGAGGTAACTCGAATGAAGCTTGACAAATGCTATCTGGATGTGCAGGGGATGGGCGGCTGAGCAATAATGGATAGTAAGTACTAAGGAAGGGAAGATCCCGGATCGGCCAAGCGATGTTGACGCAATCCCGCCCGCTGAAACTTCAGGCCAACCCCGGCGTGTCTCCGTCTCTGCTTCGTGTTTGAAAACTGTCTAACTGTCTGAACTGTCATCTCGTCTTACAATTTCCGCGCACGGACGAACCCCCCGAACAAAGCCTGAGCTGCGTGCAATACCATTGATCTAACATTCCATGGTATTACCGACGATGACTCGTCGCGCAACTCGAATCGCAGTCAACGATCCCGCCGATACATAAGATCCGTCCTCATAGTGAACTTGACCCCACGTAGCACCGTATCCCCACCATGCAGCAAATCGTTCTGCTGGAACACAAGTACTGACCCCGTGCGCGGAAAGATGCGAAGATGACGCTCCCTCTCTTCAAACCGAGGCAAGAATGAAGTTGCACCACCCAGCAGGGGGCCCTTCATATCTAGATTCACGGCGCCTTCGCCTTTGTCCGCCCGCTTCATCTCCCGCATCAATTCCGCGCGGTCCTGCTCCCCATCGCCATTCAAATAGAGATGTACGGTGTAGTAAGACGTTTCGCTCCCCTCCGGCGTGCGATAGTGACCATCCCAGTGCGGTCGAAAGTATTCCCCCCCTTCGTATTTCAGGAAGCGCAGTCGCTCGTTGAGCCGGGTGAGCCGGTAGAGGCCGTTGCGGCCAGCCAAGCCTGTCACCCGTGGCTGATTGTCGATCGTCTCGATGCCCAGCTCCTGCAAGAAGGGTTTCAGTCGAGCCAGCAGCTTGTCGGCGAGGAAAGGCGAGTCGTAGATGATCCGTCCGCAGTTGCGAGTATCCACTGCGAGCGCCTGCTTGCCGTTGCCCAGGTTGATCATGGCGCGCTCCCAGACGGGTTCGGCGGTGCGGTCCCCGGTCGGAACGGTACTGGCCTCGGCCAGACGAAGGAGCTCATCGCATTCCTTCTTGGTGAGCGCGTTGTCGATGACTGCAGCACAGAGGTCCTTGTATTCGGGCAGCGGTGGGTCGCTGCGGGTAAAATCGATGCGATGGCATTGAGCGTCGGCCGGGGGTTGCGCGGGGAGGAAATCTGCGGGGATTGGCCGAGCCATAGAGTATGATGCGATATAAATTGGGGGGGTGCTTCGCGAAGGACTCTCAACGTGTGGTTTGAATATCTGTAGAGAAATGCATCTTGCGAAAGACTCCATGGCTCTAAATCAAGCAGTACGTAGCGTCATGAGAGCCTCCACCCTCGAAAGAAACTTGAACCAGCCCCATTTGGGAGCCCGACTCAGCCTTGTGAGCACTGAGCAGGCAGCGAAGGTGGTGGGAATTTGACTGGGGCTGAGAACGGACTAGGCTGATAAGGCTTTCCTCTTACTAGTGTAATTCCCCCGTATTGATGGTAGAGATCACGAAGACACATCACGAGCGAGTAACACACAACATGTAGGATAAATTCCGTTGCGGTAGAGCCTGCTGCAGACCGGACCTGAGAGTATGACTAAGGTAGCATCAAAACAACGACAAAAAGAGCAGACTTTGCCAAAAACGTCGAGCGAGTAAGTAATTCCCCTATGCCTACTAGAGGTGTCAGGAGACTCCCTTCTTCAAGTTGAAAGGCCGCCAGTGCTGAAGGTATGACTGCACATAGAACCTCGAAAACATACACATGAGGTACAGAACGAACCCCATTCCGACCCCGACAACATAGGCCTGACGACTGTCCTTCACGCATCGCACGGTCTTTAGATCTTGCGTCCGCTGTCCTCCGGATACCTGCGGTGTCACATTGTAAGGAGGATACTGCTGTTGCTCATCCCGCTCGAACCGCGGGCCCGAAAAGGGGACATCATATTCAAGCAGGACGAACACGCATCCCAGCAACATTCCGACGAAGAATTGTGCGATTTGTAGCGACGTCAAGGCAGCTTTGGTCGCAAGGAGGACGGGAATGCGTAATGCAGTCATGCTATAGTATGTATACTGTGCTCTCCTCATATTAGCATCGTGTGATTCCCCCAAAAGGACACATTGCCATCGAACTATACTAACCATTACGGTGTGAACAGCAGAGTTGAACACAAGCGCGATTATCACGGGGGTACAACTGAAGCGTATCACCGCACACCCGCAGAAAATAACACCGGCATGGTGATACATATGTAAAGCCGAGACCTGGCGGCCCTTCAAAACAATGATCGCCGTGTCGCATATCTCGTAGAACTTGGACAGGTAGAATAACCAACCGATGAACATCACCCTCGACGCAACCTCTTGGTGACCTGCAAATTCGCCCCCAAGACATATAAGGTCCGCTGCGCGGGTCAGGTACAATTCGTCTTGTCTGGCAGGCCATGAAGACACCAGTGAGTTCAGCGCTGCGGAGAATGCCCAGGCTGAGAAAGCTGTCAAGATCAGATTATGGGTTATCACCGCATGTTGGAAGACCCTGGTGCGACTGATAGCCCATGGCTTCTTCTTAAGAGCATTGTATCGGTTGAAATAAGCCACAACCGTGAGGTAGAGAACGCATGTCGTAGCAGCAAACAGTAGATTTGTAGAGACTGTAAAGAATGACTGTGGAAGCTGATATTTCCCGAGGCGAAGAGCTGACACTGGGAACTGGATCGTGGGCGGCGCAGAGAGATCAGGATATTCAAACAAGGCCGGAGGCGGCAGGCCAATCCGCACCATTGCTCGTTGAACCATGACAGCGGATGTTAAAAAATGGATTCAAGAAGACAAACGATATCTCGGTGGGAAATGAGAGGTTTTTTAAATGTATCTACATGCACTAGGATCGTCCAGTCGCTGATGATAGCCGACATTTTGAACCGAATGTGGTCGTTAAGGGGGGGTGGCATGCCCGTGCAGGATCATAACTCAACCCGTAAGGAAGGAAGAGTCTGTCTGCAGATCTCATGCGGGGTTTTGAAGTTTCTACAGATCTCAATGGCTTCCAGGCACAAACCAGGATCAATTGTTGGGATTTGAGCTCACATTTTTGTATGTCGCAGCCATCAACGATCGCCCTCCCTTGCAGCAGCGGGTGTAATTTCAATGGCTCTCTTTTGGCATAAGTTGACATGCAAAGTGTGAATTCATGCATCGACCCATGAACGTAAGAATGGGAGAATGTAAATTCACTCTGAACACCAAGCTGGGGTTAATTTCAGAATCGCACAAAACGAGAATTGATGCTTGGAGGTAATTAGTTTGATAAAGCAGTTAAGCTCAACGCCGCAACGCTGATATCAGCCCAACTTTCATCCAGAAGTCTCATCTTATCAGAGTATATCTGAGAATTCAAGGCAGCATCTATAGTACTATTTAGCACATGACCCTAGCAGGATGTGAGAAGCATCCAATTAGCCGGAAATGATGGTTCGTGGGACGTTTTGTGCGAGCACTGCATCGCCGCTTGTGGCATTCGGAGCAAGGTACTGTTTTATCTTCCACAGTTCATTGGCTTGGAGGTAACCGTTGAACTTGTGACAGATATCCTTTGTCGCTTGATGAAAGCATCGCGGAACAGCTTCTAGCATTCAAGTTGGTCTAACATTCTGTGTGGCACGGCTGGCGCTGCACGCTGCGAAGGAGCTGCACCGGAAACTGGTCGAAGTACTCGTGTGTTTGGAAGCCGGCTGTCACAATTGAGAAAGCATCCACACATGCGGAAGACATGGCTAAGAGAGCTTGAGAGACCATATGGTGGTAGCAAGTCACCAAGACGAGGCAAGCATAGAACGAAGCAAGAAAATGGAGAGCATCAGGCAAACCCGGGACACTATGGATTCCGTCAAGCGCCCTCCAGCCGGAAGGACGCTTTCTTATACGCCAAACCCCGCATGCTCATTCTCAATGAAGCGAGAAACTCAGGGGACGGAAAAAATTTTCTCTCTAATCTCATCATCATGCCATATTCAGGCACAAACGACTGAATGAGTCCTATCGTACTTGCTAGTGCATGTATTGTTCCTTCTCAGTCAAAAAGATATCTCAATGAAACCCACTCTTCTCTGTTGACAGGAACTTGATTTCTCCGCGCTATCGCAAAGAGCAGAGCCACAGCAATCAGAATCGCGAAATACTAGGGATGAATTGTACTCCATAGGTGCGAAATAACGCTCCGTTGCAATCTCTTTCCTCTATGAAGGGGGGAATCGAGGAGGTACTGATGTATACTTGCTCATTACATGACTCTGGCTACTGGAGTAATGGGTACACAGTACGGCTAGTCGCCTGGAGGTGAAAAAGTGCAGCGTCAAATCACCTTTGAGAAGGCAATTCCGCTAGTTACCAAACTGTGCGAGTGTGCTCCGGATATTGAGTGGCTTCCTTGCATGGACAAATTGGCTTAGTAGGTTCGTAGTGATTCTGGCGCAACTGAGCCTTTGGACCCAGACATCGCATCGTCGTCGATCTCGCAAGGTATCACATGAGCCCTCACATATGATGTGTCCAGACAAGATGTACGAATGCAGCATCGGATCCTTCAAAGTCTTGATTTCCTCCGTACCGAATACTCTATGCACTGCGGTGACACCTCCGACTTTTTCACAACAAGTTGAAGTTGACGGCTGCGGGTCGGTGGCTGTCTCTTCAACATGGTGCGTAGGACCGGCGAGGATACGTGAATTAGGCTGATTCGAACCTAGGAGCAAGATAATATGATTAAGATGGAAGTCAGTATTTTCTAGTCAGGATTGTCTTTTCTTACTCATCTACGCTCTCCACTCCCTCCCTATCTACCTCTTTCTCTTCATCTCCCTAGTTCGTTATGAACAACCCAGACGCTACTCTCAGTACCAGCCAGGCAAGACACATGGCCGAGTTGTCAGTAAACTGGCGATACTGGTACAAAAACATTCACTGGTGGGCGATAATTGTGATGATAATAGTACCTATCGGCGGAATCTATCAGAGTCCACAGACTCCAGTGCATCTGAAAACCGCCGTCTTTGCAATAGGATTCGGGTTTACTTCGGGCTTCAGCATCACTGCTGGTAGATCCATCCCCATTACATAGCTACGAAGGGTGGAACCTCGTCGCTGAATGACTTGCTAGGCTACCATCGGCTCTGGTCTCATAGATCCTACCGTGCCACCACGCCCCTAAGGGTGCTACTCGCCCTTCTTGGAGCCAGTACCGCCCAAGGGACAATCAGGTGGTGGGCGCGCAACCACCGAGCGCATCATCGCCATACTGACACAGCCAGGGACCCATACTCGGCCCGGAGAGGCCTTTGGTACTCGCATATGGGTTGGCTTGTGTTCAGGGTAGATCCGAGCATTTACCAGGATGTCGACATGGCTGACCTGAACACTGATCCGGTGGTTCTCTGGCAGCATCGCTACTACGGTGGCATCATGCTAGCCACCGGGTTCTTCTTCCCAACGGTGGTGTGTGGCCTTGGCTGGAGCGACTGGAAGGGTGGATTTGTCTTCGCGGGTATCATGCGCATGTTTGCAGTGAACCAAATCACATTCTGCGTCAACTCTCTAGCTCACTGGCTCGGGGAGCAGACCTTCGATGATCGAAACACCCCCCGCGACCATGTCCTCACCGCGATCATCACGCTCGGGGAGGGTTACCACAACTATCACCACGAGTTCCCCACTGACTACCGCAATGGCGCGAGATGGTGGCAATACGATCCCACCAAGTGGCTGATCTGGTTGTGGGCGCAAATGGGTCTTGCCTATGACCTCCAGCGTTTTTCCTCACAGGACGCGGACAAGTGTCGTCTCCAGCAGGCGCAGAAGAACTTGGACGAGAAGAAGTCACACTTTGATTGGGGGGTCTTGCTTGAGGACTTGCCTCTGATGACATGGGATGAGTACGTGCGGCAAGCTAGCGATGAGAAGCACGCCCTCGTTGTTATTGCAGGGGTGGTTCATGATGTATCGAGGTTTATAGCCAAGCATCCGGGGGGCCGTCGAATGCTCGAAGATGCCATTGGCAAAGACGCGACTACAATGTTCACAAGAGGAGTACACTTGCATTCCCGGCTGGCACATAACAGGCTTGCTGCTTTGAGAGTGGGTATTCTTCAGGAGTCATAAGCAATAGAGGGCAGAGAGTCATGATGCTGCAGAGCCGACCAGTGTAGCCTTTTTACTCTCTTGCATGAAATCATAAGCCTCGTGATCACTATCCGTCTTCAAAGCAATCTCATATTGACAAACCAGCGGATACTCGTGTCCAGACGACTTGTCTTGATCAATGGCTACTTAATTTCAATCTTAGGTCCCTTACATTAGAACCCTCATGATGGAATTTGTTGTTGCGTCTACGCCCACAGCCACCAAATGCATCCCTTTCTTATGCTATCAGCTACTGTAGGATGCCTGACAGGCAATCAATACACCCATCTAGGATAAGAAAGCCGGTAATTGCGTACATCAACTGAACAGGGGAGGAGGCACTATGTCACCCCCATTTTATGTGAGTGTTCTCTAATGTCAAGAGCTGAGTGGAACTCGAACTGATCCATTGCGGGGAACTGGAGGCAGCGGCAAGCGCTACACAATAAGCGCATTTCTGTTCTGGGCATTGCTGCCTTGATCGACCGACAAGCATTAGTTGCATGGAATAAACATTGTAGGGCTAGTTCAACTGACAGCAGACATGTTGAACCTCATGACGTAAGTCAATGCGTTGTTGACAGACGTGTTGCTACGCCATGTGGTGGTAGTAGTGTACGGTGTACGGTGTAGATCTAATTTAATCTCGAGAGGGTCCAACAACCTGGAATGTGGCTCAAATGACGCCAGTCTCAGGGACCCTGAATTAAAGGGTCTGCTGGCGGGGAACCAATGGATCGAAGGCTATCGAGGCGGCGGTGGAGCCCCCGATCCCCAATGATGGTGACGTCAGTTGTCCGCTTGTTCTGGTGGCAATCGCCTTTAATTCATCTTGTCGCTCCCTCTCTCCAGGCTGCCTGCCTACTGTGAATTTCCACAACATCTCTCTCCGGCTGGACATTCCGCTGGGTGCACTGGAACCATGAGGGTGTCGATCATTGCGCGTCAGGTCCTGGTGCAGGCCTCTCTTCTGATTATTGCCTCCGCTATACCCGCTCCAACTGCTTTCCCCAGTACCAACAGCAACAACAATGATCTCGCCCCGCCAGACCCAGCCATTACCCCTTCACCCGTCGAGCGGTACCCTTCGCCGGTGGTTCCAGTTGCCCGCCGAAACATTTTGAGTGATGTTGATTCGGATATCCACAGTGTGCTCTCAGGGCTTGGGTCGGATCTACCCTCGTGGGTCGCATCGGGAGTGCCCAACTTCTTCCAGGGATTTCCCACCGGGGATGCAGTTGTCAGTTCCCTCGGCCTGAACAGCGCCCAGCTGGCCGCATTGCCAACCAATGTCTTGAACATCGATCCGTATGCCAACTGGACGAGCTCCGGCTGGAATGTGCGCTTCCACGGAAACGTCTACAAACAACCGAACACCTCCGTCTCCGACCTGAACAAGCTGGCAAATGTCTTTCTCGGCAACACGAGCATTGAGGACCTCCCGGAATCCCAGCAGGTGCAGGCCCGCAATCTGACGGCCGAGATTTTTGTGGTGCAGCAGCCGCACGTTGCAGTGAATACCATCCATCTCGAGCCTGCATCGAGCCAAGGTGCCAGCGGACAGCCCGGTGGCGGCGGATCCACGAACACCACCGGTGGCACGCAAGACCTCACTCTCCCTTACAACACCACTGTTGAAGGTGACTTTGATGTCTTCGTGCCCATCGACGGCAATGGCCTGACGGCGGGAAACGAGACTTCGGAGATTCAGAGACTGAATACTTATGTCAAGGGCGCATCCATTGGAAATAGCACCGCCTACCTGGTACCTCCCAAGGGTATCACCATCGTGTCCGACATTGACGATATTCTGCGCGTCACCAAGATCTATGAGCCGGAGCAGGGACTGCTTAATTCGTTCGCTCGTCCATTCACGCCCTGGGAGAACATGCCGGACATTTACCGCAATTTGTCTATCAACATTCCGAACATGCACTTCCACTACCTGGTAAGTCGGTCGCTCTTCTGGCTCACGACAGTTATTTTAACCGTTACGCTAGACCACCACTCCCGAGCAGGTGACCAGAAACTATATGCAGTTCATCTACACTCACTACCCGGGTGGCTCGTTCGACACCCGTCCCCTCAACTTTAGCGACGTCTCAGCCACCCTGTCGATCCGCAAGTTCCTGTTACAGAAGGTCTTCGAAACCTTCCCCGAGCGCAAGTTCATCCTGATTGCCGACACCAGCAACAGCGATGTCATGCGCGACTACCCCGAGATGGTCACCGACTTCCCCGGCCAAGTGCAGTGCATCTGGCTCCGCAACACCTCCGCCACCGACTCCGGCGACAAGTTCCCGTACGACACATCCGGATTCAAGAACCTGAACCAGTCGCAGTACATGTTCTTTCTGCACCCGAACGATCTCACCAACCTGGACGTGGCCAACGGCCAATGCTACAACCAGTCCATTGCCCAGAACCTGACCTTTAGCTATCAGGGACTCCCATTTGGACTGGGAGATGACCCGACCTCGATCAACGGGTCTGCCAACGGTACGGAAGAGAGTGCGGCCAGCGGCCTCTCTACCAAGGGCGCCGCCGGAGCGCGGAGCCTGATGGCGTTTGTGGCGGCCATGTTCACGGCGACGTTCATGCTTTTGTAGATAATAATCATGCGAGACGAAATGTAATGACGAATGGTTTTATTGTACATCTAGCCACTCTGCAGAGCCTGGGAGTTGATAACCCGGCTAGGCCACTTTTGTCATTCTCGAGCTAGTTGTTCGGGGATTGCTGGCTAAGTCCTTAAGGCGGGGTAACCCCAAGCCCTGGCTGGCTGCACGGGACCAGCCCGCTGCTACAGTACTATAAATATCTAGAGCCTGGGGAGAGTGATGTAAGCTTAGAACTGCGCTATAGGTCAATGAGTCCCCAATTCGTTTTCCTTTTTTCAAGTTCACGGGATCAAGAGAGTGCAGCTGGGAGATTCAAAGCCAGGGAATCAAAGCCGGGTCCGGACGATCCGAAACTCGCACGTCGGAGGTGCTCTGGGTGCTCTGCTGGACCGGGATTCCCAGATGGGAAAGAGAGTGAGGAATTGGTAACTTCTGAGTAGTGGTGATAGGTATGATATATTTGGACAGCAGAACACTTCATCAATGCATTTGGTGTGAGAACTGGAGAACACTCCGTTCGTTACTTAGTCTGGGGAAAGCGGGTCTCCGGGTTGGGTCACCTGCTCCAATACTGTAAGGCTACCTTACTGTAAATCCCGCCTCGGCTGGCCGATTTAGATCCATCTCTCACCCTTCACTGGTAACCAGATCGCTGAAGAGTTCGTCGAATGCTTCATGGCCGATAACGCCAGTCGGATGATCTACTCCAGGTTAGTATTATACATAGACATACATACATACATAATAGGCGTGGATCGCAACGATTCCAGGAACAGAGATCTGTCATTGGATCCAGATCCACGGCCTCCAATCCCGGTCCAAAGTCCAGGCCGTTGCAGGTCCCCAGGTACAGGACGGAGGTGGGTGCCGCGGAATGTGAAGCTATTGAAAAAGACAAAAGATTGAAACGCACCCCGTGATCCAGACGGGCTTCCAACTGAACCGCCCAGCAATGCATGGCTCGTGACCCTCCGCCGCCCGGTCTCGATCCGCCATCTTAAAATATCCCCGGATTGCCCATTTGAGTAATCCGAGCTATAATTCAATTATCTCCCCCCACGAAAGAATACTTTTGGATATTGAACCAAGCTAGTTGTCAGACACCGCAATCCTCTGGCGGCAATATCGTTACTGCATCATGATCCATTCGCTGTAGTTTTCGGTGAGATGGAACGGAACCTGGAACAATGCCTGTCTTCTCTATTCCTCCACAGCAGAAAACCTGTATCAGCGGAACTGACTGCCATGACTGCCATGACTGCAGGGCTTCAGGACTGGATCCCGATCCGACTGTTTGTTCCGCGGGTCTCGACCGTCGCTGTCCTTCTCCCTCGCGGGCAGTTCGTGTTCTCATGACTTCCCCGTTGCCAGGGCGGATTTCCTGGTTTCTCCCTATTGAGGTAGTCCTTGGAGTCATCGTGATTTATTTAAGAAGCTTCTACCCCGGTCATCTGGGTGGCTCTACTACTAGCATCTACTATTACACCTCCTCCTCTTCCTCCTCCTCTTCCTCCTTCTCTCCACCTCCTTCCATTTAACCAGACAACTACACACTTACAATGTCCCTGTCTATCGAAACCACCGACGTAGCTCCTGCTCCTGTCCCCATCCCAGTGCAGGATGGCCCCGCGCTCGGCTCCAAGTCTCGCATGCCCGAGTTCAGCCTGGCTGGAAAGGTAGTCTGTGTGTCTGGCGCTGCCCGGGGGCTGGGTCTGACGCAGGCCGAGGCGCTCCTGGAAGCCGGGGCCAAAGTGTACGCGCTGGATCGTCTCGAGGAGCCCGTGAGTAACCAGCCCCTGGACTTATGTTAAGAATCTTTGCTTAAACAGGAGGAATTCTAGTCTCCCGAGTTCTCAATCATCCAACGACGCGCTCAAGAAGAACTGGGAACCGAGCTGCACTACCGTCGCATTGACGTGCGCGACACGGAGCTGCTGAACACCGCCATCGAGCTCATCGCCAACACCGAGGGACGCATGGACGGACTGGTCGCCGCGGCCGGGATCCAGCAGGAGACCTCCGCGCTGGAGTACACGGCGGCGGATTCGAACCGGATGTTCGAGGTGAATGTGACGGGGGTGTTCATGACCGCGCAGGCCGTTGCGAAGCAGATGATTCGGTTTGGGAATGGCGGCAGCATTGCGCTGATTGCTAGTATGAGCGGGACGATCGCCAATCGGGTATGTTGCCATGCCATTCATTGCCATTGGGGCTGACCCCCGCTTCTTCTTCTTTTTCTTCTTCTTCTTCTTCTTCTTCTTCTTATCCTGATTCTACCCGTACGATGTTTACTCGCCCCGCCACCCGCACCTGTCATCTTGACATCACGCACTGACCGTTTGGGAATTTCTCACCAGGGCCTGATTTGCCCCGCCTACAACGCCAGCAAAGCCGCAGTCATCCAGCTGGGCCGCAACCTCGCCATGGAGTGGGGTCCGTACAACATCCGCGTCAACACCATCTCCCCCGGGTACATCGTGACGGCGATGGTGGAGGCGTTGTTCGTGCAGTTCCCCGAGCGACGCGACGAGTGGCCGAAACACAATATGCTAGGCCGTCTGTCCACCCCGAATGAGTACCGTGGCGCGGCGGTTTTCCTGCTTAGTGACGCCAGCAGCTTCATGACGGGGAGTGATTTGCGGATTGACGGGGGGCACGCCGCGTGGTGATTGATGCATTGATTAAATGGGTGTTGCATGGCGTTCATCTGAGCAAAGCAAGCGTTGATCGTTGATTGACTAGAAGCATCATTTACATCATAGCTATGAGATGGGGGATTGCGTGTTTCGTTTATTGGCAGTATGTTTAGCGCTGCGGGTAGTTGCCTTGACTTGTCGATTGAAAATTAGATAATTGTATCATTAGTAAGTTAACTAACTTGACTAACTAGTTAAGAAGTACTAGAAGTGGGATAGCCACACGGTATCCCGCCGCAAGAATGCAATAGAGAATGCGCAACTGCGACCGCCACCTGGGCAAGAAGATCCAGTTCGTACGGTACGGAGTACACAGTGTACACAGTATGTAGATTAGACTTAGTAGCGCAGTCCGATCTGGCATAGTTACAGTATCGCCGAGCAAGCGGGGCAGGACTGACACCTGTTGACCCACTCCCATCTACTCAATCCCTGGCACTGGGGCAACATTCATCTGCCACTGCAAACTCCAAGTAACAGAATCTAGGCAGTCATGAACGCGACAGACGAATCATAATTCTACTCAAAAAAAATCCCAACACGAGTTACTCTGTACGAGGAATTTACTAATTACGAGTACTTACGGAGTACTGCAGGTAATTCCTGCCCCCACCATCCGAGGAAATAAAATAAACTCTGCGCCAACCCGTATCTGCCCCGCACCGCACGACGAGGCCGCGCATGAACGAATGCGCTCACCCCGGATTCTGGGGTTGCCTAGATTTGAGTGGGTGGGTGCGAGGGATGACATCAAGGATACTTGATGTTGGTTGGTGGCGATGGGTTTGGGGTTGGGGGATGATCTGCTTACCCCGAGGTAACTCTGTGAGATTAATGGGGTGGGGCGGTGGTGTATACTAGTACTTGGATGGTAAGAGAATGCAGTCGATATAGCAGTGATGTAGTGGATGGGAAGTATAGTAGGATTCAGGAGTTGTGATCTCTTCTGCTCGAAGAAGTAGTCATGGAACTTAGTGAATCAGTACGAACTATTGCAGGTGCCCTTCCTACTGCTGTACTCCACGAGTATTTTAGTTATACATCGCATAGTCTACCGAATTTGTAAATATTCTTACCATCTCCAGAAAGTGGGTGAAGTGTCTCAATGTACTGTACCTACATAAACTACTAGTATGTTTTGCTTTTACACAGCTACAAGTATAATTATATAGAAGGGTAAGAGTATGCATTATGCATGTTGGTTGCGGGGGCTCCGCTGACCCTTTGCGGGATGCACTTGTAGTGGTTTACCTTGGGGTAGTGCTTGGTGTTCACTACAGTGATCATCGGTACTACTGCTCTATCTAACAATTTCTATGTACTATGGGATGAAAGGATAGGCTGCTTACTGTGGAGGCTGGAGGGTTGCAGTGTGCGGATAGTTTCTCCCATGATATACATATCGTCGACAACTGCTTCCGCGTCAAGTTACAGTAGAGTGAGGCAGACTGCCACGATACCTCCAAGGAAGTGTCAGGGGGAATAATCTTCTACAGCTTACCCGTGCCGAAGAAATAGGTTGCTTGAATAATTGCTTTCACAACAGGAGAAAAAGCATGCCTCAAATCCCTCCCAAAACCCCCCGAGTCTACCTGGACATACTTTGATTCTACGTGATAGAAGCCACATCCAGTTGAATCAGATCGGGTCCTCAAATGACATTAAACGTAATCACGAATATTTCACAGACTCTATCTCCAAGTCCCAATCACAAGCTAATGTCTCATCTGGAGGCATAAACCAGAAACTTATCCACTGCATCTTGCATATGCAACTAGAATGTATAACATATTTATGTGGTCATGACATCAACAATCCTCGATGGTCTAACGGTCATGATTTCCGCTTGTCAATCTCAGCCGAGAACAAGCGCGGGAGACCTGGGTTCGACTCCCAGTCGGGGAGATTTCTTTTTTGCCTTTGCCATGCACAAATCCTGACTCCCTACAGGAGAATGTCTTTCCCGACAGATTGTCCTTACAACTTGCTAACTTACGTTTACCTGGTCAGGACGATCAACACCAGTTGCTCCTGACTCAGGGTCTTGATATATCCCAATCTCCTCTGCCAGGCACCACCACATCGAATCGCTGCCTACGTAGACCAGCAATCACTGCAACCGCTACTGTACAATGCCACCGCACTATCTAAAGTATATCCATCCTCATGATCCCAACCCCGATAGACCCAACAGTGCCTCCCCGCAGAAACCTCGACCGCGCTTTCGCTCTAGAGGGCAGGGCGTGTCTCAATGGCGAGCCGATCCAGAGCCCTCAGACGCTCCTCCAGACGCTCCTGTTGCACAGAGAGACCGTGGAGTTTCTTGATGTAGACTTCGAGGCCCAGACCAGTGAGTTCTGGGGAGATGACGACGAGGAGATGAAGCCGGATTTCAATGTGTATGGTAAATGGTCGGAAGCAGAGCATAATGAGCTCAAGACCCTGCTATACATGGCGAAAAGCATCGACCAACCCAGAGAAACTGCTTGCAGCTGGTGGATCACCTGCCCCCCGAAGCTGGAGTATGTGCTAATCCGGGGCTACGAGAGAGGCAAGCGCCAGGATCATGACGACCAAGTCAACGCTCTACTTTGCTTCAAAGAGCGTGAGATACTTCCAAGCCTCGAGTGTTGATGAGTTGATTCCACATGCTGAATCCGTGGACGACCCCGACAATGAATCAAGAGGACGAGTGAGGAGAGCGCCAGATACCGGGCCGAGATCATTTGCATCTATACTCTTCTTGGATGAGTCTGTTGAACCCTCGGCCCAGTCAATCCCTAAGCGAAGAGGCGCGGTCCGGTGTATCCCTCTATGCAGCCAATCATCGAGCTGCATCTTATCATCTTATCCAGATTATCAACCCAGCGACTGATAAGATTGAGCTGTTCTTGCTTGCACCTACATACTTAGGCTGTCTGTCGATATCCCCACGAGGACTCGCATCCTGATGATTCACCAATCAGTCCACTTTTTGCGCAGCAGAGTGGATGCGGTGGGGCCAGCATCAGAGCATAGATACCCTCATTCCCGGCGGGGTTGGGGTTGACTTGGCGGAATGGAATGCCGCGATGGAGGCGCCCCTTATAAGATTAGAGCCTTGAACCCTAAATCAAGTGTAGTCCCTCATCGTTGTATTTTCACCGGCTGTGTCCGGATCTCCCTGCAATGGCTCGTTTTCCCCCATTCAGTTTGTCCACGCCATGCCTGTGGGGCCTGATCGGCTCAGCGGCAGCCCGGCTGGTGTCCACCGGCATGTCCGTGACGCTCCAAGACATCGACTATTTCATCTCGCCATATGCCTCGGGAAACGTGACTGTGCCCTCCGCCTGGCTGTCCCACGTCCCGAGCGTCAACGGGTTTGCCCCCGTGACTGTCGTGCAGGAAGACACGACGGAACTGTCCACGCTATCGCCGCTCTTCTCCACATGGTCGACCAAGGACGACGTGTTCACGGATGCATTTCTCGACGCCGTGTTCGTCCGCGGTCAGCGCCAGAGTAGCATTGGCAACGTGACCTCGTTCCGACAGGGCCAGACGAGTGTCGTGCTTCCCCTCGAATCCAGTGCGGTCCCCTCGGGTCCGTACTTTATCGAACAGACCACCGGCAAGCTGTATCCCGTTTATCGACTGTACAGTGACTTTGCCGGGGCCTTCAACCAGCCCCTGCTGCAGAAGCCCGATGGGACGTTTCAAACCCTGTCAGCCCAGATCGCGGGGGTGGCATCCGCGACCATTGGCGTGCCCTCGCGGCTCTACTACACGCCCACCGAGGACAAACCGCTGGCCGGCGTCCGTGTGGGCATCAAGGACATCTACAGCCTCGCCGGGGTTCGGCAGAGCAACGGCAACCGGGCATGGTACCATCTGTACGGCGAGAACAACGTCACCGGCACCGCCGTCTCGCGGATCATCGAGGCCGGAGGCATCATCGTCGGCCTGCAGAAGCCCTCGCAGTTCGCCAACGGCGAGACCGCCACGGCCGACTGGGTCGACTTCCACGCCCCCTTCAACCCCCGCGGGGACGGTTATCAGGACCCATCGTCCTCGTCGTCGGGGGCGGGAGCCTCGATCGCCTCGTACGACTGGCTCGATCTAGCCCTGGGCAGCGACACGGGCGGCTCCATCCGCGGGCCGGCCGAGGTTCAGGGGGTCTTTGGCTCGCGTCCCTCGCACGGCCTCGTGGCGCTCGATCACGTCATGTCGCTGTCCCCCGTCCTCGACACGGCGGGCTTTCTCACGCGCGATCCCTACCTCTGGGACACGGCCAACCAGGCGCTGTACCGCACCAACTACTCCTCTTTCCGCGGCAAGTCTGTCCGCTACCCCAGCACGCTGTACACCCTGAGCTTCCCCACGACGAACGACAGCGCCAGCGACGCGATGCTGCTGGCGTTCCAGCAGCAGCTGGCATCGTTCCTCAACACCACCGCCACGCCGGTGAACTTGACGGCGGACTGGACTTCCCACCCACCGGCCGCGGCTCCGTCGGATGTCACCCTTCCGACTCTGCTGAACCTCACTTATCCCATGTTGATCAGCAAGCAGCAGATATCGCTCGTCCGGGATCCCTTTTATGCGGACTATGCAGGTAAGCATCTCTCGTGTATCCCCGACGCCCCCCGCGGCGCAAAATCGCGCAGAATAGCAACCAAACCCCTCTATCTGAACTGCTTACTCACCACCACTAACAACCTCCTCCTCCTCCATCTCAGCCAAACACGATGGCCGCCTCCCCTTCGTCGACCCCGTCCCCATCTCGCGCTGGAACTGGTCCAGCGCATACCCCGACTCCGCCCTGGACGAGGCCATCACGAACAAAACCATCTTCATGGAGTGGATGACGGAGCACTACCTCGGCCCCGCCGACCACCCGGACCAGTGCTCCTCGTCGCTGATGGTATACGTGGGCTCGGCCGGCCCGGAGACGGCGCGCAATGTCTACCGCTCCCTCCCCGGCGCCCCGCTGGGTTGGAGCAGCAGTCGCATCTCCAACATGGCGGAGGTGCCGGACTTTGTCCTCCCCGTTGGCGAGGTCGAGGTATACAGCAGCATCACCAATCATCTGGAGAAGTTCCCCGTGACGGTGGATGTCCTCGCGGCGAAGGGCTGTGATGGCTTGATTGTGCGGTTGGCGCAGGATTTGCTGGAAGCGGGGATAATTGCGAGGCCGTTGACTGGGGGGACGATGGCGGGGGGGGAGGTTTTGCTTTAGTTTTGAGTGGGTGGAAGGTCTGTGGATGGAGGTGTATAGACACATTGGGTGGGTGATATATATAAATAGAAGACTGCCGGAGATGTGTGTGGTGTAGAAGATGGAAGCTGGGTTAAAGTTGCGGCTGAGGATGCGAAAGATCCGAAAAGATCAGACCTTGCAGATAATATCACCACAAGACCGAAGATCTTTTCCCTGCTTGATTTGTTCTCGAGACAATTGCATTGCGGAAAATGCTCACGTGGGAGTTAGTTTCGTGAGTAAGTAATGCGGCGTGAGTAAGTAATGCGGCGGTTGAGAGAAAGGGCGAAAAACAAAGACGGAGATATGCACTCTATATAATTAAAACCTTTCGGACTGGTAGGAAAGCCATTGAAATTGATTACTGACAGATACCGAGGCAAAGCAATGCTACCATGCTTCGCCAGTATTGCAATGGTCAATTTATACGGACGGAACGAAATTGTCCTTCTCGTGTAGGAGAAACAGACGTTCTCCGTCAACGACCTCTCGATCTCTCTTCTTTTTTGGATTTGCACGCAGCTCAAACTAATTCGCCTACCACGCCCTTCGGCCCTAATCGCTCCACCACTCCGCTCTTCAACCGCATCACCCGCTCAATCTCCCTTGCCGGTAGCCCCTGGCGATCCCGCATGGCCAGCACCTGCCGGATGGTGAAGGCATCCAGGAACTCTCGGCCCGCAAAGTCCCGCCGGCCCATGGCGTCGGTCTCCGCTTCCGCCGCCTGGGTGATCTGTTGCCGCGCCGTGACGGTCAGGAGGGCGGGGTTGGCTGCGGGCGGGAAGACGGTCGCAGGGTGGTGGGCTCCGGCTGCTCCGAACGACCGTTGCGCAGGGGCGAAGGTGCTCGAGGGAGAGAAGGTCGGGTTCGGGGTGACAGGACCGATGCTGCGGAGAGAGGCGGCGAAGTCCGGGTCGCGGCCGTCGATATCGATGGCTGTGGGTTCCGAGCGTGACAGATTAGCTTTGCGACTGGTTGGGAGAGCAAGAAAAACTAGGGCGGGCTGGAGCGAGAATGGGAACCAAGGCAGGTTTGAAGAAAAGAACCATACCGCTGGATTTCTCAAAGGAGACTTGTTCCGATAAGTTCTTCTTGGTGTGGTTCATCATTGGACTGGAGGATTGGACGGGCTGCGGGCTGGCGCGAGGACTGCTCTTCGACGGTTCTCTCGCCCGGGGCTGTGGCGGCGCTCGCGACGACGCTGATGCGGGTAAAGAGCTTGGAGGTGTGGGGGTTGCGGGCTGTTTAGGGTACTGACGCCGTGAAGCTGCCGCAGCGGCCGACTTCACCGGTTTGGAGGCGGATGCGCCCATGATGCTGGGAAGTGTTGTGATGTTTGGTGGGTTGTTGCAACGAAGAATGAAGGTCCTCCGTATCCATCATCCATTACTGCGGATCTATTCTGCAAGAGGAATCCGATCTGTCAGGCTAACCCGATCGAGATCAACCCGCTAGCCGCGCGGGTGACGTCAGCCACGCCTGATAACTTAGTAGGTAACCTGTCTATAGTTACTGCCCCTACAGGCTTTACTGCTTCAATGGTCATACTGGGTCTCATCCCACGGATATATTGGTTGCGGAATTGTACGAGCTATGGTCCTTTTTACACCCTTACCGTACTAGACGACCCCGGATACTCGCCAGCACATAGACCATCCCCACCCACACGCAGTGATTTACCGCAGACCGGCGAGCCGTCTGCCCTGGACCTCTCCAAGCGCACGGCTGCCGCTGATAAATGCGACGGTACCAGCCACTGCAACTGCCGGAAGGACCTGGAAGAGGTTCCATGAAGTATAGTACAAGAAGAAGATGCCTTGAATGGCAAAGAGCGAGCCGAGGAAGACAGCGTGAGGGAGGGGTGCCGACTTGAAGGCAGTAGGAAGGTGGTTCAGGTTGACACCGAGAACCAACCACTAGGAGGCAAAAATTAGAGCCGTAGCGACACCACAGGAAGAAGAAAAGAACTTACGACTCCGCCAAGGACAGGAAGCGCCGCGAGCACCAGAGCGAGGAAGACCAAGGTGATGACCAACGGAGGACTCTGAGCATCCGTCTTGAAGATATGGTGGATTTCCGGAAGCTTCCCGTAGCGGGACACCTCGAGGGTGGGAACCGGCTCGTTGGGGTTGCGGGCCACCGTCAGCTTGAAAGCAGTTCCATCGTAAGCGTCGGCCTCGCCAAAGGATCCGATCAGGAGTCGCGCATCGAGGGGTTCGGAGACAGAGAGAAATTGGACGGGCAGATCTTTCTGGGTCTAGAGTCCACGTCAGCTGTGTTTCATCATCGCATCCGGAGCTGCACAAAGCTACGGACCAACTCAATTCGAGATTTGCCATTCTCCTTCACGCTGAAGGGGTATGCAATATCCAATCCGGTCTCAGGGTCTTGAAGGAAGAGAAAGACTTGGTGCGCGCGTTTGGCGGTACGGCCTTCCTGGGCTGTCAAGGTCACCTTCAAAGTGTCGGCGGATCCGAGGGAGACTGGCTTGGAGAGAGCTTTGTTGTCGGGAATCCTGTCAATGAATCACGGAGTTCAGTAAGGGTTTCTTTTGGGGGAGTTGTCTAAGCAACACTGGTACTTACACTTTTTTGAAGCTGGCGCCGACCCCGGCGCCTTTGGTGTGAACTGACACGGTGGCATCAGTGTATCCCCACGCGGAAGCAGCAGCAGCGGTCGGCAGAGCCGTTGAGGCCAGCACAGACAGCTGGAGAAGAGAGTGCCACAGCTGCATGGTGAATAGAGGGAGCGAAGAATCCACCGAAAGAGACAAACTGCAGAGAGAAAGAAAGCTGGCAGTCACGGAATTGAGAGAAGAGAAGAAGAATGCGGTCCGGGGGGTTGCGGGCGGGCGGAGATTATTACTGTGGTGGTAGTTTGTAGTTGGCCTAAAGCGGTAAAACTGCGCTAAGATAAGCGCCCGGGCGGGCATCAAACTACGGGAGTGAGTACACAGTAGTTATGATACGTACTGTATGTAATAAGATTCAGATGAAAAGTACTGACCGCCTGCCTGCCTCTGCGCAAGCCCTAATTTCCCGGCCGTCTTGAATGGCAGAAGTTGTTCAGGCCCTGCTTTTGCTGCTGTTGCTGGTGCCGGTGCTGGTGCTGCTTCTTTGCTTTGCTTTGCTTTGCTCTGCCAAACTGCTGCTTAACATTTCTAAACCCTCCCCTCCACCTCCTCCCTCTCCAACCGCGCTCTCTCCTCCGAAGTATCCTAAACTCGCTAGTATCGCTAAATCGCAGTACCTCGATCGACTCAAGAAGTCGTTTCTTGACTCTGTGCACCATGTCTTTGACCCCTCTTCCTTAGTTCCGCGACCGCAAATTCACCCACCTCCACACATCCCCCCTGCGCTTGCAGTTCGCCTTGACGTTCCGGCCCTCCGCCCAACCGACCGATCACGCGGGTTTTCGATCGCAACCCGCTGTCTCTGGACATATTCGGGATAGCTATCACTGCATGTGACGTGTATATACAGCTTAGGTAGGGGGTCTTGATCTCTGCAGGGTTGGATATAGGGAGCGGGTTGTGGCCAGGGCTGAGTTGGGAAGTGGTGGTCAGCCAGCGTTTCCCTCCCCGAAGGCGAGGGTTCGCCCACTCCTGCTTCTGTCTGCGCCTCGGCCTTTTCTTCTTACAGTGAAACTGACAACGACCGATCATCGCTGCAGGCCAGTCTCTACGTCCTCGATTGTATCCGTCCTACCTGCGAAGAGAGTGCCGTTTCCCTTGAACCGGTTGTGCCGCTTGTTCCGTGAAAGTAGTGCTGGTGAGAACATAGGGCAGAACCCGGAGGGGTGTCAACGAGAAACGTTTCAGTGCACAGAAGCACAACGGAAGGAGTGTGTGTTGGGGGAATCTATCGGGGGACCAGACAAACAGATTTCATCTTTCAAAAAGTAAGAAAACGGTCAGATGATGGATGTGGTGGTGAAATGTCACTCTCCGACCAACCGTGTGACTTATAGGGCTGGGATTTCATTCACTCATTTGAAGGTGAAGCTAATCCGATGAATCGCGCAGTGGTGAGTAGGGCTTCATTGGCAAGGGAACTCGGTTCTCCCGCCGCGTTTTCTCTCGACTCAACACCTGTATGTCTAGCTTGTGCTCTCACTTCTCTCCTGAAACCCGTGCTTACCCTAGCTTTTCAGCGTGAGACGCGACGGAGTTCATCTCGGGCATCACGTAAAACCACCCGGGAACCTGAATCCACTCACTCACAATCCTCTTACTCTCTCCCACCCACGCCTGTGACCACCTCCTTTGACGAATCTCTACCGTCAGCGAAACGGCGCAAGACGCAACGGTCTGTCAATCAGACGGCGCAAACCCCGCAAGGAAAGGAGGAGGAGTCGGTGGAGACTCCGGGGTCCCTTGACTCTCCCCAACCCACGGAGAATCTCCCCAAGAGGCGAGACCGCAACCGAAAGGCTGTCAACACGAACGCTGAACTGACTCCCAACACCAACACCGAATCTCCCAGTGAACCCGCCACTGCGCAGGCCAAGTCGCGTCCGGAACAGTCGCAGTCGACTTTGCATCACTTTCTCCTGAAGAAACCTCAGTCCAAGCGGCATTCTCTGGCGACCACTACGCTCCCCACCGCTACTGTAACCCCGCGTGTTACTTCCTCTGCTTCCGCAACACCGCGTGCCTCGTCCACCTCCGCCTCTTCCCCTCGTATGGCCTCGACGCCGGGCAGTGCTCGTAAGGATCGCAATTCGAAATCCGCGAAACCCCCAGCTCAGATCAAGACTGAACCGACACCCGCCCACCTCGCCCCCGCCAGCACGCCGGATAACAGCATATCCGATCCTCAAACCCCTGCGGCATCATCTCGCCCTTCCACCCCGCGAAACTCCACCAGCCGAGCGCGGCGTGCCGACCGCAAACCTACCAAAAATCCCGCGACATCCAGTCGGCTGAATCCCGCCACGGGACAAACCCCATCCACCGCAACCGAACCACGATCCACCCCCACCACATCATCCAAAATGGGTCAGGCCAAGTCCGTGCTTTCGCACGCCTCCCAGAAGGGAAGCGCCCGGCCGCAGCGCAGCAGTAGCCGTCGCTCGCGTGTTGAGGCGGGCACTCGGAGCTCAGCGCCGGACACCAACCACAAGAACATGGCACAAACCAACCATAAAGTTAGCGACTTTTCCTCGGGCGCAGAGTCCTCGACCCCCGCGTTGCCGATTGGCCGGGAGATCGCCGAGAGCATTGAATCCGCCACTCCGGTCTCCGACAACAAGATCCTCGGGGGCTTCGGGACTCCCTTGCTGCCGGATGACAACAACAACAACACCCCCGGAGCGATTCCGTACGGCGACAGCTTCGACTTCGAGTACGATGCCGATATGTACCGCAGCCATTTCGGCCTGGACGGAACCACCGAGACCCCCGGCTCGCCGACGGGCAGCCTGACCACGGCCACCTCGGTCGGCAACCGCATCTCCACCCGCCTGCGCAAGCCCACCATCAAGGCCATGGAGTCGATCGAGTCCGAGCGCCGCTTCCGCCGGCCCCCGCGCTCGGCTTCCGCGCGGCCCGACGGGCCCAAGGGTCCGCCGCTCGAGTGGGACGCGGTGGCCTTGGGCATTCGCATCTTTGAGATGGCCAACTCCGCCCTGGCGCCGGAATTCGAGCCGGCGGCCGATGCGGAGCAGTTGCTGGCCGAGCTTCGCGGAGCGTATGACATTGACCAGGCGGAGAGGGAGAAGCTGCGCCTCGAGCAGGCGCAGCGTGAGAAGGAGACGGAGAAAGAAATTGAGAAGGAGAAGGCGACAGCGACAGCGACAGCGACTCCAGAGCCGGTCAACGGATCGAAGGAGATAGCGGAGCATGAGACCGGCGGAATGGAGATGGACGAGACAGCGAACGGGGAGAAGACGGAAGGAGAGAAGGTGAACGGCAACCAGGAGCGTGAAGAGAAGCGGAACTCGGACCAGCGCAAGGTTGGGAAGCGCAACGCAGAGAAGGAAAAGGCAGCGAAAGAGAAGGCAGCGAAAGAGAAGGCCGAGAGAGAGAAGATTGAGAAAGAGAAGGCCGACAAGGAACAGGCTGAGAAAGAAACGGCCGAGAGAGAGCAGGCCGAAAAAGAAAAGGCCAAGAAGGAAAAGGCCGAGAAGCAGCTCTCCGATGCATCAAAGACAGAGAAACGGGGTCGAACGACAAGGCGGGCTGCGGCAACTGAGCAGCAGCCGGCGACTGAGGCGAAGACCGAGGAAGAGGCGGGAGGGGCCAGTAAGCCAACCTCCCCAGCCGACCAGTCGAAGGAGTGGACTGACGCAGACGGCTTCACCTACACAGGCCGACTTAACCAGTTCGGCGAAGAACTGGTGTATGTTGGCCGCGGGTACGAATGGTATCGGCCCAACAACACGTACGGCGATGACAAGCTGCCGCTGCCTCCCGTCCGCCTCATTTCGCGGGAGCAGCTGGAAAAAGACCGCATCTTCGGCTTCCCTCCTCTCATGGGGGAGAGAAACATCCCCCGCGCCAGGAACATGCCCTTTACCTATGAGGATGTCTTGGAGGAACGAGCCAAGATCAAGGCCCGCGAGGAAGCGCGCAAACGCGGCATCGAGGTCGACCGATACATGCCATCGGCCTATATTCACGCCCTGATTGCGCAGCATGACAAGACTTCGAGTGACCAGGAGAGATCCGGCGCTGGGGTGGAACCCAAGGGCCCAGCTCCGCGCAAGCGGCGCCGCGCTGCTGAGCAACCAACCGAGGCAGCCCAAGCCGCCAAACGCCGTCGAAAGGAGGACACTCCTCCAGCCGCGGGGGACCAGCCCAAGACTCTGCGCATCAAATTGACTCTGAAGGGGGCAGCGGCTGCAGCTGCAGCGGCGAAGGAGCCCAGCTCACCCAATGAAGGAGGATCCAAGAAGCGCACCCGTTCCGAGACAGAGGCAGCGCCTGAAATGAACGGCACTACCAGCAGCGACACCCCCCAGAACCGGCCCACCAAGCTTCTGAAGCTGTCTGGCCTGCGCCGCGATCCCGACTCAACCCCGGCCAAGTCGACGGCGAGTCCGGCCACGCCTGGGGGCGGGGAGACGAACACCACTGCACCTGCGCCTTCACCCGCCTCCGGCTCTCAGGCCGCGACTCCTGCCAACGACGCCAGTTCTACAGCCTTGGGCACTACTCCTGGAGGTCGGCCACGGCGACGAGCCGCAGCCGCCTTGATGGCGGAGTTCCAGAATCATGCCGAACAGAGGGCTCGTCGCGCCAACGCCCGCAAGAAGGAGCCTGCTGCCTAGGGTGGCGGTGGTCTGCTGAGCAGTACGGTCTGGCTGACAGAGGAAGGATACTATTTTGAAGAGCAGGGTTCGAACGACCCGATCGACGAATGACTATGAACCGACGGAAGGGGACGAAACGAGACGATAAGAGTGGTAGAAGATGAAGTGGGAATGCGATGGCCACCCAGCGAAGGCGGCCGGATTTTTCGAACACGAAACAGAATCTGGAGAAGCAGCGAGAACTGAGTCAGATGTCAGAAGGGAGGTATTCGAACAGCCCATGTCGAGCAGCGTTACTTTTGAGTGAGGAGCAACGTTTGTTTTGCTCACTGTTTCTTTTCCCCTTGCCTTACTCTTTTCCTATCACCTTTGCGAATTAGCTGAGCATAGCGACTGTACTTGTGTGTTTTTTCTTTCATTAATGATTGTTTAGGAGGGATTGACATGGGATGGAAGAAGGCATATTTCCCCCATTTTCTTTCTGGGAGTAGGAAGCAGCTTTTACCGAGTCATTGTCCTTTTCGCCCCTACGCTTTGCATCTGTACTGGTATTGCGGGTTCGGTTTTCTCTCGGAGCTAAGGATTGTAAGTCCGAGAGGCAAAATGGGTCCATTTCATGTACTGCAGGTTGATTTGGTCAGGACATTTTCCCGGGGGGTTCCTTTTTATGTTGTGTATGTACTATTAACCTGACTGGGATTGGGAGGATTGTTTGGGCGAAGTGAAGAACTCGTCCAGCAGGGCAGAAGCATAATCCTACAGTATGATGAGAGCTCGATAATCACAATATGAATACGAGATAGTTGAATTGCAACCCTAATTAATGAGTTCGATCTCATCTGATCCGAGAGAAAGAAAGAGTAGGAGGAGTATAAATTAGCCTCAGGCCACAAGGCCTCCGCCCGACCTCAACAGCGGACTTTTTCCCACTCCGGGATCTCCCTCCCTCCACCCAACAACCGCCAGCGATTTGTACTGTATCATCATCGATCTACTTCACCCGACTAATACTGCTATTCCGAATTGACTATCAACCACCAAACCAATTAATCCACCCCCTTACCCTTCTTTCTTCGTGATCTCAAATCCAGAGACAAGGGCAAAGAAAAACCCAGTCATGCCCACCAAACCCACCACTACCACCACGACGCCCCAAAAAGGCTCCCCTCAAACTAAACGCGTCCTTCCAGACGCTCATCTGCGCGCACCTCGTGTAGTCACTGCTGCTGCGAACGCGAGGGTGGGAGCAGGAGGAGCAGGCGTAGGCGTGGCCGGTCGAGGCCCTCGCTCGCAACCCCTCCCCGTCCACGATATCCGGCAAACCAAGGAGTACAAAGCCGCGGCGAGGAAGTGAGTTTTATCCCCTGCTATGTTGTGTTTCCTCCCCAGTGAGTGAGTGCTTGAGGGGGTTGTATTGGGATCTGCTAGCAGTGTCTACCTCACTTGTGCTCACGGCCCCCCCGGCATATCCTTCTTTCCTCCCTAGAATAGGACCGTAGTCGGTTGTTGGTTGTTGTGAGGATGGGAATGTATGGAATGGAATGGGATGGTTGGATTGCTGATGGGTGCGTACAGGTGGCTTTCGACGATCGTGGCACTGCCCATCCTCATGTATACTTCTTACATCCTTTATGAGCGGAGTATGTATTTGCCTGTTTCAATTTGGAGTACCCCCCGCTTGCTCCCTAGTGGAGTGAGGGATTGAGTATGCACTGACTGCGACTGTCTCTAGCGTTCGGGAATCAGAAGCCGAAGCGGTTGGTCGGCGGGGATGGCCGGGTGAAGCACGATCAGGGGTTGTTGGTTGCGCAGAGCAGCAGCAGCAGCAGTGAGGTTGTTGAGGCGGAAAGGAGGCATGAGTAGATACCTTAGTCTTTGAATAACTCCTGGTTTGCCGGGTGGGGTTTAGGGCGTTGATTTTGTATATACTATACATTCTTTACGGTTCATCTGTTGACGTTTACTGGTATTGTCCAGGCGGTTTGTCCTTGTTATCTTAGGAAAAACGAAGTAAGCAGACGCCCGGGACGGCTTTTCTCGTCGGTCGGTTTGTAGTAAGGCGAGTGGTTCATGTTGGCTGTGCGTATCTGCGGTTGACAATTCCGTATGGTGAGATCAAGGTCGTATACCATCAAACGAGTGCTTCCAGAAACTATCCCCAGTGTCAATGACGATGGAGAAGGCTATCACCGGTTGTGGTATAGAAACCGGGTAGGAGAGACAGATGAAAGCAGCATCAGGCCCCCGATGAAGGACGTCGATGCCAAGTTCTTGGCTATGAGTCAAGACCTCGAACAACGATTGGTGGCTCAAGGGGCGGACATTTCATTGATCTGATTACAAAGTTCAAGTTGTTGGGGCATTGGCAAATTATCAAGAAACTCTGGCTGGAAGTCCTTTCGAATTCATGAGGACAGAAGCAGGATAGTAAAGCTCGAATGAGCAGATGAGTTTTAATGTCAGGTGCAACTGACAGAGATACACATGCTATGTGGCTCAGCATCTTACCGAAGGATCACCTTTCCATAGCTTTTACTGTCTGCTAGCGTTATGGCTAAACGTTTCGTGCAAGAGCAAGTGACTTCCCACCCACCTGAAACTTTTGGCATTGTTTTTGTTATGCATAAGTAAAGACTGACGCGGACATCACGCAAAACACTCGTCCCAATTTCCACCTGACCTAGCAAAGCTCAATCCTCGCACAAAATCATCCCGCTTGCACCGTCCTTGCTTGTCAACAGCACAGCCGTGAAGAGGCACCACGCGATCATTGACTAGCACGCGCACAAGAGGCTCGGGCTGGGCCTCACACTGCATCATCTCAACGTAGGCTCGTGCACCAAACGGCACCGTCCACGCCGCGGAGAACCCATCCGTCTCCTCCATGGACTCCACCTGGGTCTTGGACAAGGGCTTGGTGCCGTTGTACAGGCCCAGGGCGAAGAAAATGGGAATCAATCCGTTATCATGCGTAAAGTCCGCGTAGAGGGTATAGTTCAGAGGAAACGTAGCAGGGCTCGAGTCCAAAGTGCGATTGGTGCTGGTCTCGTCATGAACAGGGGTCCGAGTCAAACGCGCAATCAGTTCGTTGGTGAAACCAATTCCCCGACTCGGGCCGAGAGGGTTGCCAGCACCGTACCCGTAATACTTTTCCAAGGAACGGAGGTAATTGTATTGCTCCCATTCCGCATGGGTAAAGAGGTTGCAGAAAGAGGAGAGCTGACTCTCGGGGTTGGACTGGGCGATAGTGTCAAAGGAGCACATGTCCATGAGGTAGACGACCTCTTTTGCGGTGAGATTCACTCCCGGGAGGTCCTCTTCGAGCCTTTTCAGGATGGGCGGCGTGAAGATGTCTGTAAAGTTGGCGACAACATCATCGCCCAGCTCACTGTTCTCGAAGACCGTGCAGGTACCGGGGTCGAGCGAGTTGTTCGCGTTGGCGCTCTCGGAAATCACCACATTGATAGAAGCAGCGAGTTGACCCGGCAGGGCCCGAGAATCATTGAGCTTCGTGTTCTGAAAGCCTTGAATGAATTTCTGACCGGATTCAATCACGCGACTTGATCCCGATGCGCGGACAAAGGGAGTTTGTTCCTTCGCCAGAGACTCATAGCGTTGGTAGAACTTGATCCCTGAGTCGACCATCTGCTGCACTCCAAAGGCAGTCAGATCGTCCGACCCCAGAGTGTAATTGTAGGTCTTCAAGAAGGCCGCATTCCCCTTGTAGGCCGTCGCATCAGCCTGGATCTTCGCAATCACCTTGGCGTACTTCGCGGACTTGGATGCGGTAGGATACCGGGCACCATGGCGGGAGAGCACTTGTGCGAAGGTGACGTGGCAGCCCTCCGGGATGGCGGAAGAGGCAGACTCTTCCTCGACAGAGAAGTAAGGGGAGTACTGGCCCCAAAGATGCGAGATCTCGGAGAAGCAGTTATAGCCCTGGTTGACGCTATCGCAAGCTGAGGCATTCTGCTTGGAGGATCGTGCCACCGGACCGGCAGACGCTCTACCAAGGGACGTTGTGAGTTGAGTATGCGAGGGATGGGAAGGGAGTAGGCACACATGCAGTATTGGGGTTTAATTCACATACCCTGAAAGCAGGTAGAGCGAGAGAAGAGTGGAAATCACGACCATTGTGACCACAATCGCAGATTTTCTTGGAATTGGCAGTTGAAAAAGCCTAGCTCCAGGGAGCTGGGTTTCTTCATATAGTCCCTTCATTTTGACCGGGGAGCTTCCATAGCTGTTTAGTGTGAGACACCACTCGGAGCTAGAAAGCTAGTGTGCAGTAGCAGTTGGGGGCTAAAAGAAAAAGCCCACGTGCAAGAAAAGAGATTATTCTGAAGGATTGTCTAACAGTAGAATATGGGATGATCTAAGAGGTAGTAGTGACTCTGAGATTAGTTGTGGAGCGGAAGAGGCCGTTAGTTAGTAGTATACGAGGGTGAATGGGTTACCGTGGATCCCGTCTCGTCCAATTGTCATGTTGTCCACGTGGGGGAATTCTCTTCTCCTAATTGGGTACTAAGCCAGCTTGGATGCCTGAGGACTTGGACGGATTGCATGCCAGATTTCTTAGGTGTCAATGGCACGAAGTGCTCTCAGATACTCCGGAGAGATGCCACAAATGTGCTTGCATTTTTACAATTACCGTGAGACGGTTTGTACAAGACTACAATTGTATGATCTATCGTCCGTTGACTCGTGCTTCCGTTGCATTTGCTTGCATGCAACTGCACTTTGGTCGTGCAACCTTCCCGCTCTACTCCAGGGGAGACAATGGACGCAGAATGCTTCTTATCTATTCAGCGTCTTGGAAGTTCACAGTGCGTACTACCTCATATAGACCAAACATCCACGAATATAGCAGATATGAGTAGTCTAAACAAGTCCCAGCCATCTACTACGGGAACAGTCTCTTCGGTTGTGGCATTGGAACCATGGCACAGCCTGAGGTGCCACAACATGATCGCCAGGCGGACGGCCAGCGAGATAGTGTCACATATGCGATCTCCACAGTCCCACTAGGCTTCAGTAGGCCTCCCACGTGTAAACAAACAAACAAGAAAAATGGCCGACAAAGAAGGGAAAAGAGCAAAGAGTGTTGTCAATGAAGGCTAGAACATCGATCTACTCCGCTGTCTATCCTCGTCCAGCTCACATGCGACAAAAGATACATACAGATTGCCACCTTCTTTTCCATTGCTATCAATCAAAGTTCTAAACCCCGCCAGCATGTAAATCATTCGTACCCTTTTACTTCTCGTACAGTACACTCCCACCCAAAATAAAGAGACTCCGTTTCAAGCGATGAAATTGTCCGAAATACTCAAAAGACAAATGGATCCCACCAAGTAGTGTAGCAATTTATCCAGCAGAAGCAGACGACTTCATAAAACTGCTCCAGTATACTCCATAATGTACCGATAAAATGCAGGCCAAATGTTCGGTGGCGGTGGAAACCCGCGAGGCGATCATCACGAAGTGCGTGGCCATGTTCCAGACAAGTGAGACAGTTCTTTTGACGAGTTCCCGGCGGGCACAATGCTTCGCTCTGCGTGCATCGTGGCATAAGAGGTCGAAGAGGTAGGCCATGTGACGGGCGGCCGCACCGACGACAAGGGCGAGTCTGGTAGAGGTCCTATGGTGCCAGGGGCGGATCCCAAGCTGTTGCGAGTTGTCTCTGGTCCATGCCAGCCTGCGTGTGGGTCCTGATTCGGCGCCGGGACGAAAGACGGGCGAAATAACTGTGGGGATGCTGGCCTTGTAGGCATTTGCCCGGTAGGTATCAAACGCGTACAATGGTCGCGGAAGAAATCTCGCTCGGCGTGGTAGAAGTCTCGCTCCTGAATTAAAGCCCGTATCTCTTGTTCTCTCCTCTGCAGGGCTTCTGACTGCTTCCTGAGATCTTCCTGCTGCGCTGTGATCTTCTGTTCCATTTGCAGTTCATTTCTCTTGCGGTTGCGAAATCGCCTCGAGGCGTCACTGTTGGCTTTGCGCTTCTCTGCCTGCTGAGAGGAGCCCGATTTCACATCGAGATAGCAGAGAATTTTGCCCGGCGGTGGTGGCTCGGCCGCTTCGTCACCAGATTGCGGAACTCCCAAGGCGGACGGTATCCGACTCGCCAATTCTCCTGTCGCATAGGTGCTCCCAAACGGAGAAGCATGCGGGGGTGGAGCTGCTGCTATTGCTGGGGAGGACCGGCCGTAATGACTATAGGTAGATACCGGTGTCGTCGGACTCGTTTCCTGGGAACTCGAATGGGGAGTGTGGTTGCCACTCGCCTGGCGGTTGTGGAAAGCTGGGGTCGGTTGCACTGAGACTGGAGCCAGAACCGGGGCGGAGGCTGTGTGTGGGGATGTCGACACAGGGTGTCCGGGACCAGAGTCAACGAACTGGGGAGAGCTAGGGTCTCTCGAATGCGAGCTCAGGCGTGAAGACTGAGAGAGCGGAGACCGGACGGGGCCAGGTTTCAAGCCATAACTACCGGTGGGAGGAGCAAACCGAGCCGATGGCGAGGCAGGGGCTATGAGGGGGTGGTGGTTCCTGAGCCCCGGGGAGGAAAGCCGCTTCGCAGGATGGGAAGAAGACGATGGTAGATGCACCGTCGGCGAAGACGGATGTCGAGTGTGTTGTAGATGGGGAGCGGATGCAGTCGACAGCCCTTCCCCATAACCCTCTCGACTGTTCTCAGATTTGATGGCCGGTACCTTGGAAGGGAGATTAAGGATCGATTCCACGCCAATGGGACGGGGCTGTGTAGTCGAGTTCAAAGCATACCCCAACGGGTCGGACGATTGCCAGGAAAGAGGCCGCAAACGAATATGCTCAGAGGCATCCGAGTCATCGTCCGGGCGAGGTCTTTTTCGCTCGAGCGCATTGCGGCTCTCGGATGAACGAGCATCACTTGTTGAAGGAGCAGACACTGGGGGCGACATGTGCTCCAAATCTCTTGGGGACGAGTGTTGAGATGATCCAGCACATTGCGGGGCTCCTCCTCTCCCCAGGTGAGCTGGAGATCGACGAAGAGGAGCCTGAGAGTGGGAGCCGGTTGGTTGGGCGAGAGGGAAACCAGGCAGCGAATGATATTGGGACGAAGAATGCACCGGGTTGGAGTATGGGAGGCCGGCCAACACACTGAGTCCTAAGGTAGCCACGGTGACAGTAATGGGTGTTTGAGAGCCCAAGAATAGGGCAAAAAGGCAGGGAGGGTATAGGCTGGGTTGGGTGGTAAAAGGACACGGGCAGCGGGCAAAGGCACAAGGTGAACAGTAGAAATTCCTATACACCCAACCAATCCTTCTGGTTCTTCTTGCTCGTATCCGTGGAAATGATATAAATAGCGTCACTGGACAACACTACGGTGGTATATCTTGGGACCAGCAAGATTTTTACCCACTTGCCGCCAAAAGTCGCGGAATTATCTCAATTATAATGAGGGAGGTAAAGGCAATAAGAGTCAAGCGAAGATATCCAAGTATCCGTTTAGCTGAGCAGAGTAACCAGAGTTTAGACACAGCGGACAGAAGAGAAGATTCGAGCAGGCAAGCCCTGAGAAGACGAGTTTGCAAAAAAGGCAAAGAGTGGGAAAGAGAAGAAAAGAGGAAGCCAGGCTCGAAGCACAAGGGAATCAACAGCTAATAATGGTGATGGTGGTGGTGATGGTAGTAGGGTAAGGTACTAATCCTAAATAATCTCCCGTTTTATTTATTTGGTGATTGCCAACGGGACGGATCTGCCTTCCAGCACAAGCATAAGCAAGCTGTCGACAACAGAAAGAGAAGTAATTCGGCGGTGTGAATTGAATGGCAATGCTTGGATGGAGAACCTAAGGACCAGCCGTAGTAACAGACTAACAGCAGCAATCGGGGGATGTGGGACCCATGGATTTTTTTAGTCTCATTCAGTGGGTTTAGAGCATAGAGGAACCCAGAGAGATGGGATGGGGAAGAAGAGGGCGAGGATCTTGGGTCAAAGTATCCGTATCATGTAAGACAAGATTTATTTTAGTTGGGAAAAATAAATCAAAATTTGGGTTAACAAAAAAGCAAGCAGAAGTAAAATGGAATTAAAATAAAATAGTGGGAACACACAACAAGAGTGACGCACAGGCAGCCCGCGCAGCTGTAGAAAGGATGATAATAGAGGGAGACAGAGAATAAGAGCAAGCAGCATTATTCAATTGTAGCCCACTGAGGTGCTCCTACTTCTTTACCGACATAGTACATACTGTGCATACATGCATGAATACCTGCCTACATCCAGTGATACATACCTTCATACATACACACAGACGCACACATACATATACATACCTACAACCAACGCACAGCGTACATACAGCGTACATACAGTATACATACAGCATACATACAGCATCATCAGGATCCCCTCAGTTTAATCCATTTTATTTTCTTTTCTGTTTAGCAATTCCCCTTTGGGCCCCCTGGCCACGCAGTTATACGTGGATCCTAGTTCTCCACCAGACTAAGTAGACCTCAATCCTGTGTAGACTGCCTCCTCCGTACTTCCTCGAGACTTCTAAAGTCCCACGCCCGATTGATTGAAGATCCTCTGAATCAAGTCATGGTGGATACCTCGATACACACAATCCCCTCCACAGCCAGGCGCACTGTAAATACAGTACATGCAGGTATACCTGTCTGGGACTTTTGCTTGGGATGAGGAGAGTGAGTAAGTAGTCTAGCTGCACTGATCTAGTCCGCATCGGTCAAAAGTACCCCGTAGAGCGCCACCATGGGTCTCGGGGGAGACGGAAGGCCTCGAAAGCGGAAAAGCTGTTCCAATTTAGTTGCTGATGTAGACATGCTGTCAGAGAGACGATACTATGAAAAAAGGGTCCATCTGGGCTCGTGAGGACAGTCACCATGTTCCCATGAGCTTCCAAGTTCCTACCAAGGCTCCGGGATCTTGTTCTCCCTCGGAATCCGAGGTAGAAGCCACCAATGGCATTAAGTGCCCTCCTGGCTCTTTCTGGATATGTTGAGAGCAACACCTGATTATTATCTTTACTGTCGAAGGAATGGGATTCTCCATCCCCCGACTTGGGTTTGATCGCTGCGGTTATCATTGGGGCAATGTTTCAAACAGCTTCGTGATGCAGTGGGCATCGAAATCCTTTTGGTCTCTGTAAAACAATTCAGGTTGAGATATACTGTACAGTCGAGTACAGGTGATACCTAGACGGATTCATCCTCCACTAGCCATTAAGCTAGTGAGATCACTAGAGGCAACTAGCCCTGGGATGGGGGATGGGGAATGGGGAAGATGCAGGAGAACCGGGCGCTTTGAAAATGGGCGCCGTCACTTTGGGACGGTGGAGGTCCCCGAGAGTACGTGCTTCGCCTAGCTCAACAGCCTTGAGGGGGAACTTGCTAGAGACCCGCCAGCACTAGCTGTCGGTCAGGCTTGACGGAAGTACAGGGCAGGTACCGACCGAGAATGTGGGCACAACAAGAGGCGGTAAGTATTTGATACTAATACTACATGTACTGTATCAATCCCGCTTCATACACCCTGTATGCCAGCAGTAATCCTTGACATTTACCGACCCATTTGTACCTGGCAATCAATAACTGGAAAATGGGCCTCAGAAGGATTTCCGCCTTTCATATTCGGCCTATCTTAACGACGAACACAGTAGTCGTTTGTGCTAAAGTGGATGGGTCGAATGTGTCGCCACTCTGACATCTATGTGTCCTACTGACATGTTTTTCTGGTAGAGCAGTCTGCAGACGTCAATCGGCGGGTTCGATCTCGTCCTTTCAACCTTGATCGAGAAAAGTGGAAAGATGAAGCAAGTCCAGCGCAACCATCGCTATGGATCGGAAACGTACTGAGTCATGTACCAGTTGAGACTCGAGTATGCGGATAAGCCGATGGGAGCAGAGAAGATGGCTTCCACAGAAAAGAGACCTACGAAGAACAAAAAGTAGGTATGGAGTACTGTACCAGTAGAATACACACAATAAATCTTAATTTCTTCAGCTGAATGCTGTGATGATTTCCTGCGCTTATTTCGTTTTATATGCCCTGCGGGTGACGCCCTACCGACCATAGATTCCCTGCCTATCTGTTGATCTAACTTAGTCTCTATCATCAACCTCAAACGGGGGACCGGCAAGATAACTACAACTATCGGGGTCTATCTACCAGCGAAAGCTAAAACAAGCCCCTCGTCTAGTTCGCGGCGGCAAATGGGGCGGACGAGCGCACTTTCTTCCACTCAGAGAGCAGAATTATCCCGAATTACGATGTCGTGCATGCATGCGGGCAGAGAAAACATGCTTTCAATCACCTTCTCATCCGGTCTCCTGGCTGGCCGGGACCTTCCCTCCCCCCTCCTCTCTCTGTCCCCATTTCCAATCCCCATTTCTCAATGCCTTTTTTCCCCCATATTGTTGACCTTCCCCTCATCTCTTCCCGCTAGAGCGGGTGTCAGCCGGATAAGGGTCATAACTCAAGAGCGGAACTACCCACATATCAGTCCACTTGCGGGAAGTTACGACTTCTCCTACAGTAAGGTAAGTAGTTATGATGTTAACCTATCTGCTGATCCCCGTTGGTTATCCGGCTGACTGTCTTCAGTTAAACTTGCGGACCGCATCCTTGGCCAGCCGGGTGAGTGTAATAGGAACGACGAGTGTGGCTTTGACTGACACCAGACACGAGTCGACTGGGCTGCTCCGTCTCAAGATCAGGATTGGTCGGAAGCCCTGGATGGGAAAGTCTCGTCCGTCGGTTGTTCGCAGGCAGCAGAGCAGACAGGTCATCAATAACTCCCGGATCATCCCTCAGAGTCGACTTCTGAGTGGTCCACGACGAAACCTGTTGTATTCCTTCCGACCCTGCTGCGCAGTCCTTTCAATAATAAATCCACATCCCCTGGGCGACGGACTCATGCCCTTCACATCCGGCCATAGCGAAGGGGAGGCGGCCAGGAGAGTGTTTCAGCTACGTCATTGGGCATCAATCACAGATCATGAAGCTTCCAAAGATCGCAGGGCCATGCTTGCCTATAATTCCTGCATCTACACTAAGTATGGGAGAGAGCGAATGAACTCTGACTTACTTCTTGCTAACGCTGCCGGCTTGGCTTCTCGGTAACATGGGGGGGTGAGATTCAGGACCACCTCATTGGGCCTGATCATCTTAAGCTGACCGGAGGGACGATCTCCAGGCTACGGATGTCAATCATCTCAGCATAGCCCACTGTGGGTCGTAGCGCAACCTGGATACGTCAAGCATGGTTGATAAGCCCTTCAATCATAGGCAGTCATTGAGAGCCGTCTGCAAACGAGATTTCATGAAAGGTGCAGCCGTGCTCCGAGGACTTATGCAAATCGCATTAAAGCGGCCCAACTACAGCACTTCCGAGATGACCGTAGGCAACAATACGTAAGGAACGCCATGTGTAACAGCCATGGACCGACCAGGAGGGAGCAAGAGCAACAATGATACAGCCTCTAGATCTGCCAATCTTATGCTGGTAAGGATCGGTGAACTGCTTCTGCAGCAAGAACAGCAAATCACTTGCAGGAAGCCCGGGCGGTGCCACGGGGCCCTGACGGGCTGGAACCTTGTCAAGGACTTGGGAGTGACAACTGCGGATTAATCAGCCTATCAATTCACTTCTCTCTGGCCCAAAGTGAAAAGAATTCATGTATAAGCCGAATGGGTTAACTATACCATGCATTCGGCATTTCGAGCTTGTGAGCTCAAGACTATCTGCGTGTAGTGCAGTCGATGGATCAATTGGGACTTCTTCTATCCCTGATGGGCCGGGGTGTTGCTTCATTTCTCTCAATTCACTTTGCTGTGATGGCAGGATCCATGAAGAATGAGGATTTATCAGTTTTGAGGGCACTTTTTCCTGCTAGTATTCGGCTCATCACATTACTCCATAGTTTCTGCAGGCCACCAGCATCCTGAGTATGAAGTCAGTTCCAACACCATGGGAAGTCTCATAAGTTGAGAATCAGCCAAGTACAAGGTCGAACCTGGGATTCAGGCATTTGATTCACTGTACGGAGACAAGGCTCATGGTACTTGTTGGACCAGCGATCGATGTTGATTACTGGTTCCCCCGACAGTGAGACTAGCTAATGCTGCTGTGCGCACCTCATCATTACCTTAGTAGCTAGCAACTTGTCGGCGGGAAGTGGAGACCAGATATTCCGGACTCATTGCAATTCATCCGTTCGCTTGTCGCTGGGATTCAGCTGCCGCCGGATTCCTTATCCGCTTTCCTCGTCCTTTTGTTAAATGCAAGGCAGGTCTGAAGTGGATACGTATCAGGCAGTCTGGTCTGGTCTATTCCTATTCCCTGCCTACTTGCGTACTTGTCTTGTGTGTTTCTTTTTTTTTTTTTTTTTTTTTTTTTTTTTTTTTTTTTTTTTTTTTTTTTTTTTTTTTTTTTTTTTTTTTTCCTTTTTTTTTTGGGAGCACTTTTGAGCGCT